CAGTTTGCGGAAACGAAATAAGACACAGACATGAAACACAAACACAGGAATATTGTTTTTCATTGAATTTCGTGTTATATAACCATATGAAAACCAAAGGCGAGAGAATATAGTCGCAATATCCGCAAATATAAACCATTACGTGAGCAATCTTACTTATACTTACGTAGCCATATTCCTGCGTGTTTTATATGGATAATATGGCAAAAACTTGCGTGCGGTATAGGCAGCAATATTTTCGCACTTGTCACGTCGAAAGATCGTAAAAGCTGAAATTATCTGCGCCTGGCGCGGGCAACCGCAGAACAATGCAACCGCAATGTATTGCTCTTCAGTCAGCCAGTGTTATTTCGTTAAAAGTCACTACAGCTCATAACTTCTGCAGACGCAATTTGAATCCGATTATTTGCAAGGGCAGATTTGCCAACGCAATAAACGCAAATAGGAGCATTTTATCGGTTTAACTTTAAGAGAACACAATTTTGTACAGTTCAGAACTTGCAAACGTCAGAAAACTTGTAAAATTTAATATTGGTCTTTCTTTTAAAAAACTATTAAGATGTTATGAGAAGAAACTTTTTTAAAAAACAAATATTTAAACTTTTTGGAAATATTCGGCGACTGAAAGAGATTGCATCTAGTTCTAACATCATATGTGAAAGATTGATATTGATATATAATGTTTGTATACATGATGTATTTAATATATATTATGATACATATGAGTAATTTAAATTTTTCTTCATTTAAAGTAATCTTCGATGAACTATTATGAGTTAAAATTACGTTTATTATTATTTCCCTTCTTCTCTCTTTCTCTCTTATTTTTGTTAAATGAATTTTTTTCTCTATGTGAATCTAATTGAATTTTTGTTACTTATTTTATCCTCTCACTTGTGTTTTTTTAGATTCTATTAAAGGAATTAGAGTGAATTAAATATTCGGAATAAAAATTATCAAATACAAATGTTCATTAATAGTTATGCAATATAAAATACATAATAATGTACTTTTACGAAAAATACTCGCGATAACTTTTCATGTAAGATTCATTTTTAAACAGCAATAAGTACACGAAATACAAAACAAAATTTATTTATTTTTGTTTGCTGATGATTTGAAGATTTTTCCGACATTATACAAACCAAACAATATCATTGATTCGAAATCCAGTTGTTTCTATGTAACAATTATTTAAACCAATTTTAAATGCACCAATTTTTTTAAAATTGATTATTTTTATATAATAATTACTTGAAACATAGATGTTTTAATTTTAAAATTAAATATAGTTTTGCACTATTAGTATTTTTATAAAATAATTATATTTTAATTTTAAATCGTATTTATTAATAAATATATATATAATTGCAATTAAATAATATTTTTAATACAATTAAAAAACAAAATGCTTGAAAAAGGCCTAATAAAAATTAAATTTTATACTTTTAACTATCGAGCATATCAATTAATTTTAAAAAACAAAAGTAATAAATTTAAGAGAAAGAGAGAGAGAGAAAGTTAAAAACAGAAAATAGAAGATACAAACTCATCATAATTCATCGAAAATACTTTCAAAAAATTTAAATGTCATCTTTTGTGTATAAAAACAAAACTCTAACATTGTTATATTATTGAAAGTCAGTAGTTGCTATTATAGCTTCACAGATAAAACAAATTTGGATAATTTATTCGATAAATTTTTAATAAAAGAAATAAAGAAAACTAAAGTGTGCTTATTCCAGTAATATATATTTTTTATCAGAATATATATTTTCACGGTAAGCAACAAATATTCCATAATTTATAATTTATGTATGTATATTGTACTAATATATAAAGAATCTCATATTTAAAAATGTATGTTATAGTAATATGTTATATTTATTTATTTTCAAAAGAAATTATATCAAAAATCGGGCAAGTTAGTAATTGAAGCAATAAAACTGCAATAATTATTTGATATTTTTTCTGATGCAAAGTAAAATCAATTGTTTCAATAATATAATAGATTTTATCGATAGACTTTGTCTACTCTGTCTCAATTTGTTTTTGTTCATTAAATATGCTTTCCAACTTATTATACAACATTTCAACCTGTTTTTATACATTTTGATATTACAACAGAGCAGAAATTAATTGTTAAGATATATGTATATTTGTATTAAATAATTATATCATAATTGTATTATATTAAGGAAGAAATATAACAAATAACAGAAACATTATTTAATCGCAGTAAAGTAATTCTGTTATTAGATCTGGCTTGCTTATTTTTGGACAATCAACAATCGCGAATCAAGAAAATCAAGTGATATATCATATACGTATATTTTAGATACAAATGGATCTCATACATATGAAGACATTAAAATCTGAAAAACTTAAAGAATATTATTATTTTGTTCTTTTTTTGTGTCCTTATTGTAAAATATGTATAATCCATGAAATAATGTAAGTATAATTGACAATAAATTACATAAAAGCTATGATAAAATTAATAAATTTAAAATTGACGTGATTAGTCTATTTGTTTTGAATATTATCCTTTACAAGTTTATATATTTTCAGACATCAAATAGAAGCAAATATCGCATACATACAGTGCGAAAATTGCAAATTGACTCTTCGAATTGATACGAAACCTTATTCGAATAAAAACGACATTATTAAACAGTTCTTAAAAACCGTAGGAATACTTTTAGAATGCTCATTTGTGGAAAAAGATTTTTACTAAGACTCTATTTTTAAGACTATAAAAACAAAATAATAAAAAATGGAAATATTTTATTTCCGAAAAAATTCAATTTATATTACAATTTATACTGACAATGAAATGTATTATGGAACTATATTTCAAATGTATGTATAATATATATGTGTGTATATATATGTTTTTGAATACATCTACATTTTATAATTTTTAATCTGTATTTTATAATATTGTGTAATGATGTGCATCGTATTTCCATGACTAATTAATTGTAGCGTTTTTAAAATAAGTAGTTTTTATTATATGTTTTAATTAAAAAAAGAAAAAATTATATGATTTCTTAATCACACGCAAGTTTTCTTTTTACTTTGTTTCAACGTGACAAATGACAATATTGACAAATAATTGTATGCTATATGTAACGATATATATATTTAACGATATTAGCAATATTATATAATTATATCATTAGTAATACTGAAGAAGAACTTTAGCCTCTCCGATTTTGCCGAAACTTTACAATATTGTGTATTTTTGTGCGTAAAACACCAATCTGAATTAAAATTCGTCGTTTTCACATAGAGAAAAAGTTACAGTTTAGTGAAGGGTTTCACTCTCCACATAAAGGAACTGGATTTTATTTTATACAAATTCGTTTTACGCACAAAAATATGCAATATTGTAAACATACTATATTGAGTTTATCTTGATGCCGATCAATATTTATGCATATATTGTTTTATCGCTTTATCAATAAATAATAAAATATAAATAATTCGACTCACATTTCGACTCACTTTTTTTCTCTAGTCCCTGCATATTCTGAATTCCTCGGCAGCATTATTTTTCCTATATAAATAATTTTAAACATTTAAAAAAAAATAAAACAAGCAAATATTATTTAAATACATATAATATTCTAACAAAATAATGCACAAAAATGTATCATGCAAATATGAGTATGTCTAATTAAACTTAAAAAAATAATATAATATAATAAAATAAATAATAAAAAATAATTTACCATCTAGTTGTTTCGCTGTTGCCCGATGCCACCCGGGGCTTCCTCCTCGTAGAAGAAGCACTTGCACTCGCGTTATTTTTTTTATCGAGACGCCCGGGTTTTAGCTACAACACTTTCGACAAGACGCGAAGCTTTTTTTCACACGAAAAATCGAAGGGCCTTAACAAACGACGACGACTTCCTCGCGACGCACTAGGAGTCACCGATGTTCGAGGTCGAGCGAGTTTCAAGAATTCAGCGTTCGCGAAACAAGACGTGTTTTCCGAACACCCTATATATGATACACTCGCAATCGTCGCGTATTTCGATAAGACACGATTAATATATGCGCTTCTCGTTCTTTGTCAAATATTTCAGACTCGACGATTTTCGAGAAAATTTTGGAGAAATAATCACAATATGGCGGCGCGATCATGTCGTAATTAATCCGCAATTTTTACGAGAATTTCGAGCCTAATTCGGCGCGGGACGATATTTCGATACGATGATGCGAAGGTACGACCGGAAACGCGCCGATGCTCGCTCAGAATGCGATCGACAACGTCAAAAAACTCCCGAAATTCGCGTCGAAAGCGCGCGGTGATTCTTCGCGATCCACTCCCAGAAACTCGCGCGCGCGAAATTTTGGCGGCTAAAGTCGGAGTTGTGACGTTACGTGAGGGAGGGGAGAGGGCGAGAAATGGACGGGAGATTGCGCGAAATTCAGGGTCGACTAGATCAATCTCGTCGTGCGATCCCGATCACGATGTATCGGTACACGCGACGCGATCGGCTGCACACGATAATTAACGACGCGAGGACGCTAATTAATACTCACGCCAATTAATTACTTGTACTTTTGTGGACCGGACTCCGGCGACGAGCGCGCGAACCTTGGTCGTGAACGATAAGTGCACCTAGAGAGTAGAGAGTAGCACTACTGTCTGCAAGAGTCGATATTGCGATTCTCGAAGTATCGAAGCGACGAGCCAATCGCAGCGTCCGGTTCTGAAAACGAGTGCAAAAGTGCAACTGTGAATCGAACGATGTTATTATATTATTATTTAATAGAGAAATCAAATTCGAACAGCTGTAATATTATAAATATTACAAATATTTGCGAACTAATAAGTGTTATAAATTAAATATAATTAGTGTAATTAATTGCAGAACGACGATCTACCTGCAATATAATCGTAATCGTGCACATTTTTGTTGCAATATATATCGATCTATCGATAATAAGTATATATATTTTTTTTTCTATGTTGGTTGCACTGCAGAGTCGCTGAAATCAAGATCCGTTGCATGGTCGCGCTGTTTCCGGTTTACATCGGTCTTTCACTTTCCTAGCAAGATGGCTGATCAGGTATGCATGCGATATTGTAACAGTCAATAAATGGGATTTTTCATACGTCGCGGTGTTATTTTGTGAAAACGTGCTGTGTTCTCGCGACAGTTAGCATTACGCATAAATATTCGCAAAATGCAAGATCGTAGATTAAAGTATGATCGAGAAATCACAGTCGCCGACGTAGCACGTGGTTAGGTCAAACACGTCTGTCTCGAGAATGAAATTCAGATGTAAAAGAAATACATAATTTATATAATTTTGTTTGTAGAGCGAGCGCGCCTTCCAAAAACAACCCACGATCTTTCTTAATCGCAAGAAAGGTCTGGGCCCGAAACGTAGGAAGCCTATGAGATACAGCCGCAATGTCGGGCTTGGTTTCAAGACTCCTCGTGAGGTGAGCATACATCTATTCATTCAGTTATCTCGGTAATCTATTCTCTTAATTTGCAATATTTCCATTTCTATGCGTATCAATCATCTGTGTAGTAATCTTTGAAAGAATGAGTGTGTTATGGAGTAAGTTCTTACTTTAAATTTATAAAGATTAAAAGAACATTAATTTTATTAATTAAGGTATATATTGAAAGTTATTTAATATATGGATAATAAAATTATATATATACGTAATTGAATTACTATTATCGCTATAATTAAAATATCTAATATGATGATAAACAACGACGGTCTTCTGAAGATATATTGAAGAATAGTCTATTCTCACACACTGAGTAATTGCACATTTAATTTCTTCTATAATAAAATGTGTACAAAAGATTTCATATGTTGGTTTCATCTTTACAGGCCCTTGAAGGAACCTATATTGATAAGAAATGCCCATTTACTGGCAATGTATCGATTAGAGGACGTATTCTCACTGGTGTCGTACAAAAAATGAAGATGCAACGTACTATTGTTATACGCAGGGATTATCTACATTACATTAGGAAGTACAATCGTTTTGAGAAACGTCATCGTAACTTGAGCGTCCATCTTAGCCCTTGCTTCAGGTATAATAAAATAATTTGCACTTTCCAGTAATGTCAAACTTTTACTGACTTTTGTTCTTATATGATGATAATTATATCACGATGGTCTACTGACAAATAACTAGAATTTGAAGAATTATTATGAATCTGACAAAATAATAATGAAAAGAAATATAACATTAATTATAATTAAATACTTATACATTTTTTAAATTAAATTTCAGGGATGTAGAAATTGGTGATGTAGTCACTATTGGTGAATGCAGACCTTTAAGCAAGACAGTAAGATTCAATGTATTAAAAGTTTCAAAAGGAACAGGATCAAAGAAGAGTTTCAAGAAATTTTAAACATCTCTTTTTCTAATAATGGTTTGTAACTGTTTCATCTTTTTGTTTATAATAGTATTGTTATAATTACAAATATAATTAAATTTAAATATAATTAGACTTAAGATGATGAAAAAAACGACGGTCTTCTGAATATATATTGAAGAATATATTCTCACATACTCTGACTTTTTTGCATTTTTTTTTTTTTAAGTAAAATTTATAACGTGTCTTGTATTATTGTTGTTTTAATTATTACAGAACATTACCAGATGAGGATGTGAAGGAAAAACTGTAAAATTTTACAATTAAATACAGTTATAAGGATTACACACAAATGTGTATTGTAATTTATATTCAAAACCTGCTCAAATAAGAAATAAAATTTCTAAAAATGTTTATTATATATTTTTATAATTATAATATATAATTTTTCATAATCTAAGTTTGACTTTTCAAATATAGTATTATATATTTTGCAGAAAGAGTAAACATTTTTTTCAATATTTACGTTTATATAATTTTCTACAAATATAGAATAAATATAAAAGAATTATTAATTGTGAAATAATGACATCATCTAGTTTCTAAAAATGTATGTTAATAATTTTGAACACATATTTAATATACAAAAATAATTTTACATAAAAAATTTGGCAACAATTATTGTCATATTATTGTAGTAATGGCATATAAATTAATTTTTAAGGAAAGACAATATGCAATTCGTTAAAATTAAGATGACAAAAATAATATACTTTAAGTAGTAAAATAGATATATAAGTATATATAATAATACATATTTTATATACTTTTTTCATATATTAATTATAATATGCACCATACAATATATATATATAATTTGAATATTTTCAATTCTATTAAAAATATAAAAAATTTATTTTATAGTATTTGAACAATGAATAATTCAGAAAATTACAAAGGCACTAGTGAGCTTTATATATAAATTTTTATAAATCATTTCCTAATATTATTCTCTATCAACATATAGTCTAATCATTTTTATTAAATTAATTATTGTGTCAAAAGTTTATCACACTTATGCTCTTAATATAGCATAACAAGTTAACAATTTTTCTTAAATAAATAAATTTAGTTATTTCATTAAATTATATTAAAATCTGTTATCTAAGCTGTTAACAATAATAGTTTTATATATATATATATATATATATATATATATATATATATATATGAATAATTTAAACACAAATAAGATTTTATGTACAAAATTTTTACAGAAATAATCTCGTTTACATTTGAATTATTCTATATATCAGTTATTTTTCAAATGAAAAATCTCACTCAGTATCAAAAATACTACTTTGAGATTAAGAACTATTTTTGTTATAAAATAAAATAAGAGAAAATATATATTTCTAAATATATAAAGATATATACAATTATATATATACAGCTCTAACTAATAAAATCTGAATAAATATATCAAGATTTATAATGCATATATAAGAAAATGTAATAATCAAAACATCAAGTATTTAGTCCAAATTTAGAGAAAAATTATATCTACATAGAAAATATACATTCTCTTATATTTTATACTTACGAAATATTTATATATACTTTGTTATGCAAAATATCAATTACTTATAGTTATATTTCCTTTCGTTGTTGAATATTCGGCTATATAAAGTATATATATTATAATAGGTCCTGCAAACTTAACAATAATGAAAATATAAGAAGTTGCATCCAAGATAATCCCCAATTGTCTCCAGAACATTTAAATATATCTGTTTCACAAGATTCTGTTATTTCTGTATCTTCTGTATCATTAAGTAATCGATCATGTTCTGTATGTGGAATTTCAGAGGAATTGGCACTATTATAAGATGATAAAGGTTCACATACCGAATTTAATATAATAGCATTAATTTCCATGTTTGAGGATTCTGTGGTCGATACAGTATCAAAGTCTATTAACTGTTCTTCCTTTCTTGCAGGGAATTTTTCTTGGCTTTGTGTAGATGTAATAACATTCTTATCTTGGTTTTCAGGCAATGTCTCAGTTAAGATAGAAAATGGTTGTACAGGAACCTTAATATAAGGCTTTGCATATATCTCATTCTCTTTGTCAATTTTATTAATATGTTTCAATTCAGATATCTAAAATTATGCAATATAAAAAAATTAGTATTAAGCTGTGAATATTTTATGCTACATTTTTGTAGATCAAATTTTCTACATACTGTACATCTATATCGAAGAGCCAATGCCTGCAAGGTATCATCAGGTTTTATTTGTACATTGATCACCTGGATTTTGCGACGTGATGATGTGGATTTTTTAATAATTTGTAAAGAGATATTCTCCTCATCTGTACTATTCTCGTCATCCGAATGTAAAAATACATAATGCGGAGAACTTTCCCTTCCACGCTGATGGATCATCTGCCTGAAAATATACTTGTTATTAAAATAAACTTTCCACTTAACTTAAAATTTTCATATGCTAATCAAAAAATAGATAACTTATAAAGACTATACTGATTATATCTCTCTACAAATCAATTTTATACATATTATATTTGTTCGTAACTGTTACAAAAAAATTTAATTGGATATCTCCAAAATTTACCTGGTATTTTTCTGATCGTCGAACATTAAGTTCATTAATTTTTGCGGCATAGTGTGATAATGCTTGACGTCCAATATACTTTTTAACAAAAATGTTTATTCGCGTATCATATCTGCATATAAATATTTAAAAAATATATTGTCACAATATTAGCATTATGACAGATATTCACATCTAACCTAATGCGAAAATCGTACTATATTCATCAAATATATACTCTTGCACTCTTTTTTTATGCACAATGTTTGTAGATGCGTCATTAAAAAAATTGAAGGACGTATTTCGTTTGACGTTTCGAAAGATTCGAGTTGTTTGATTGGCCAATCAGGGCGGAAGAAGCAAAGCATCGCTTCGCTCTGATTGGTCGATCAAAAGCTTCGAAAACTTCGTAGTGTCAAATGGAACGTACGCGTACTCTCCAGAATATTCGTCTTTCATGAACGAACGTGTCGGCCAATAGCCGGTGTTGGCCGTTGTATTGTGTAGGATTTTGCCGCGCAAACATACACGACAATCATAACAACTACGTAATAAGGTAAATGCGCATATATATTATCCATTAATTATATTTCGCAATATGATGCAGAGATATCATTCACGACCCGTGTAGGCAGATTAATTTGGCTAATTAGCTGCGATAATTGTTATGCATGTACAGGTGTCGTATAGGCTTACTAGCCACGCATTTTGTGTGTACCCATTTGCATTTTCCTCATTTTTTTCTTCGTATATCTTTTTTAAATTAAATTATTTGATATATTTGAGAAACATCGTTATAGATAAAATAACGTGTGCTCAAAATAATTCGTTGAAAAATATATTTCTTATTATTGCGAAATATTGCAGATTTTTTTTGTTATGCGACTTTTTGTAAATGCTATGTAAATTTGATAGTTAGATATGCCAGAGATTTAACAAACTATGTACATAAAATTAAAGCTTTGTAATCTCATCTTTGTTTATTATTACATTTAGCTTAGTATTCAATAGAACTGTCTGATATTTGCATTTGTTCCAGGATAACAGAATTTTATCGTACATTAATGTGAAATAATGCTGTATCACACATTTTAGTATTAAATAATTTGTGTATGTGTGTATATATATATATTATATATATGTAAGCCTGAAAGAATGTTATCTCTTATGAGATCTCATTGAATTATTTTTATTTTGTTCCTGTATTTTCTTTTGTTGTATTTTCTATTTTTTTTCTTGTAATATCTAAAATAAAATATATATTTGTTTCAGATTATTGTTATAAAAATGGTAGACTCTGATCATGAGGAAGAAGACATCGAAATCGATAAGTTGGAGTTATCTTCAGATTCTACAGATATTATAACAACAAAGAAAAGACCACGAATGGAAGATTCTGAAGATGAAACAAAAAATTTACCTAAAAAAAAGCAAAATTTTTTCAATGAAGGGTCAGAAATATTAAAAAAAGATAAAACTGAAACAGTTTCAGATAAAAATGGTACAGATCAATATAATATAAAAGAGGAAAAGGATGCAGTATATAAAGAAAGTGAGCAAAAGATACATGAGAATTCTCTGTCTGAATCAAACACTGATAAAGAAGATGAAAAAGATAAAGAAGAACAAGATCATAAACCAAACAAACAGGAGAATGGGAATGAGAGTCTTTTAGACAAAGATAATTCCATTGTGGATGAAAATTCTTTCAAAATAAATAAAGAGAAAACAGATATAAAAAAGGTAAAAACATTTATTGAGATAATTTTATATAATTTGTTATTTTATTTAGATCAATTTTTTTCTACATTTAAATATATTTCTCTTTATATTTCTATATACTTTTAAGTTGTATACTTTTTCTTTGCTTTTACTTTCAAATTGAACTAAATTGTTAATGTCTTGATACTAAAATAAAATCACAAAATGGGATATTTTTAAATTAAATGACTTCAATATTGAAAATCAAATTTTTTTATGTATTGATTATTTACTTTTTCTTTATATTAAAAAACAAAAAAAACTTGTTACAAATATAAATGCAATATCTTTCAATTTTTGATCATAAGGAAGAAGAAGGAAGTGACGAAGACAAAGAAAAAGAAGAAAGTAAAAAAAAAGGACGCGTTATAAAAAATCGAACTGTGGATACAGAAGTCGTAGATGGATTGGAGCTTTCAGTGGAATGCGCAAGTGAGAAAGAAGAATCAAGTTCTGAAAGTGAAGATGAGAAAGAAATAAAGCTGCGTCCAAAGACGGAAATTGTACTCGATCTAAATGAGTCAGATTGTAGAGACAGTTTGTCAGAGGCAGAAAAATCTGATTCACAAAAAACCACTGACACATTGGAGATTAAATCAGAGAAGACAAAGAAAAAAAGGACGCGAACAAGTTTCAGTAAACAGAAGGCTTCTGAATCTGAGGACAGTCTGAATAATAATTCAGATGAAGATTATAGTCCACGGACTAAAAAAAAAATGAAAAAACTTCAAATGACTAGCAAAGCAAAACGTTCTATGGAGCCAAAAAGAGGACGAGGTGTAAAGAAATCTTATAAGAAGAATACTGAAGATATATCTGATGATGAAAGTGCGGATTCAACAGAGGAAACTAATAAAACAAAAACTAAAGACAACATGAAAGAAGAATTATCAGAAAAGGAGTCTTCAGCAAGTAAAAGTAATAATAATTCAGCAAGTGAAAGTAATAATTCTGAAGATGAAGAAGATATGAAGAATAGAAGAACAAGACGTAGGAATGCTGTAAGTAATTTTCTTAATACAAAAAAATAAATCTGTATTATGTAAGTATCTATGTCGTAAGTATTACGTTTATAACATAACATAATATTAAACTATTTCAGGATCCGGAAAATAATAGGCAAATACAGACATTGAAAAAATATATAAAAACAGCTGGTATAAGAGTAAAATGTTTTAATGACCTTTGGGCTGGTTGTAAGAGTAATTCTGCAAAAATTAAGCGCCTAAAAGAATTGTTAGAAAGAAATGGTATTAGTGGAAGACCAACATTGGAAAAATGTAAACGAGTGAAAAAAAGAACGAAAGAATGCGAGAAGCATCCGAATTAGATGTATCCAATATTATATCTGAAGGTTAATATTAAAGATGTATTATGAATTTATTTTATAATATCGTAATTATAATATTATAGTTATGTTATATATTATATTGTATTTATATTTCTAGGACGTGTTACGCGCGCAAGAAGAAATATCGTAAAATCAACATCTCCAGATACACCGCAACGATATCGAGAAACTCACAAACGTATTCATAGCATCGTGGATAGTGATTCAGAATAGAGCACAGCAGGTTGGGAAGTGAGTTATGATTGTTAAATCATGTAAATATATCTAATTATGTGCGCATGTTAGTATAGGACATGCGTACATATAATATACATATAATATTTTTCTAATATTCATATATTTTTGCATATCATAATTATCATTACTTATAGTGTCTTTCTTGTCCTATTTTTTTCAATGAATTATGTAATTATTAATGATATTAAATTGTGTGAAATATCGAGACTTATTTTTATTATATTGATATGTTATTCATACTGGTAATTAAAATAAATTATTAATTGTTCGTATAGTTAACATATGCATTTGATACGAGAGCAATGAAAAAACTTCTTGTGTAGAAATGTAAAGAAAGGACTTGCAAATGAGACAAACAAATTACAAGATTAAAATTATGAAAAATATTTTGTTTATAATATATATATATATATATATATATATATATATATATATATATATATATATATATATATATATATATATATACACACACACCACACACACGACATACTTCAAAATACACTAAGAATTATAATATATGAATATATTGAATATATATAAATAATTAACAATACAATATAAATTTTTTGTTATGCCTATATACATATACTGTTTTAGTTAATGTTAAAAACATAATAATTATTAGTAAATTTCTAATAATCAGCATTCAAAATATTTGTCCCAAATCTATGCCTATTTTTCTATCTTCAAAAAAATAATTATGTATTAATGAAAAACACGGTTACTATGTAATTCAGCACAACACTATTATACTCGAGATACTCTTATATATAAGGTTGAAGTGTCATTTTGTCACACAAATTAACATATTTTTTTTTTTTTTACATACAAATTAAAATAACGACTTAAATATAAATTAAAGTTTATTTGATAACATGACAGATTATTGTAATATTTAGATAGCAAAAATTTTCGCTAAATCTTTATAACAGCATAGAAGATATTTTGACAAACTACTATAATGCTTTTTCATATATAATTAACATGTGTTGAAAGTAATTATAAAACTTTAAGGTGTGCAAAAAATTAAAATATAAAAATTTATTTTCAAAATTATAGTAACTTTATAAAACTAATAGATTTACAGAGAGAATTTATTAATATTAGATAATATTAATATTATCCTATTAATATTAGTTCAATGCAGTTATTATTTCATTTTGTGTATCAATTATATATGTACATATAATGTACAAAATACGTTATTTTTACAGCATAATTGTAATATGTACACAGTAATATGTCGCTCAAATATTCATCACAATATGTGTATATTTAAATTACTTATAATTTTTTATTAATTATAATTCCACTCCTTTTCCAATAATTAATAAGAATTAATTGCAAATTTCACATTAATTATAACATTGTATATTATATTACATTAACTTTATGTACGAACATCATTTCTTTTTACAATAAAAAAATACATATAAAAAATAGTATTATGATATAAATACTTTTATTTATATATACATGTATTTTATCGGTTGAGGAACTTTGTAATACAGTCTTTACTGCAGAATAATTTATCTTCTTTTATCGCCATTCTACCGTTTAATAAATTCTTTTTACAGCTAAAGCAGCAAAAGCAGACTTCAGTTGCATGAAAGTTCAAATTTTTTATAGTTACACCCTGTTGATCAGCGGCAATCACTATATTGCAGGCAGCACATGTTTTTGCATATGATTTTTGATAACAAGGAAGACATAATGGACGATCATTTTCAGTAATATATTGTTGTCCAGCTAATGGCATATCACAATCCCAACAACAGAAATGTTTTACATGGTAATTGTGCCCTTCTGCAACCGTATATTCTCGTACAAAAATTAACTGCAACAAATAGAAATAAAAAAGAAGGTTAATTATATTATAACTTTAATCATTTTAAACATGGCTTGATAAAAAACAATTTTTTTCCATTTAAATGTACTTTCTTTAAATTGCAAATTTTTTGCAAAATCTTTATAAAATGTCAAGATTTTTTAGAAAAATATCGAGATATTAGGTTTTGAATTAGTTGATAAGTGATAATAAGAAAAGTAAACTTTTTTCAGAAGAGCAAATAGATGAATCATATTCTATTAATTTCAAACAAACTTTGTGGCAGAATCTTGATTAGAATTTTCACTCTTTAATTAAAAAGATATATTGAGAATTAAGAAATTGGTATAAATAATCTCCCTTAACACATTTTGGCTAAAAAACAGCTCACACAAAATTATCCAAGGCTTTCGTAATTCAAAGAAGGTACATTTAATGAAAAACAATCTGCATTTTAAAACTTACCTCGTCGCATGCAAAACATCGGACAATTCCCAAGAATGCAGCCAAATCTCTTCCACAATATAATTTATTCTTATAATAAAAATATACCAGATCTACCAACAATTCATTGCATACTGAGCAAACAAAACATCCAGGATGCCAGAATGCATTATTAGCCTTTTCCGCAGTTACAATCACATCGTCGACGCGTATATCTTCATGACACTTCTCGCATTTGTGCACTTTTGTTGACTCGATCTTTAAATCCTTCATATTGTCTTTTAGGTAATCTACGTGCTGTGCGTTCGATTGTTCATTGCAGTCCCCGATAATATGAGGAAATACTTGTTTTTGCAACTGTTCAGAATGTATAACTGTTGATTGCAGGATCGAACTACTCAACTCAGCTTGCAATGGACTGTCATTAACGAGACCTTGCGAATCACTTTGCAATGACGAATTCAATGTGGGAAGAGTAGGATCTACAGATATGTATTTATTTAATAAGGGATCCATAGCGTTTTCTGCTATGGTTTTAGACTCTATCATCGACGAATTATTCTTCGTTGGTTTGTGATTCGCCCTAATAGGTAAAGCAATTGATTCAATTATTTGAGATGGAGATTTGTACTTCTTCCTCTCTGCTTCTACAGGAGTGTTTATAATGTTGTTAACTTTTGTATTTTCCAGTAGAGTTCCTGCAGAATTTTTCATAGCAGTTTCAATAGCTGTTCTCTCCGCATCTTTATTAATATTCATAGGATTATTATTATTCTCCTTAGATCCAGTGCTACGTAGTACATCATTTGTGTCTAATAGTTGAGATGATTTAGGAACAGTGTGCGTAACCAAATTTTCCATGGCATTGTATTTATCAGCAAGCTTTTCTCTTATAAACATCAGGCTTTTTTCATCCAATGTACTTCCGATAATATCGTTGGCATGTATCGCACTAGGTGGAAGAAGAGCGTCCGCCAATATGGATTCCGCCATAGAAGCTGCTTCGTTATTAACTGTTTTCAAATCCGCAGTGTACGGCAAGATATTGTTAAGCGTTTCTCTGTGTCTCTCTAAAGCATCTTTCAACGCATTCCTTCCGTAAGGTATGTAATTTCCAGAAGTATGCATCTCGCGAACAGGTACGATTTCTTGCTCGGCAAGATGTGCAGGAATTGAAGAATGAATTACTTTATTCTCCATAGCTTTTTCGTTTATTGACACTATGTCACCTTCATATTGTAAATTCTCATTAATCAATTTCCCTCCGATTAGTTGAGATTTCGCGATATTGTTATTGGCAGGTACATTAGTTAGCGAACAGTTATATTCTTCTGCTTTGGAAATTTTATTGTCATTTATGATCATGGAATCCTGCTTATTTTCATGTGGATGCTTTGCATATAAATTTTTCACAGCAAAGCTACTTGGTGTACGTAATTGAACACCAGTAGAAGGTATGTAAGCTTTATGTTGCGGACTAAAATGTTGCATATCAGTTGCATTGATAGGCGTCATGAGAGAACGTTCGAATGGACGAGCGCCTAACATCTGAAAATATTTTTATTATAAATCTTTAATGAAGTATAATATATGCATAAAAGTTGTATGCACAATGTATAAAATATTCCAAAAAAAGTTCTTTATACTATACATTTTTGTGCTTTTTATAATTTAGCTCTGAGAATAAAATGCTTTAAGTATCTTATCAATTCAAGTCATATTTTCGTAATTTTGATTATTGTTCTTTAATTTACATATTAACAAAGCAATAAATATCAACAATAATACTTTTTACACATAGAACAAAACGACAGAATCCATGTAAGTAATCTCCTAGGAATTAAACTAATACACAATATGTTACACAATATGTGCTAACAATAGATACTGCAGATATTTTTTAATTAAATCAAATATATGCAAATCTACGATCTCAATAATAATAAAATCGTAATTTATATTAATAATATTACATACATATGTTGACACAACTTACCTTCATTACTTTGCCTTGACCTACATATTTTTTTATATTTTCCAAGTATTTTTCAAATTGCTTCTGTTCTTGTTCACTAAGTTCATCACAAACTTTGTGATCAATATCATGAAGTGGTAATTGTTTCTGCAATAATTGTTTCCGCAAAACAGCACCAACAGATCCTTTAATTGGTAATTTCTCTACAGGTAAAGCTTTCATATAATCCATAGCGAGTTCTTCTGTTGTATCTGGTGGTATCCATTCAAATGTAGTTTCAGCTTCATTTTGTTTCTTGTTATTTACTTTCAAACCTAGAAATTAAATTTAGAATTAGTTAATTATATATATATATATATATATATATATATATATATATATATATATATATAAAAGAATAAAATAATCTAGAAATATCACAATACTAACGCATGGTCTTCTTTTTAAATTTTCCACTTGGTCCAAACAGCAGATCAAATTGTGGAAATTCATCGTCATCGACATCATGATCATCCCGACTACATTTACAATTTTTACAAATTTTTCGCCAAAAATGCAAATCAAGACCAGGACATGCAGAGTTACAATTCATACATGATGCACCAGCACCAGCTTCATGTGCTAAACGTGGCTAATAAAAAAATATAATGATCACTTAAAGTTTAATGTTAATTTTGATGCATAATATTCCTTTTCTACTTTTGAAAATCTTATAAAAAAAATTACAACATACCTTCCTTTTACGATTTTCTAGTTCTAACAACCACTTTGGACGATTCGCCGTTTCTTCTTCCATCTTTCAGTATGAAACTAAAACTTTCTGTTTCAGAAGATTATTCGTATTTAACATTCGTCAATTCTGAAGCTTATCTTGTGCGGCCACTTGATGAGCAATACGACATGAGTCATCCGAAAGACAGTTAGCGACTATTGCACCAATACTTAGTATTTTCGAGGCAGCTCCATTCTTCGCTACTTTTTCAAGATACGCACACATTCCCATATATGCTTGTATAGGAAATCATTTCACTCCCCTCTACAACGCTATCCTGGCCCTGCTACGCGATGAGCAATGACCCGCGTAGAGAGGGAACGCTTTTAAAGACATAATAAAGGTGGTAGGGATAAGTAGCAGCGGGCCTTGTAAAAGTGAATCTTGTGTTTGATTGTGTGCTTGTTTGCACAAATTTGCATGAATTTATGATATAACAGATGCAAGCAGAAACGTGAATTTCCTCTGTGATATCCTTATATCTCCTGCAAATGAATATTTATACTTATCAAACAAACACGACTTTATAATATATTTTATTACCTAATATGATTATATTATATATGATATATTATATATATATATATATATATATATATATATATATATATATATCCTTAAATATTCATAGGAATCTGATTAAAAGGAGCCGAAAGGAAATACAATACTACGTACGTTTACGTCACCAATTTAGCGTATAATATATTTTGAGGAAATATATACAATGAAAAAATATCAAGAATACTTGAGAGCCGATGTTGGCATATGTGTCTTATGTATTCAACTCTAATATTTTTTAGACTCCAAAAGACGCATCAAATTCTTCTTGTGAGATCTGCAATTAAATATACAAACATATAAAATGATAAAAATATTAATTAAAGTCATAGAAGAGAAAAAAATTAATTTTTCCAAGTAGAAAAAAAAATTAACACATTACCTTCTTCTTCTTGAATTTTTTAATTAATGCTATATCTTTTGCCAATTCCTCGAGATCTTCCTCTTTAATTCGTTTCCTCTTTTTTTTATTAGAAGTTGAAAGTTCTTGTTTCAATTTCTTTTTCTCCTTTCGTTTGGTTCGTTTCTCTTGTTTGTCCAGCTTTCTCTTCTTGCTTTCTGACCAGGATTCAGTTTGTTTTTGTTTACGTTTATGATTAGTTGACCAAACGCCTGTATTTTGATATTCAGTCAATTTCTCTATTCTGTGTAATTCACGTTGTTTGTTCGCATAAGGTATCGCGTTTATATCAATTTCAGGACCAACAAAAAACGATACATCCTTTCCTTTAAGCTCAGGCATTTTTGGCATTCTTAACAGTCCAAAACCCATTGCTAGCTTTCCCATATCAATATCTTTTAATCGAAGAATTAAATTGCATTCATGTTTACTGTACGATTGTATGTATGAAACAAATGCACGGTTTGCTTTATCAAACATAAGCCGATCTTTTTGTTGCAGGTGCCTCATACATTGCAAGCATTCTTCAATGATATTTTTATTTGGTTTTGTTATCATTTGTTGCAGTTCTACTTTTTGATTTCTTTTAATAAAATCTACATATGCATCTTCTGTTTCTAGAAGAAATAGTAATGCATTTCCTTCATTGCCAATCCTAGCAGTTCTACCGCATCTATAAGGAATATAAACTAATATTGCAAAATTATTTCTTTAAGATAATATTTCCTTTTACAACATTATTACCTGTGTACAAAACTACTGGCAGTAGATGGAGGATCATATTGTAACACCCAATTTATCTCAGATATATCAATTCCACGAGCCATTACATCTGTACATATTAAAATTCCATTTTCAGCACGTCGAAATTGGTCAAACACTTTATATCTTTTGCTTTTCATTTTACCATGTAAAGCTAGCACGTTTATTGATGGTAATAATCTGTAAATACATGTATAATATATACAAGGAGATTTTATGTAATACTTGATTACTCAAAATTTATTTTTAATATGCAAAAATTAAAATCAATAAAACATTGATTGAAAAGGATGAATATTAATCGAAAGTAACAAAAATACTACATTAAGAAATTATATTAAATGAAACATCTTGTAACAAAATAATTGAAATTTTATATGTAGCAAATAATATTTTGCTTAATATTTAATTAAAGCATAACTTACACTTGTATAACTCGACTGAAGTAATCCACACACGCACAGGTAGATAAAAATATCATATACTTTGTTTTAAATCCTATTGAGCGTATAAAATCTATCATTACTGATAACTTATGCTCAGATTGAACAATTGTATAACTATTGTTCAAATTTACAGGCGTTGAAATATTAGATTTCTCTTTTACAGTTATAAATGCTGGATTTCTCAGACCTGCCCTAATTAATTGTTGCAATTCTTTCGTCTGTGTTGCAGAAAATAAACCCGTTCTTCTAAGACGTGGCAAATAGCTTAAAATGCTATCTAAAGTTGCAGAAAATCCTAAATCTAACAATCTATCTGCTTCATCTAAAACAAGAAACTCCTAGAAATAACAATATTTGATTAGTCTAAGAATGCTAATTGCAGATGAATGATTTTGTTACAAAAAACTATGATTTCTTACCAGAGATTTTATACATAAACTCAAATTTATGAAACTACAATTGGATAAAATGTCTTCTAATCTGCCAGGTGTGGCAACAATAATATTAGCTCCTCTCTTCAAATTTTCTGCATCTTCTTTAAGTGTTACACCTCCAACTAACAATACTTGCTTCAATGATGGAATTTTTGCTAAGAATTTTTCCAAAACTTCGCTAATCTGTGTAGCCAGCTCTCTTGTAGGACTAATTATTATCGCTCCAATTTCCATAATTTTCCATTTTTCTGATCGTTTCTACATATTGTAACATATAAAAACTTTTTAATATCTTAATTCTCTATCAAAGATAAAAATAAATGTTTAGAATAACAATATACATGTTTTAATACAAAACAGTTTATAAGAAATAATCTCTTTTAAATACTTATCAATTCTCTTTTTCTGATAAATTTAAACAACTTTAAACAAATTAAAATTATATAAATGTAAGCAATATTTCTTAATATTTGATTTTTACAAATTATACATAAACACTTAAACTTCAACAAGCTTTAAAAGAAATTCCATATTCTAAATATATATTGAAATAAATTTATATAAATAAAAGATTACTTGTAATATCTCCAATAAAGGAACAAGAAAAGCAAGTGTCTTTCCACTGCCCGTAACTGCTTCTGCGGCAACATCTTTACCTTTCAGTAACAATGGTATACAAGCTGCCTGCAATTAATATAACAATAATTATGTCGTTATTTTACAAGCATACTTTTTAATAATATTTAATGTTTTAATAACGTTTCTAGTGCATACACATTATGTGATATTACCTGAACTGGTGTCATATCAAGAAATTTTAATTGTTTGAGTGTTTTTAATACAGGATCGCTTAACTGCACATCCAATTCTTTCCATTTTTGTGTTTTCATTATAAATCTATATTATCTATTTTATTTATCTCAAATAACAATTAAAAAATGTCTTATTTATAAAAGAATATATGATGTTGAAAACATAACTCTCTCAATCTGTCATATGAAGGTTAGGAGAAAATCTTTTGCTATTATTTTATATATGGATAGTGCTAATCTTTTCATGAAAGATATCAAAATAAAAAATATTTATAGATTGAAAATGTGATATTGTATTCTATATAGGCTAAAAATGCTATCAAAGGAAACTTAGAAATGGAAAATGCTAGAACAATCAGTAGCTGAATCACGTGGTTCGAAATTTAGTGCGCATGCGAGGAAAAATCAGCTCATGCACACACATATACAAATAATTTAATTTGAATTGAAATAATAGCAATAGCTATATATATATATAATTGATAGAAAATATAATTTATTAAATAAAGTTTGTTTTACGCTTTAAATATATATCAAGAAATATATTCAAGACGATATTTACATGCACTAAACGAAATAAATTACGTACTAGCAATAAAGGATAAAGAGAAACACATATACAAGAAAATTGGTTTTTAACGTATTGATTTTTTTATTTTGATGTTTTTTCTTCTTTTTAAATCTCTTCAATATAAAATCTGTTTAACGATGCCATACACTCAACTATCTCTTTCAGGCAAATGTTGTTTTTGCTTCCTTCTGTTAATATATACGATTAGGTCTAAGGCCGTAGTTGTTGAACATTCTTTTCCCAATCAGTATCGAGCATGGATTAAAAATTTATCTGGACGAAGCTTTCTACATGGATGAGATTAGCGATAATTATTGCAAAAAGATGGAATATACTTTGGCCTTTTTTAATTCAATGATATCAATAGATTTAAATACTGTGTTTGTAGCATTATACAATTAAATATGTATTTTTAGCACTTTGAGAAAAACCATCTTTTTTCCTTGGTCCCTGCTCTTATTCTAATATGAGACAGAATTAAAATGTTACACAATCAATTTAGTAAATAAATAAAAATAAATGCAAGTAATTATGCACGTTTATATCTTTTCATGTAACACAGATATAGTAGAAGAGCAGTGCAAGAGAATATCAGTTTTAAGAGAAACTATTCATAAGAGAGAATCTATATAGAATAGGATTTTATAAATTTACTATAGAATTAACTATATACGAATCAAAAAGATCTTATTGTTTGCAGTATTTTTCTCTCTTTACCACTAATCTCACCTTTGTTCTCTAAATAATAATATATGCCACGTTTAGATATATTCTTAAGTTCATGCAATTACCAAGCATCCACTTTTTGCTTATTAAATGAGAAGTACACAATTAACTCGAATATAAATATCAATTACATTGCTTCAATCCCTAATTATCCTATAACTGATATTAATTTTATTACATTTTTGATAGAAATTATACAGAAATTAGATATATTTTCACGACAATGTTGATATAATTTATTTTAATTAAAAAAAATGACAAACAAGTTTTGTTATACATTTTTTTACTATTTAGCAATTATTTTATATGACACTTATAAAGTAAATGAGGAGACTATACTCTATATTGATAATATACAATGCATTTTTATATAACTCGGATTTATAATAGTCAAATTTTTTAAATTTAATAATGTCATTCTTTTTTTTAATAAACTTTTAAATCATATTATTTCGTGCTATTTATTTATGGCTATTTAGAGCATGATAAAATATAAACATATAGAAATTCTATTAAGTTATTTAAAACACAAAATCTAATAACAAATGTATTGTATGTATCTACTATTGAAACAAATTGTTGAAATTTTAATATTAAACTCAAATTGAATGAAACCTTGCTCGATATGTAAATTATGTACTTCTCTGATGCCTGCTTGCTATTCGCATCGTTAACATTAGCGCGATTTGTCGGTGTGCAGATGCTGTATCTATTCGCATATTCGATGTAGTCTTTCGTGTTCGAAAATCGTGCGCGTATCAACATCTCGTAACAAAACTCATCAACAAACCGCAGAATCGTATATTTCGCTGTTTTACCCTGCAAGCCGTTCGCCAGCTTCAATAATTATCACTCGCTTCGTTCAAATCAGATTCGAAAGAGTTCATAACCGTTCTATCCTCTTTTTCGCGAGTTCTTTATCTTTGCGAATGGAATTAACACCCAGCCACATGGGCAGAAAAATATGCCATGTATTTTCATATACCTCATTTTTACGCAATTTCAATAATCATCTCGATTAAAAATAAAAATAAAGAAGAGAGAAAGAGGGAAATAGAGATAAATTCGCTCGCGCGATTATTTTTCATTTTTCGATTGAAAATCTCAGTTCAATTATTTTACAGTAGTGCAAGCTATATCTGTATGAAAGAAGATTAAAACTTTTAAATTCAAGAATTGTATTAAACGAGCGATCCCTCAAATTCTCTCTTTAAAGCACTACTCAATAAAAATGCACGTTATCAAAGAAATCTTTGATAAACTCATTTTTTATATCCAACATATTAATCTGATAAAAGTAAGTCCGTGATAATTTTACGAAAATTTTTAAAACTTGATTAAAATAATCAACGTGATGAAATTTTTTAGAGTCCGTAATACAGGTATAGGTCATTATTCGACGATTGACCTACATTTAAAGAAGAAAAGTTACTTTCAAGATAGTTAATACTCTCTTTGATCGTTTAGAATTGTTTAAAATATCGTTTAGGATAATATTGTTTTGTATTGATTACCCTTCTTTTTCTCACCATAAAACGAAATGCGAGATAATTTCATACTGCTCGTCAATGTAAAAAGTTGATGATAAGTGTTTAATTTACACTGTTGACGGACAATGGATTAATCGGATAAATTGAGAGAGTCCATAGAAGAAGTGAGCAGTTTTCCAAGCAATCGGTCAAAGAAAGCAATCGTACTATCATGAAAGTAACTCAATTTTGAAAGTCTTATTCTATTTTCAGAATACTAACACTCTTCTCTTTCTTTTTTTACTTCATGTTACCGGCTACTGATTGTGCGGTAAAATAACGGGTATAGTTTGCTGCGCACCCGGAGGTGGCTGTGGTGGTAGGTATTGCATGTGCTGTGGTGGAATTGGTATATGAGGTGGAAGTATTGGACACATAATTGGATAACTTGGGCCGTGATTTTGAGGTGGAGGTTGCGCATATGTAGGCTGTGGAGTACCGGGTGGATTATAAGCACCCGGTGTGTGTGGTTGATTTGGATTGGCCGGGGACGGCGTTTGGCTAGGTGGTTGTTGAGTTATATGAGGGTGTGGATGTGTATGCGGACCCATGTATTGTAAACCAGGAGCCTGCGGTCCTTGCGAATCATGATGATGGTGATATGGAGTAGCCATGTGTGGCGGTGGCGGTGGTGCCTGTACCATGCGTACCATTTGCTGGTACGTCGCCGGTTGTCCTGGATGATAAGGCATCTGGAATGGTGGATGTATGGCTGGCGCCAATAACGGCTGTCCCGTTGCTGCGGCTACTTGTAACTGGGACAGATCTGGGGTACGTTGTATCATTGGCACTATAAAAGATATAACAACATGTGTTAAATAATGTTTTGCTTTCAGTATCAATACATAATTATATTCTAGTCAGTCAAAAAAATAAAATTGATCTTGAAATGATTCTCGAGAAACGAATAATCGAAATTTAATTTTTTATTTAACTATTGCATAAGCTATTCAAAACAAATTTTCTCTGCAGGAAATTTTTCAAATCTTTGTTAAAAAAAAAAAAATACATACTTATACGTGTCTGTGTGTGTGTGTTTATAAAACTTCACCCGAGTTAATGAGTTGTTTGTCTCACACAGTCATAAGAACTACATAGCGGATACTGACCCTTTCGGAACCTTGTCACTGGCTGAGCCTGTGGCTGACTAAATGCCGTTGGTGTTACATACGCCGTCGGCATAACAACAGTAGGCATAGATGCTGCTGTATACTGAGGAGTTTGAGGCGTATGTGGCCGACTAGGTGTTGGTGTGCTAGGAGAGCGCTATAGATTGTACAAACATATATTTCGTTATTTCTATTCAAATTTAATTTACTGTGATATATATTACTGTGATATATATTACTTACTGGTGTAAACGGTTTGGCATTTGGATTAAATTCTTTAGCGTTTGGATTCAAAGTAGATTTCTTAAAAGCAGTAGTTATCTTATCAACCGCGGGTTCTGGTGGTGATTGTTGTACTGTTGGAGTATTGGTTTGCGGTTGTGGTGGTGGTGGTGGTTGTTGTTGTGGTGGTGGTGGTGGTTGCTGCTGCTGCTGCTGCTGCTGCTGAGGTGGACTTGTAGACCTTACTGCTAGTGGTGGACCAGGTGGTGGCTTACTTGTAATAACAGGTTCTTCTTGTACAGTTTGATGTTGTTGATGAGGACTGGTATGCTGCTGTGTCGGCGGCTGTTGTTGTGGTTGCTGTTGCGGACTTGTATGTTGATGAGAAGCTTGATGATGTGGCTGATTCATCGGAGTAGCAGAATGAACATCTTGTTGATGCTGATGCTGTTGCTTTCGGGAAATTTGTGAAGTATCTGGTGAATCTCCTAATTTGAATTCTGCAGCAAACTGTCTGAGCTCCGAATGCTGTTCATCTCTGCCACGTGGTGTCGGAACCTTAGAGTAAAACTTATGATCGTAAATGAGTTGCCTTTCTTTTTAAAAAGAATTATTATTCTAAACGAGAGAATATAAATGCGCCGTACCTTCCGATGATCTGATTTGTGTATAACTTGTCCATCCACAGAATTCTGTTGTGGTAATGATGCATGTTGCTGATGTGAAGTCTGCTGCTGCTGGTGAGAAGATGCAGCATTTGATTGAGGAAATGGCGCCGGTGGCGCTTTATCAGCTTGATAAACCTGTTGCCTGCCGGGTCGCTCCCGTTTTTCCGTATTTAATTTATTCGAAGGTGTTTGTTGTTGTTGTTGCGGAGGAAAGCTTACTTGCGCCATTGCGGGAGCAACTTGAGATTGTGGTTGATTCTGTTGGATAACTATATCAAAGGAACATACAATTATCATTCAATATCATTATGCAATCTTACTTTGAATATAATAATTTAGGCTTTTGACTATAAAGAGTTACTATATGACTATCCTATGTTTATTACATAAAAAATCATTATAGTCTTTTAAAAAATATTTATCGCATGCAAAAAGTTATTACAATAACTAGCTAAAAATTTTTATTTTTATTTTGTTTGCAGTACATTTCTCGTTAAGCACACATTGATAGTTTCTTATCCTTTTTTTTTATATATTATATAAATATATTTATATAACGTAATAAAGTTATACATGCCAATTCAATAAAAAAGTATGCTTATATTTTGCTACTATAACGTTTTTCATTTAATTCCTTGCAGTTTTAAATAAGGTTCATTGAATCAATGTTAATATTTTCATAAATAAAAATTGCAACTAAATTAATATACCTTGCTGCGATTGTGTCGTAGGTGGAGGCACAAATGGCGGAGGTGGATTATTATACGTAACAACCACTCCATTGGGCGGCATACCCATATTTAAAGGTACTGGATGTTGCACCGGAGCATGAGCAGGCTGTACTCCAACCGATATATTTGCTTGCGGGACATTTACATTGACTGTGGACGGAGATGGTTGGCTGTAGACATTCTTATTGTTTGTGGTTCCGGGCGAAGACGGAGGTTCACTGGATCTCATTAGTTTATTAGTGTTACCATTCTTCTTCTTCAACGGCGGTGGAATATATTTTCCTTCGGTGGGCCTCGTCTAAAAGTAAGTAATTATTAAGAGAGAAATTCAATAAATAAAAATAAGAATTTCGAAATATTTGTAAAGCTTACCACAGCTGCAAATCTTTCTTCTTCATCACCATTTTCCAATTCTAATCTAGCCTTATGATTTGGTTGAGATTCAATCTCATTTGCTATTTCAGCAGCCTTCTGCTCTTGCTCTTTATAATCCTTTGTATCTTTACGTTGAAGCTGTAAAGTATAACCAACTAAAGAAGGTTCAAATGTTGTTTGAACTCCATAATCCTGTTCGTTTTTACGAAACATTTCATTAACATCCCAACCATTCTGAAAATCAAACATTTTTATATAATCATTCTTTAATTGATTTCATTAGTTTGTAATAAATTTGCAGACTTACAGAGCCAGCTTCTAACTCTAAGTCAGTTCCATTCATAGCAACAGTTGGTGCCTCCCAAGGCTCAAGTTCTTTCTCACCGACTAAACCATTAAACTTACTAATGGCTGTATCGGTTTGGAAAGTATCTCTTATAGCATATTCTAAATCGGCATCCTTTGCAGATATAGTGACAATGTCATGTGATTTAAAAATTAATTTCTCTACTACATTATCCGCATTAATCTTCTCATCTACCCGATGGGCCATTTCTAATACTACGTCAAAATTACTGGAGAACGTTCTAAATATACCTTCATATACCGAGCCATTTTGCGTTTGAATCTATGATTAATTTAAATAATTTCAGGTCAATATATTAATAATTCATATACAAATATATACATTCTTACTGTTCATATATATAAATATGTTTTATATATATGTATATCTCTACCTGTACTATATTTCCAACATGGCCAGTGATTGCATGCATGAAATGAGCATTGTTATAAACTCCTTCTGCTACAATATTTCTCTCCTGTGGCACACGTGCCCGCGGAGATCTGGAAGAGCATAACGATCAAAGAGAACATTATCTTTCTCATCGATATCGTTGCTACGTTAGAAATACTATACCTGCTATTATGATCTTGACGAGGCGAGCCAAGTGACTGGCAGTACCTGTTATTGTTTGTACGGTTCTTCCTCTTGCTATTCATTTTGCCTGACGGTTCCTCACCAGTCGTTGGTGGATTTCTGCCGCCGGTTTGTTGGAGGCCCTCTCGTTTCTTAGTAGGGACCGGAATTTTGACTACTTTCCCGAGGACCGCTCGACGTCGAAAAAATCCGTTTTCTCGTCCGATGGACGAACTCGGGATCGTCAACCTGCCGTGGCGACTCGCTCACTCGCGCGAATAATAATCCGCGAGAACGTTCGTCGAGCGGACGTGAAGAGGAAGAAGGACGACAACGAAGTCGCGACGACTATCAACATTCACGATGGCTTTTAGGTTATACGCAAACAAAGGTCCGAACACGAAAAACTTTTAAAAGGCGTGCAATTTGAACACGCAGCGGGGGCAAATCGGACTCAAGATGCCTGCTTTGGACTTTGGATCGCGGTTTGACAGACGCGAGACGCTACGGAGATATCGCTACGGAACAATAATCCCGCGCTGAGGAAAAACGACGGACGCGCGTGTATATATATTGTACATACGTGACAGCGAGAGCAAGTCGAAGCGACGAAGTCTCAAGAACCGAATTGTCCACGAGGTCGTCGCGTAGCCTCGACGACTGTTGACGGCTGATTTACGTGACGTAACACCACGACGACGACGACGACGACAACGACGACGACGATGATGATGATAATGAAGATGGGTATACCTTTCGAGGGAACGTAAGAAGTGTTGCTTGCGTGCAGAGTAGCCCGTCCGTGTCCAAATCTGTGACTGACTTGGACGCTCGGAGTAGAAACGACGATGATTCGACGATCCGCGCGAACGACGCGTGTCAAGCAGTGTCAAGCACTGGCGGTGGGGTCCGCGAAAAATGCGCGTTTCTCGATCTCTCCTTGTTTTTAATTAATCAACATGTGGTAGAGAAACTATACGACAGGCTGTGGTTGCAACCTTGCAACATATGTATATCTATATGTATACCTATGTTCAACCCGAATCGCGCTGAGCGTGTTGAGTTTAGAGATCTTTCAATTATAAAAATCTCTGTAGTTGAATTTTGTCCTGCAGCCGCGCCACCTGGCGGACGCTCGCGGGTTTTAAGGTACCTTTTCATGTATCGCTCATCGCTCGTTTTCGGCGATATAATGACGTAATCGTTAGCGACATGATTTTGTAGTTGGATTTTTCTAACTACAATTAGTATTACAATTACATATATAATTAAACGGAATTCTTAACAATTATTATTACTACTACGTTATTTCAGATCGAGTATCTTAATGTTGGAAAATTTATGCGTATTACATTGTATCCTGTCTGATTTATCATCCGTGCGTATTCGCTATGATGAGATCGTTCTTGAGAAATTATCCCGTGAAATTTCATCGTTTGTTTGCCAGAAATTATTGTTACTTTCGGTGTGCACTGTGAGTGGTTAATACAATTATTAATTAGTCAAATGTTAAAAAAGATATCCTTTCGTAATTTTTCCGTTTACTTATTATATGCGGATTGTTTAAACATTATACACGAGCGAATAATAATTTTTCATAAATATTTTTTGTAGATTGAGTATGTTACACTTTCATTATCCATTTGATTCATAAATTTCAAAGTTGTCTTTCACACTTGTTAATATCGTTTGTAGTTCGAAAAAATCCAACTACAAAATCATGTCTCTATAGCGATTACGTGACGTTATTATATCGCCGAAAACGAACGATGAGCGATACATGAAAAGGTACCTTTACGCTTGTCCCGATCGACTCGACTATCGATAGTATCGAGAAAGTATCGATGTTGCATCTGAAGCAACTTTCAGGATATGCAGTCCACCGTGCAATAGGATGGAGAAATGTTCGCTGTGGAAGTAATTATTCGACGAGTTTTCTTATATAATATTTTGAGAGAAATATCGAATTTGTTCGAAAACATTGTCGCTCTTGTTTCTTTTAATAAGGTTGATATATTCGAGTCGCATACTATGAATACGTTTATTGGAAAAGTATAACCTCGCTAACCAATAAACGTTCGAGGCGGAAATACGTCATACCTTGTTTGCTGCATCGAGTTGCCGAACATGGAAGTTGTATATAATCAACTTTTGGAAAACGGATCTGCACGATTATATCATATATATAGAAGCGTAATTATTTTTTTTAATTATTCTCAGTTTATCAATAATTAGTGATAAATTATGACAGAAAATCAAATATTACACTTTTAAGAAAGTCTTTGTTTTAATATTATTTCTTGGGAACGGTGCAATAATAATGTTCACGAATAAAGTATTACTTCCGGAAAAGATGGAAATTTGGTTATCATGTAAAAGTCGGGTACTATTTCTTAACATATAGTGAATATAAAACATCGACACACACACACAGAATTATTTATAGGACACTTAATGCATAGAAAAATTAATTAATCACGTGTGTATTATAAATAAATAAATATATATATATATATATATATATATATATATATATATATATATATGTCTTTGGCACGAAAAATTCTCTATTAATCGATTATTAACATAAATTTATAAATATATTTATAAATAACTACGAAAAAAAAAATTCACATTTCTATTATTTTCTTGTAGGACAAACATAAAACATCGTATCGCCATTTAAAGCTGAATCATTTCTTCATTGTTTCTACGCATGAGGACACATATATATATTACGAAGAAAAATTGTATTTGGCGGAAATTCTACGAATTCTAAACTGCAAAGATTATTTCCAATAAGGTGAAATTTTCAGGTATGTTACTTTTCGTACGTATGTACTCATCGTGATATCTTTAATCAATTAAAAATTTTTAGAAACATTAGAGTTTTCATGAACTGGTATTTATTAAACTATACACTATGGTATTTATTAACTATAGCTAATAAAATAAGAGCTAAAATAAAGAATGAATCCAGCAAACACTAAGTAACTATATATATTATATAACTGTTAGTTGTAACTTTCCACTCAACAATGTAAATGCAATATATATAACATGTGTTATATATTGCAGATTGCATTTACATTTGTTGAGTGGGAAATTACAACTAACTATTATATACCCAGATAGCCACAGTAATTATTATAACATGCATCATTTGCCATCAAAATGATGCATTTTGACACCAAAATAATGTCATAATAATTACTGTGGCTATCTAGGTAATAGTTATTTGGTGTTTGCTGGGAATGGTCTAATAACTAATTGTAAAAAATAACGATTTTTATAATTTTGAAAATACTTTGTATATAATTACTCAATTTTTCATTTTAATTACCCTAATTATTTTATAAGCTACAATTAATAAATTTTCTTTGTTATTAAAGCTTTATTTTTCCAATTAATCAAGAAAATAAAGCTTTAAACAAAAGAAATTGATTGTAACTTATAAAATAATTATATTCTGATAACACACAAATTGCAACATTATATATATATATTCTTATAATGTCGAAAAATTCAATAAAATTTAGTAATATTAAATAAAAACATATAAAAATTAATAAAATTTGAGAATATGGAATAGGAATTATATTAAATTTAAATAAAAGAAAAAGGAAAAGGTTAATCGATCGAACATCAATATGTTCGATATTAGTACACAATATAACAAATTCATCAGCGATTGTGCAACAATTTAATTGACATCGTTCATTAATTTATCGCTAGATGTCGATGTATGCTTTAAATAAAATAATTTCAATTTATATAATAAAAGAAATATTTCAACATTTATAGACAAATAAATAACGTATTATTAGAATTTTATAATTTCTTATTGCAAGAAATGCATGCATATGTACATAGATTTACATTCATACTCATAGAATTATATTTCATTAATATAACTAAGATTTAATCTAATTTAATTTAATTTAATATATATATATATATATATATATATATATATAATTATTTTTACTACAAATGTATTAAAAAAAGGCCAACTTATCGAGCAATATTTAAGATGTTGTATCCAATTAAAATTTATTCCATATATATTTCAGAAAATAAACAATATATTAAAAATACAAAATACCCTCCATATAACCCTCCATATAACTCTCTATATGGAGGGTTTTTGTATTTTTAATATACTGTTTATTTTCTGAAATATATATGGAATAAATTTTAATTGGATACAACATCTTAAATATTGCTCGGTAAGTTGGCCTTTTTTTAAATACATTTGTTGTTTTATACAATACACGAGCGAATAGAAATTTTAATTGATACATTTTTACTATTTTATATTAAATCTTAGTTATATTAATGAAATATAATTCTATGAGTATGAATGTAAATCTATGTACATGCATGCATTTCTTGCAATAAGAAATTATAAAATTCTAATAATACGTTATTTATTTTTATTTGTCTATAAATTTTGAAATATTTCTTTTTTTATATATATATTATATTGCTAAAAAATTCATGATTCAATAATTAAAACAATATAGATATGTGATATTGATACAAATAATTATTATATTTTATAATTAATATATATTTTATGATTCATATTTATAAATTAATGCAAGATTCTTTATTTTAATTATTAAGAAATTATTTTTTGAGACGATTACGAGCGAGATCTGCGATATCTTTCATTTTCATCAACGTCATAAATCGCATTAAGTTTGCGAATAATGTTCTTTGTCCTATCGTAAACAAAATTGTCCATTTGGCCCAAAACATTGACGAATCCAATTATCTTCTCAAAACCACGATTTATCCTTGCAGACCTTTCAACATCAGACTTAGCTCCTTGAATTTGAGATTCTTTTTTCGATAATCTTGTAGACAGTTTCTCAGCTTTATTAGACATTTCGGCAGCGTTTGCGAATATCTGTTTAGCAAAATTTTTATTAGAGAAATAATATACCACTAATATATATAATTTCTTTAATTTTAAAATAATTTTCTGTTATTTTAGAAAACATATATAAATTTAATAATTTTATATAAACATTTTTATATAAAAAATTTATATTTTTTCACATTACTTATAATTAATCTTACCATACACACAATAACAAAAAGTAGAAAAATATATTTATTTTAACCAAACATGCACTCATCTGGTTAATTCTCATATTTTATAGATTTTCGTAATTTACAAAAACGAAAATTGATAAGAATAAAATTTACGCACTTTCATTGATTCAATACTGAGTCTTTAACTAACAATGAAACGATTTAGCAATTTCCATCCTTTTATAAGAGGCAAACATATGTACGTATATACCATCCAGTAATATTGTGTGGGAGAAATATTTTTCATTCCATTAATATTTTTGTACTTTTTAAAATTAAATTTATATTACAAATAAAATATTTTATTTTATTGGAATAATCTCTGCTATGAGTAATTGATTTTATACATTAATTAAATTTTATATATTTTTTTAGTTGTAATTGCTAAATATTTGACAATATACGGATTTAGGTCATATCGATTTGGAGAATTTTTCTTGACGTAAATAAATTCCATCAACTTATGTTAACAGTGTGAAATCAAAGCGGAATCCGCTGATTGCGTATAATTACTTACTTTGTTGTCACCTATTACTAAATTTAACGACACATGATTAAACAATCATGATTTTCGGATTAATTGCATTATATAACAGAAATATGGCTTTTTATTCTAATTTTCATTTACTTTTGTACTTATTAACTTTTACAAATCTATAAAATATCATTTTTATATAAGAATTAAAAAATGTTTTTAAATATTTTAGATTAATATTTAAATTGTTACAAATAATTAAATAAAACTAAATATTTAAAATTTAAATACTGAACCGAATTTAAAGGAATATTATTTTTTTATTATTAACATAATTTTATTTATAACAAAATATATTTGTTCTCTATAACAATAAAAATTTATTATTTATTGATTAATTTGTCATTAAACTTTGTGTTTAAACTTTATTAATTTATTAATTTAAGATTATATTACGTAGAAGATTTCTGCAGTATATATCATTACATACTTTTAATATTGTTTAAATACGGAAATTTTGTTTCTCAACATCAATAAAATCATATACATATAATTGTTGAGAATTTTCAAATATACACGTATTCGTATGAAATTCAATAAACATCATGATACATGCAGCGACGGTCATTCAGGAAATACTTTTTATGCTGGCTCATTTTTACGTTCGCTATCGAAGTTTCGTATTCGCGTAAGCAAAGTTTGTGTAGTGAATTATGAATCTTCACACAATTCATGGATATCATTTTTTATTTTATATTTATGTTACAGTCGTATTACTGTTAACGATTCATGCAGTAAGTATAAATTTGGTATGTGTATTACATTTATCAGTAAAATTATTGCAGTATATGTATAATTGCAATTTCCAATAAATTTTTTGATGATACTATAATGATTAATATATTTTTTTATTGTATTTACATATTTAAATTTAATAAGATATTTATGTGTTGTAATTTTCTTATTTTTTATATTCTTCAAGTCGTCATTTGCATCGACCAGTACCTATGCTGTACCGATTAAACTGTCAGAAAGGACCAATTTTAAACCTGTAAGCTATATGACTTCAAAAGTCATGGGTACAGTCGTCAAAACCATTTCTTTCATTGATCGATGGCTCCCGCACATCTCGTGGATGAAACCGACCAAATCAAAGTTAACAGTACAGCCAATCAACACTTATCATCGGGACGACTTCTCATCTGAAGAATAAGACTGTTGATATTTTTTTAAATTAGATAATATATGCAATTTCGTTAATTTATTTATTGTATGATAATTAAATACGTAATTAGATAACTTTGATATTAAAAAATACATTTCTTTAATTGATCTCGATGTATGATATGTATATCTAATTATGCAATATATTATGCGATATATTATTCATAGAATAAAAAATAAAAGTATCGTAATAATATCGAATAATTTTAATGTGAGAATCCTAAAAGAATTTATAAGATAAGATTAAGTTGTACAATTAAAATTATTATCTTAGTAATGCAGCAAAGAATATATATATATATATATATATATAACAACAATAATATAGGTTTAAAAAAGATAAGAGAGGATAAATGAGTTCAAGTGCTTTTATTAATAATCATTTGTTAATTATTTATGATATAATGTGAAATTTTGCTTGAGTATAAACTCAATTTTTCCGCATGTGTTTACATTCAAGATGTTAGTGCACGAGTAATTCATTGTGTGATCTGTTTCATTTTATGGTTGTGGCGTCGTGGCTTGCTGTAATTGATTGTTCAAGTTCTGAGAAGCCTGTACGGCAAGGTTTATCGCTTCTTTGGTAAACTTGGCGATACCCTCTTGCACTTTTGCGGAGTTCTCGCTGATAGCCTTAGCGGTATTCTCGGACTCTGTTACAAGGGTTTGGACACCCTCCTGGAACTTGGTACGCAACTGATTAACTTGTTCCGTAGTCTGGGGATCATTTATTGTTAGTCTGTCGGCCATTTGAGACAGTTTGGTCTGCAGATTCGACCAAATATTTTCCAATTCCGGGCTTTTGGTCTTGATCTAGAAACCGACAATTTGTCATGTAATCATATTTTAGACTTTAAAGGATAAAGTTTCAAAAAATAATTAGTAATATCGAAGGATTTTTGAAAATGTTGATAAAATAAATAAATATAGGACCAATAATAAATAAATTTTAAATTTTATAAAATCACTTATTTAGTATCTAGCAAGAAAATTTTATTATAGCACAAACAAAATATGTCGAGATAATGATATTCTAAACTTCCTGTTTTCGCTACATTTGTTGTTTGAATTACTGAATTTGTTGACCTTCGATTGTGTGATATCATTTAAGCATTTTTAATTATGCACAATCGATTGTAGTGAATCGTATGTGCTAATATGTTGTCAAGTATAAAGTACGTGACTTTTTGACATTCTTTAGTAGCATTAATATAGTGAGTAATTTTGTTACATAATTTTTAATGTAAATAATTTAATGAGAAAAAAAGAAGAAAATAATGTTGCGTATTTACGATTTGCACAAATTCTTACATTCTGCAAATAGAAAAGAATAATAAGAAATGTCAGTAATTTATCATTTACTTGTGATTGTTTTTATTTGTTTACAGTTTGTTATAATGATACTATGATTTTTTAAAAGTCTAACGCATCAAAAAATATTTTATCGACTTAATAATGTTTTATGAATAGAAATATATAAATTACATTGTACATAAAATTCTGTTTTTATTATAGTTATATTTATTGGTTGTCTATTTTTATAATTTATCTGTATATTAATTATCTCTTGTGGATTGACTTAAAACCGGTCGAGTTTTTCTCTTGCTAATTTTTTCAAATTAACAAATAATCCTCTACACGTAGAACGATGCGTTGATTTTTTGTTTCTAATTTTGAAAATGCGTCTTTATGTAGAAGATCTCGCGCGTTGAAACTGCAAACAAATACTTAAGTCAATCTTTAATCTCTATATGCATTGCGAAATAAAGAACAACCATATAACACACATTTAATAAACTAACAATTTTTAAATCAAATCGAGGTATCGAAGTTGCTTTATGTGTCTAAAGATTCACTTTTACGATCACGACGTTACAATAAAATATATTCAATACGAGAAGCAAATAAAATATACTTATATTATACGTTTATTAGTATATCTGCTCACCTCTGTGGTCATGTTCTGTAGGTAAGTATGGAGATTATTAGCGAAATTGTTGGTGTGCTCTTGTAAGGTATTCATAAACTCGCTTTGGTTGGGCAAGTTTTCTTGTATATGTTTCTGGAGCTCGGTACCCAAGTTAGAAATGACATTCTTGGCTTCCGTAAAATGATCAGCTAAGGTTGATTCTTGAGATGGAGTGCCGGTTTGCTGGTTTTCGACATCGCTGGCTGGTACAACCTTGCTCTCGGTTGCGACCAAAATGACGGCTAGGATACATAGGGCTAACCACTTCATCTTGATGTTTTCTTCTTGGTCGGTTGGAAAACGACTAATGCATAGGATGAACGTCGCACTCCCTTTTATAGGCGTTTCTTATCGAAGAGGGCAAAGTGCTTATTATCTCATTTCGACGACAACGACCTGCATTTTTCTTTACATTTTGACGCTACATTTTTCTGAAATACTTTCTAACGAAATTTATGCTTGTTCCAAGAAATTCGATGTTTACTCAGACAAAAAGATGAAGGCGAACCTAAATATTCTAATATTTTAGAATTATTTATAATTATATTTCTGGGTAACTGTTGCTTGTAAAGACAAATTTAAAAGAGAAAAAATGTTTATTGTTATATATGCAACGAATATTACTTTATTAGTTATGATGACTAAATTACTTTTTTGAGAATTTTAATTTTATATTAAAAAGTAATATTATATGTAATTTTATAAATAACGCTATATGGAATTATAGATTTATAAAGTCATTAAAAATCACAATGAATATTATTTGTCTTAAATCATTATCATTATATATTATATTATGTTCAACGACAGTCAAGCGACAGTCAACAAAAAATACACATTAAATAATAATAAATTATTTTTTCTTACAAATGCATACGCAACAGCAAATTTTGAAGATTATGTATTTTAAAGTATATTTTTTAAATATAAATATTATATAATGTAGTATTTTTTCATAAATGTTTTTATAAAATTTCGTGAATTTTTATAAATAGCGTCAAAAGCTACGTTTGTATCAAATAGTCTCTTATAATATAATATCATCTTGATAATTTTCATTTATGGTTTTAATATTTAATAATTTTTTAATAATTAATATATAATATAGAGGTGGTATAATTATCTTAAGCTCAAGTTACATTTTGGTTATTTTCCAAATAAAAATAATAGAATAATTTTCGCAGACGATTATGTTTACTAAATAAAGAATTAAATTCTTGTTAATGCATTGTTAGAATGCAAAACGATTATATATAAAGGAATCAAATACGGAAAGCATAGAATAAATAGGATCATAATTACTGACACAGTGTAATTTGAAGATAAAGTTCTTAGTATTTGCTAACGAAAATATCAAGTCAAGGTTTCCGATCAACTTTTAAACGGTTTTTCTAATTCTGAAGTTTTTCTATCAGTTTACATGATAAGAAACATTTTACCGATAAAATGCTTTTATACACTAATCCTATCAGCACATGTTCGAAAATATCCAATTAACATCTGGATGTCCTCTCAATATTTTTCAAACATGTGTGCTGATAGGGAACAATAAGATTTATACAATTTAAGACTTAGAAGAAAATCTTGCATGTGAAAAAAATGTCTTGAAAGAAAATTCCATTCAAAAAATATTTTATTCTTTTAATATAAGATTATGTTTACATAGCAAGAAATGATCAAATCGATGTCGATTCGTCATCGAATCGATGTCAAATTGGTCAAATTGACGTTGAATTGACGTCGATTCGACCGATGATTTCTCACTGGAATTCTGTATTTTCATGACGTCTTATTTACACGATATTTACATGATGTTTTACATTCTTTATTCTCATATTATCTTTTAGCTTGCTAATTTAAAAAATGTAAGAATTGAGACAAAAGTTTTTTTTAATTTAATCTAAAATTTAGTTTAATATTTTCTTTTGTTATAATGGCAAAGATGTGTTTTTATTATTTAAATGCAATTTATAATATGCTTTATCTAACACGATTCGAAATAAATCGACTGATTTTGGACGATCCCGTAGAAAGATCAAAGTTCAAGGGGAGATCAAAATTATTATCAGTTTTAGTTGGTATTCATTCCTCTCGCGCTTGATGAGACATTACATCAACCGGATAAAGATATGTTCTAGCAAATGTACATGTATATGTGAGCGTGTGTGCGCGTGTGCATATATGCACACATGAGTTGCTGACTTTGCAATGACTCACATTTTTTTGAAAACACATAAGGGGCAAAGATAACAATTTTTTCAAACATTGTTTGTCTGGCATCTTATATTTAATCTGTATATATATAGAGAGAGATTAAATATAAGATGCCGGATATAATAAAATATAAGTTTGAAGACCACACTTGTATTGTAAATTATACTTATATATTTATCTAAAAATTAATTGAATTAAAATAAATATCTGTTTTATGTAATATAAAATCAAACTCTTCAATCTGGATCAGAAAAGTTCAATTTTATCCCACTTTTTTCATTATTAATATCAGAAAGATAACTTATTTCCTTGTAAGAGACAATTGCAAAGTTGTCTATTATACATATTCTAAAAATATAGGTACTATAATATACATATTCGAAATATACATATTTATATACATATTCGAAAAATATATGATGTTTACAAATTTGTATAAATGAGATATATTTGAGAAAGAATTTGTGTGTGAACAAAAGCAAATTCTCTTTAATTTCTTAATATATAGCGAATATATTTATTTCATTCACAGCTTATCTATTAAGTGTGCAAACACACTTGCATATATAGGTAAAACAGTACTTGTGTAATTTTTTGTGTAATTTTTAGTGCCGTTATTTACTTTTAATTATCGTTGATTATTGAAAGCTTTAACTTAATTAGCACGATTTTCACGAAATCTTTACGAGTTATTGCTGCAATTATAATGCTTTTTTCTTTTATGAAAATATATATCAAACAGTGATATATATATATATATATATATATATATATATATATATATATATGACTTGTAAATCAATTTGAAACTGTAAATACTTACAATTTGTTTTGGACATTATTTAATAATGTGGAATGAGTATAAAATGATTTTATTTATATATGTCTTATAACACACACATGTATATATATTGTATAACATTTCTTTATTATTTTATTAAACTTTTTAGTACATGTCTAAGTCAAGATCAACCTCATTACAATATTAACGTATACATGGTCCTCATCTTTATCAGTAAGTGTTAATTTTAATAAAAACATTACATTATTTTATGAATAATGTTGTCGTTGAAGTAAAGACGCTATACGAGAGAAAACTCGTATACGATATTTAATCAATATATTGGTACTTTAAAATCTGAATAACATGAGATATGTTGTAGACTTTGTTTATTAATTTGAATTTTAGCTCAGTAAAATTAGAAATTATCCGAACAATGTTTGAAAAATGTGACGTCTCCTAAACATATAATTTTGGTTGAATATAATTTAAATTACATTTCTTGACCACATAAGACTTATAATTCTGTCAAATCATTGAGAGTATTCTTGATATCTTCCGTTATATTTTTCAATATTTCATCAATCTTTCTTGTTTTTTTTTGTAAGAGAACATTTATCCAAATATTTTGCCATCTCGTTTCGGTAGCAGGTCTTTGACATTGTTCGTCATCTTGTTGCCAATATTTTCTACTTTTGTTTTTACGTCTTCAGCCTTGTCAAACACTTTATCTGTGACTTTCTTACCCAAATCGAGTGGTCCTCCTAAGATTTTCTTAACCGAACTGACGAGTTCATCCGCTAATTTCTCGAGGGAATTTCTGATACCACCTACGACAGTTATAACTTTCCCAGTTAAATCTTCTATCATAGTTTTCATTTTGTCAGCGTTTTCTTTAAGTTTTTTAGGAATTTCAGTTAATAGGTCCTTTACTTTGCCGAAGTTTGATTTCAAAATCTCTTCTATTGTTTGTATACCATCTCTCGTTATGTTTATAGCAGTTTTAAGATAACCGTCTAGACGATCTTTCACTTTTTCAATGATTTTCTTCAGTTCGTCTACAAACTCTTTAACTTTCTTATCAAGTCTATCCACTCGCGCTTTTATTTTTTCAGTAATACTTTTCAAGATTTCTTTAGTGATTATGCCTTGTAATTTCTTTCTTATATCGTTTATTAGCTCCGGCACTCTTCCTTTCAGGTTTTCGACTGCGTCTTTGAGTTTTTCCGCACGATTGTTTACATTTTCGACGAGCTGATTTATATGTTTTTTCATAGTCTCACGTAACTTTTCTGAATTCGCTTTTGCTTTCTCTAAGAATTCTGTCAACTTCTCTATACTTCCATTCTTCAAGTTCTCTGCCTCTTTAGAGAATGTTTCTAGAAATTTCTTAGATTGTTCTAACAGTTTGTTGATTCCTTTGTTTACCGATTCTTTAATTTTATTCAAATTTTCATTATTAAGAGCATCGTTGATGCTATCACCGATATCTTCAACTTTAGCCAGGGCATATTGGACATTTTGCTCGGACGTTTTTTCAAGAAGTGTCTCGAATATCTTTTTGATTTTGTTTTCAAAATTTTCCATTTGTTCTCTGATATGATCCACGATTCCCTGTACCTCAGGTTGCAGATCTCTTACATTTTCTGGCACCGGAACGGCCTAATAAGTGATTAATAAAATGATTAATAAAATAATAAAAATTATTTATATTTTTATGATGTAGAATGAAGCATTATGTAAATGTAGTTAGTAAATATTGTATTATGTTATATTCATAAGCTATAATATTATAAAATCTAGAGTTAGAGCGTATAATAAGCAAAGTAATATACAAATTATATATAAAATGTATAATGTATTAAATGTTATGAATAATGAATAATTATATATAAAGATTATTCAAATAAAATAATAATTAAAATTAAAATGTCATTATAAAATTACATTAAAAGATGTATTAATCGCGTGTTTAGATTCAAAATTTGCAAGATTTAAAATTTATTAATTTCTAATCATAATTATTGTTTTGAATGTTTTGATCGTCCTTGGGTAATAACTTACCTGGCTCATGTAGCCCAGAACTGCCAGCACGGTTACTAGTAGAGCAACTCGCGCCATCGTGGTTTGGAAAAATTTGTGTAATTCCAAGAGAAGGTCCGTCCAAGAAGAGAGAGATCAAGATTGATCCACAGTAACGATCACTGAAACGAATATGCTTATATATATTAGCCGAAATTTGTTTACTGTGCCTGTTGCAGGGTGCCCAAGGTTTTATTTTAGCTCTTATTTGCCATTATTTGAAATGTTGCACCTGTACTAACTTTGTTAAATAACGTCCTTGTATGATAATGGTAACATAATGAATTCAAATGATGAATGATTAATTATTGATTTGACGAAATCATGCCAGACGTTATAACGCTTGACGTAACATTTCTTTGTACTGGCGAAAAATATGATATATTTTTCATTTTCGAATCATGTACAAAAAGAAGAACAGTTAAACAAATATCTTCTCAATAATTTATTTTAATCACGCTTTAATTTAATTGATGACGTATATTTGCTCTGACTTTAATTATTACTTGTTATGTTAATAACTTTTTCAGCGTTTATAAAATTTAGATATATTTGTAAAAATTATTAAAAAAATTGTGTGTAGAAAATTATCATCTCTCAGAATACATAATTTGACAAATCGACGATAATACATATTAAAACAATATAATTTATTTTTGTACATTTATTATAAAGATACTTGGACCAGTAGTAATCATTACCATAAACAAGCTTGGATCTTTTTCTTTTATTCTTTTCTCATTTGTTTCTCATGTCATATCATTGACTTCATTGCAATAATTCGTCAGCGAATTTTTTCAGTTTGCTTGCGAAAACAAATTAATTGCTAACAAATTATCTAATTAAGTAACAATTATATATGCATTATATGGTTGTGTTACAAATATGTAACAATTACATATTATACCTTATCTGTAAGATACCTAATTTCTAATGTATTTACAAATTTATAAATAATTTAATTATAACATTATAATCTATTATTATAATAAGATGTATTTTTGTACCATTCTTTAAATATTCTAATATTTTAGTAAATATAAACATAGTAAAATCTAATTTCTTTTTATTTATATTTTTAAATTTTAAAAAATACTTTCAAGATCAAAATACACCAATAAATTTTTGTATGTTAATATCAATTATAAGATGAGGAATGGAAAAATTATATTTTTAATCATTAAAAAGAAAAAACGTGTTAGCAATTTATATAATAATTTTGAAAAAGGTGCTTTTTCTTATCTTATAACTGTCATATCTTTTAGATTTATATAAATCATATAGTAAATTTTTCTTTTATTTTTTCTTTATTTTTAATTTCAAATCTAAGAAAACTATTCGAATGTTCTGTTTCTAGTAGATCAATTAATTGATCAATCAATTTTAATTGTAAAATGAATCACGATGTGTAATATGCGATAAATGTATTAGATTTGCTCTATGTGCTATTAAAATCATTGCGATTAAAAACTTTTATCTAAAATAATTTTATATGATTCTTTCTTCACATGTCTTCTGTTTAATTTTACACATTTGTGAAAACAAATATTGCCAATATTTTTACAAGTTACGCATATAAAGTATGTTTTTCCATCTGATTTAACTATACAAATTCCCGCAAGTGTCTCAGTACAAATAAAACAGTGAGAATCAGCTGTTTTGCACATAATGCAAATTTGCGAATCGCGACATATTTAACGTAATATTAAGATGAAAAAAACATAACAACATTCAGATAAGATTATGAAAATACCAACGTCATTAATTTTCAGAATACATCTTTATTTGAAATTGGTTGATTACAATTACTTGGTATATACATGTTGATAGTCGATAATGATTTAGGACTAGTTATGAGTTATATAATGTGTGAAATCTAAAGTGTGTAACGTAGCAGAAGAGGATTATTGAACTTTCGGATACATTCGGGATCCCTGAAGTCCCTGGGGAAGAGGTTCCAGACACGTCCACCATGACGGAACAGGGAAGCGCGCAACTTTGGCCTGAGGAAGCTGAAACTGATCGGACTGGTGGCATCCAACACGCGGCCTACCAGGATCGCCTTGTTCCTCAAGGTGACCGCTATGAGGTCACCCGGTGTCAAATAATCGTGGCCTATCGCACCGACGACGTGTTCTCTGGGCAAGATGAAATTAAGGCCGCCCGAAGAGAGAGAGCTGGCCGAGCTGGCCGCGGCGGCGCTTCCGGAAGCCGCCGATGCGGCGGCTGTCGCAGCGCTAGCCGACGATGGAGAGGCATAAGAAGGAAGGATCACAGGACGGATTCGTTGACGATACAGCGGAATTCTACCGCCGAGATTCACATCGAGTCCTCCGTATCGATTGGCGAGTAGGCCGTTCGAAGAGATGGGTCCTCCGTATCTGTACGGACTGGAAACCAGACCGCCGTCTGAAGCTGAAGCTGAAGCTGCAGCGGACGCGGAAGCGACTCCTCCTGAGACGCCAACTTCCGGCGAGGCCACGGCCACGCTCGAGGAACTACTCTCGGACACCGTGTTCTCGATGGTCTCCGAAACGAGGGGTGTGCAGGGCACAGCGGATTCGTAAAGTTGCGGGGTGACTCGGTAGCTCGATATCGGCGAGGCTGATGCCGCTGCCGTTGCCGCTGCTGTCGCTGCAGCCGCGGCTGCCGCACCGGAAGAGGAAAGAACTGGCGAGACTATCGTTGGTACTGCGGAAATCAGGGGTGCCGAAACCAACGGTTGCGTTTCGACAACGCTGGCACTGGCGGATGCTGCAGAACTCACGGAGCTCGCTGCACTGGCCGCGCTGGCTGTGGCCACCTGTTGTGGCCAATAGTTGGCAACCAGGGAAGGTATTCTGTAGAAACACGAACGTAGACTGCCCCAGTATGCTGGGATGTTAGACAAGTATGAAGTCACTCTAGAGTACACCGTGGACGTGGAGATGCTCGTCACGCCAGTCCTGATCATATGGGGTATTCCAGACGCGTGGTAGCCACCGTAGATGCCACGGAAGCAAGATAATATTTCCGCCAGCGAGTTGTGATAGTCTGGGACATATGCACCGCCGTCGGCGACTGATGCTGTTGCTGTTGCTGTCGCAGCAGCTGACCCTGCTGACGCCGCCGCTGCCGCTGCGGATGCTGTCGATGCGACCGATCCACCAAACTCTCGCATGGAAGTGCCGTACCAAATTGATGCAGATACCGCAATCTTGTTAGTCTAAGCTGAAGCAGTCTGTCTCGCAAATTCAGACCCAAGTGATGTAAGCGGAAGAAGTGTCCGACAACGTAGCGAATATGTCCCCAAAGCAGCTCGTGTATAACGTGCTTGACTTTGAATACGACGTGTAGGAGTCGGTGAATAGCACGGCCAATGCTAGGGAACGGAATGGCATCTCGGCATATATCGGGAAGGAGCAACAGGTGATGAGGCGCTCTTATGATGTGGAAAAGAAGTCGTGGGATACGATAAAGGAAGAAGTGTAAGAGGCCGCGACCTTCGACGATGACTTCCTCGGCGATTAGTGGTCCCAAGGTGAGTCCGGCTCTTAAGTTTCGTACAATAATCAGTAAGTAGTGCCACAACTTTCTTATCTCGCAGAAGAATTCGTGGATGACCAGACCTGACGAGTGCCCGTGACCATAGTCGAAGGCCTCAACTTCGCAAGAATGAGCATCCAGATCGTCCAGAGGAACAGCATCCCACAAATTACCTCCCACGAGATTGCTAGATGCGGCTGCAGCTGCAGCTGCGGATGCTTGACGTTTCGGTAAATTGCTAAATTTCTTGCTGTCAATTTGCGTGGCATTCTGTAAAAAATGTCTAATTTTAATATCATAGCATCTTACTTGTGATTAATCGTAATTATGCAGAAAATAAGAAGAGTTGTTATTTTGGATTTTTAATTAAATCTGTCTGTCGCAGAATGTAACATATGAATCATAATATATTTATCTGTGTCACAAATCAACTATAGTATGTTGGAACAAATTTTATTTTTAATTGAATATCACTATGAACAATTTTAATTATTATTTTTTAAATTTTATTAAAACTTTTTTGAAACATTAATCTATCCGAAATTACATTTTTAAGTTAATTCTTTTTGTGAATGTTGAATAATGAAAAATGTTATACAAATAGATTTTAAAAAGAAAATTGAGACTGAATGTACTTTAAAAGAATATCATTAAAAATAACTTTTCTTTTCACTTAAATACATATAGTTATGTTTTTTTAAAACTTGCTAAATATAAGGAATTTCACATTGAAGTTTTATATATTATAATGCAAATTTTAATGATCAACTACCTCAATCTCTTGCAATTGTTGTAGCCTCATAGCAATATCTTGCTCGTCCGCGAGAATGAATGCTTGGATGAGATCTTGCATACTCCTGTATGCAAATATATCATTCTAAGGAAAGAAAAATAGAGAGCATTAGATTTATTCTCGTTTCAATTATCTCGTTTTCAATTGCAAATAATGTATTATATAATTTTTACCTTAGCATCTTCTTCACCATCTTTACTTGTTTTTGGCTCTTCGGTCTTCCTGTCATCTTTCGTTTCTTCCGCGATCGCCCTTCTGTCGTGGACGGTTTGGGATTCTGATAATTCTTCCAATTCCAAAGGATCAGGCTTGTTTACGTAATAAGCATTTTCTTCTCTTTTTTCCCGAAGAAACGGTTGTAACTCCGGATCAAAATTATTTTGAAAGTCCTTAGATGTATCGAAGTCTTCTTTAACGAAAGCCGAACTCAAGGACAAGGATGCCAAGAAGGCGACGGCCAAAACCGCAAATATGTTGTACGTGTTCACCATGGTGAGTTTCAATGGGAACTCGATGATTCTAGCAGCAATAGGCTGCTTCATATACCCTGAAGATTGTTATTGTCATATTCAGATTCGGCACGCTGATCGTGATGGAATCAAACAACATTGGAGATTGTTGGTTGACAATGATCGATAACTGAGATACGTGCCGATGCACGTGAGATTATCCATGATCTCATCTGCAACTTACATTGTAATCAAGCGCACGATTTATAATATTGTGATTCGAAAGATTATTAATGCGATAATCTTGGCGCATTCGTGTCCGTGAATAATCGTGAAAATTACTTCTCCCTTTCGATCAAATAAATATACCGATACTTCGTACGTGCAAATATATACATACATATACCTGTATATATATATATATATATATATATATATATATATATATACATACATATATATATGCAGCCAGAAAAATTGCAAGATATTATTTGACTTTTTTTTTTTTATATACATATACATGAATATGACGGGATATTTTAGTATTATTACTGTAATATGAAAAAGAATAGTGCTTATTTTTCGAATAACAGGTATATTGCTTCTTAAATCAATTTTTAGTCTAAATCTTTTTTTAGACTAATTAATAATATTATTAAGATAAATATTAAACTTTACATTTTTTTTTACATAATTTAGGGCATAAATAAGTCTTTCAAAGTTTTTACTAATTGTAAGATGTGTAATTGTAAACACTGTACTATTTTATAAAGTGCTTTAGTATATTTCAATTTTTGTCACAATGATATTTTTAATAAATTATTATATGGATTATTTGGATTATTTATTTTTCTTTATATATATATAAAGAAAAATAAATAATCCAAATATTATATAGCAAATTAATACATATTATATGTACAGGAATCACATATAGAACTTGAGAATTGCATTAAAAAAATATTAATCTCTATTCCGTACAACGAAAAATAAACTGAAATTATTAATTATAATAACAGGTATTTGTATAAATTTAATATGAATTTTATATAACAAAACAATTATTTTCATTATAATGAGCATTATTTATATATAATATTATGATTGAATTTATCCAAATACTAATATTGTATATGAATTTTTTCTTTATAGATTTATTTATATACATACATATATAGGACATATATTTATTTGTTAGAATTTCTATTTACATATTATATATTGCTACGTTTTATTTCCATAAAATAACATTTGGTTTTATGGTTTTTTGTTGTTATGTATATTGCATACATTGCAGACAAATGATGTATGGTTAAAAAATTCGTACACGTAAGCGAATTCTAATTCTTCTTCATGAATAAGGATAAACTCATATTACTTGTACGGCAATCATTGCATTTTATTTTATCATTGAATTTGCATTTTATTTGAATTTGATTTGATTCTTTTATTATATTTTATCAAGTATTACGTATTAAATTTAAAAAAACATATATGACACATAGCAACAATTTTATACGTGCAGTAATGTTAAACAAAATAGATTTAAATAAAAAAATTAAATACATATATATATATATATATATATATATATATATGTTAAAGAAAATAAAAAATAGTGAAAATTGAAATTAAAAATCATGATAGAAAGATATATTCAATATAAGGGATACAAGGAAGAGTAAGAAGAAACGAAGGAATATTAAAAATTAGAATCACATATCATTTAAATTTTTTATTTTTTATTTGTCCAAATATTATGTACTTCTCACATTTTTGTAAGTGGTACAGCTTTATCAGACGTTTCTTCATGTTTTATAGATTTTACTATCTTGCTTGACAGGCACACTTCGCAGGTGCTTCACAAGCAGGAATTAGAACTCTATCAATTCTACTGGTGAGGCCTGTTAAAAGTTTAACGGGTTTTGGTGTTGGTAGCTCGGTTCTGAAATGAAAATAAATCATATATATGTATTTGATAAAAAAATATTCCCCTAGTCATATTTATTGTTATGAATTTAAAAAGTTATATTGTTACTGATATAAACATTTTACAAACAAATTCCAATAATCTAAATGTAATTTATTCTTTGTTATTAATATGAGACAAAAATTTTAGAATGCTCACGGAGTTGGCGAAGGTGGCACATAAAGATCAAAATTATGACTCGTTAAAATTGGTACGGATGGAGACGGTGGAGCCTGGGTGTTATACACATAAGATTTTCCTCGATAAGGATCCGGCTTGACTATCTCTTGTACGGTTTCGACGGGCACTTCAGGTACTTGTATAGAAACTGAATATTTTGCTTGCTGTGACTGATAGGGGATCGGTTTATCAACAATAACTTGATAGTTTAGCTTAAGTGGCTGATAAGTACAAGGTGTAGGCAAGCTTAATACTGGCCTGACAGGCTCTACGGGTTCCTGTAAATTATTTTGGATACAAGGCTTATTTATTATAATGTGAAGATCAAAAAATATATAGCTTTACATTTATATTTTTAAACTATTATAGAAAAAGAAAAAATTGCAGTTAAAAGAATTAAATTTTACATTTTTTATTGTCATTAAATCATTACTTTAATATAATGTTTTTTATAAGACATATGGAAATTATATTTATTTAATTACGTAATGTATGATAAAATATTAATATGTGTGTACCTCGATTTTAACAGGCAGATAACGTGGTGGATGGCACGGCTCGCCATATGTAACAATTTTAACTCCGTTATATGGCAATTTGTAAGATAATCCACAAGAAAACCTTAACTGGAAATAAATGCCAATGATGAAAAAATATTGTAATTTACGGATTGCCGTCATCATCGCAAGGATTTTACAAGACATAAACTGTTCTCCAACCTATCGCGCTGCTAATATAGATGTGGGTTCGTCAAAGACAAGTATGTAACATATTTCCTGTTTTGATGTAAACGCAGTAAAACTCGAAATAATAATAAAATAATAATATCTTTTTATTACGTGTCGCGGGACCGGAACTTATTGTTTGATTAAAAGGTAAAGGCACGTACTTTCCTTCGTGCGTGTCTACACGCAAAGTTCCTCGCTTCCTGTTTCATCTTTGAACTTGTCTTGTTTCATTAAAAAATCTTGCAATGATAAAAGAATCCTTATCTCAATTTCTATTTTAAAAAATCTTATATGTATTTAAAATATATGTTCATTTACATTATGTTATTTGAAATATTTTAAAGTAAGAATTTTTTTCAGTAGTTTTACACTGTAATAAAAGCAATTTTTGTGTACCGTAGTTAATTTTTTTAAAGATATCAGGTTCATGTTTAGTGTTTTGGATTTATACGACTTTACATAAATTAATTCTTTTATTATTCGTTTTATAAAATTATATATTGAGAAATTAGAAATTAATATTATTAAAAAATAAAAATAATATATAAGATGATAATCGTAAAATATTTGCTTTTTGTTAATTTTAGCATAATATGATATTCATAAGCTGAATGACAGTATTTTTATTTATTTATGTGTGAAAAGATATTATATAATAGTTTTACTTAAAAAGAAGTCAATATTTAAATTTCGAAAGAAGATTTTTAATAGATGTGTGTCTCTTTAAAACAGATATATTTTTTCTCATATATATTTTCATATTATTAGGAAAGATATTAAGAATAATCACATATACGATAAGATAATATATTCTGTATACATATATTGTACATCAAGATAGAATTCGCATCCTTAAGTGCTGTCATTTACATCGTAAATTAATATCTCATTCATTCGCGGTCGTTTTGTTCAGATCTTCGTTCATCCTGCTGCTTATAATTTACGCCGCGTGTATGTACCTAAATGAAATAAATCAAAGCCCGATGTATGCATACGCATCGTAAATTTCACGTGTGCGTTTGCGAGAAAAGAAAAGAAAAAAGGAAGACTGTCTGTATAAGAGGAGCACGAGAGAGAATCCGTAGCGTATCTTTAAATAGCGACCGCGTGCGGGCTCCGTTCCTTATACTCTCAGAGATACATTATGTTTCCTTCGTGACCATCATCGTGCATCACCATGTGGTGCTTCCCTTTTCCCGACCGAAACACTTTACGACGTGCTGACAGTCATGTTTTAGCCAGGAAAGCTGAAGGAAGATCATAAATCTTATTGGATGTTACCATGCGCATTCGTAGGCGATAGACAGAAAGTTATCCGGCTTTTAATAAATCATTTCGACGAATCTTTTATTATTTATACAAATATATTCTATTTATATTAATCATAAATTTTTATATCAGATTATTTTGTTGTAAGAATTCTTTTATCGCGCGTTTATTTCGATGAATATCTTCTAGTATCATAAAAATGCGACCATTTGTATGACAAAAGATGTATTTTTATTTTTTAATTTATACTATAAACTAATGTTAAAGATAAATAGCGAAATAGAGCATAGAAGAAAAGTTTGATATTTATATATTGAATCGATACATTAATTCAATATTAAATAAGATATATTTAATATTTCAAAGTTATAATGAAAGAAATATGTTAAATTAATTTGAAGTTTATAAGAATATGATTTGATAGAATAATACAATTATCTTAATTAATTCTTCTTAGAATAAGTCTAATCTAAAATATACTTTGTTAGAAAGTAGATAGTTATAAAGTATAATTGTTTAAGTTTTTTCATCTTTTCGCAAATCAGTAAAAGGATGCGGGGAAAAGGATTTTATAATTCAACGATTTTTGGTTCTCTCTTCTCTCGTATAATCGCTATATTATCTTAACATAATGACATCACAAAGACTCAGGACTAGGACTAGTATAATATTTTTGGAGGTGTCCACGTCTTTTCGCGTTTTAAATAAGATTCATCTCGATGATCACGAATCGTCAATGAAACAATTTGACATTTCTTGTTTTCTAGATATAAGAGATCATGCAACCCCACACGGAAGACCGTATTTCTTGGAAGAACTTCTTAACCTGGCAAATATCCCGGACGTCGAGTCCTCGGCATCGTCATCTTCAAAGCTGCGTTCGTCATCCTCGTAATGACGAACGTACACTTTCTCGACGTCTTTCTGGATGTCATCCTCTAGTTCGCCTTGAGTTTTTACGACCTCTCGATTGATTACGATGCTACCGGGAACGTAATCGAGAGCTGGTGGTCCTACCGGAGCGCAACCTTCAGCATTATCTTCAGCACCGAGCGTGTTGATAGAATTCGTTAATTGGGAACTGGACAACTTCTTTGATAGGGCTCCGTAGATTGGCGCATATCCTAGGTCGCTAAAACGAATTGTACATCGAAATATGTGAGTATTATAAAAACAATTATTTATTTAGCAAATTATATTAAAAAAAATTTCTAATGCGTAAATATGCACATATTTAACTTGGACCAGCAATTAATTAATTAATTTTAGATATTGATAGATCACTTGATATTAGTCAAACGTTTGCTAAGTATTTTTTTCAACTTACCCGTATGTAATAAAGTTTCCTTGCTGTTGCTGCTGCTCGGCAATTTCCTCCTGATGTATTCTTTCACGTTCGATAGCTTCGAGCTCGGCTAATTTAGCTTCTTCATGTTCGTCATAAGTAGTGACGATAACGGGAGCTACTGCTATCGGTTTTAGTTCTACGACGGGTTTATCGAGAATTTGAAGTTTCTCCTCAGGTACATCTAATCTTTTCTTGTTGGACACGGTTTCAGTTGGTATTGTTCTATGACCGAATGCCAGCTTATCTTCCGGCACGAATAGTTTTTTTTGTGCTACGATACGCGGGAAGATATTTCTGTATGCCAAGCTAAGCGAAACCGGATCAGCAGGTAGTTGAGGGTACGAATAGTCTTCGGGAAGTTCTAAAATAAATAAATGTATCATCTTAATCTTGCAATCTCACAAATATAATTATATGTATATTATAAAAATTTACGTAATAATTAAAATTAATTCGAATATATATAAATTAATCGATTGTCTACGAATAATTATAATTTTAATAGAATTTGAATAGTAACATATGATTATTATTAATTTCATACAGTTTTAGTTCTTTGATAAAAAAACTCAGAGATAGAAAATCTTCTAATTTTATCTTTATTTTTGCTTCATTTAAAATGATATATTTTATGAAACATACCCGCGTAATCACTAAAGTCGTCGCAGTTAGATCTGTAGCTTTCAGCCGATCCTCGAGTAACTTCAACGCCATTCAATGATCCAAATTTGTTTTTATACGTCCCGTAACTGCTGATTGTGGGATTTAATTGTACCGTGGTGCCTGCCGAGGAACCTGCATATCCTGCATATCCACCATATCCTGCATATCCTGATCCGTACGCACTGTATCCAGCCGAACCGTATCCTCCAACTTTGCCAGAGCTACCATATCCTACACTATTTGAACTACTGTATCCTCCAAGACCACCTAAGCTACTGTATCCTGCGCTGCCTGAGCTACTGTATCCTCCAAGACCACCTAAGCTACTGTATCCTGCGCTGCCTGAGCTACTGTATCCTCCAAGACCACCTAAGCTACTGTATCCTGCGCTGCCTGAGCTACTGTATCCTCCAAGACCACTTAAGCTACTGTATCCTGCGCTGCTTGAGCTACCGTATCCTCCAAAATTGCCATATTGAGCCGTACTGCCTGCATTACTGAGAGTATATTTACCGAGACTATTTGCGCTAGCAAACGCACTTGCGCCGTTTAATTGACCGAGCAATTTACCGGATGCCGCACTGGCACTGCTAGACGCGCTCAAACTGAGTTTTTTCAAATCAGCTTCATCGATCTGTCCATTGTGTACATCTACGCAAATCTTCTCAGAAGTAGGAGGGGTACATTTGACCTTGCTAGGATATGCCGGTGTCACTTTGGTAATCACTTGGAGTTTACCATTTTCAAGTTTGTTTGGGTAACACAGGTCACCGATCGGCGGGAAGCTGTCAATAAACAATTATTATAAATTATATTATTAAAAAAATAAATAAATGTTAAATATGTAAAGTAGCAGAGATTAATCTGTGTTATCAAAATTCAAGATTTTCACGTAGAAACTGCAATACATGGTATAATTATATTAATGAATGGATAAATGAATGCAATATAAAATACCTGGGTACTATTTGTTTATCAGTATTGGAGGACAGAAGATCGCTAGTCTCCAGAGGTTCGGATTTCTTTCCACATCCGCAGCCGGAACCGGAACTCGCACCGTTTAAGATAGGATTCAAAGGAGAATAACCACCGATCAGACCTCCAAGAAGACCGACGGAAGATGAGGCACTTGAAGAACTGGTGCTATATCTGTTGCTACTACTACTACTGCTGCTGCTGCTAGTACTAATTATTCCGCTATTCTGAGGGCTGCACCCGGAAATTACATTAGAATGGCTTTTGGATCCTAAGGACAATCTTCCAGCTGCTTCGCGCACTAATGCAGCTTCATTGATTGCCTCCGGTGATGCATATACCAGCGGTTTTTGCACCTTCGCTGCTTTCACCACTATTTCATTGCATTTGCATGCATTGGTGCCTGAAAATTGAAGGTACAAATATCATTCATATTCATATTATTATATATTCGTATCATGTCATTTATCATTATCATATATCATATTGTTTTTATACGTGATATTATGATGATGCGATTATGTTTATTATTACATGATCTTATTTATTTTTAAAAATCCCTAAAAAATCCTTTCTGAGTAACTAAAAGAAAAATATAAAAAAAGACGAAATATGTAATATAAAATAGAATTACATGAAGAAATATAACATTAACAGATTAATAATTATTTTAAATTTTTACATGATGCATGACTTACACAAAGTAACAATAAATGCGCAGAATGTATGTATATATATACGCTCAAAAGTCGAAAGTAAAAGCAATGATTTAATCAGTAAATAAAGAATTTCATACTTATAAAAAGAAGTTTTAAATAATATAATAGAAAATTATTTAATTAACTTTTGAATGTACATAAACATATTTTTGTATAAGTGAAAATAAATTAAATATATAATAACATTTGTTAATATATAATTAATAATTACAAAAGTATAAAAAATATGATAAAGAAAAAATGATTTGTATAATGGATATATAATGCATATTGATATTTATTTGAAGATAAAAATTAAAAAATATCGATTATAAATTTATAGACAGTTATACAAAGATAAAATCTATAGCTTGTTTTAGATATATTTCAAGAAATTCTGATCACTTCGAATGGAAAGAACTGCACGTCGCAATGATAAATTAGAATGAAATGAGAGTTAATGACATGTGCGGATGAGTGCATTTTACATACCTGGACCTAAACTTCCGCAGGTGTGTTCTGATGACTTGATTGTACGTGCCTGGACGATAGACGTGGCCGCTATCGTCAGGAGTAAGGTAACTTGCAAAATCAAAGAAGACCTCATATCTGTCTCAATATTCTCTCTTTCTTTTCCTCCTCTCTTTCTCGACGTTACATTTATATGAAAAGTTGCCAGCTTTCCGGCGACCGATTTGTTTTTGTAATTAATAAACAATTACTGTTTGCGCGGATCCGAACACTTCCTGTTGCAACGTTTACGCGATGAATTTATTTTGACTTTACCGCCGCTTCCTGAATTCGCATGTTCCGCTAAACTCGAAAAAACGGCATTTTATAGTTTCATCGCGTTTATATTCCTCGAGAAATATCATAATCATTTTGTAGAGGAAACGAATCGTGTACGGTTAACAATCGGATAATTTAATTTCCGTATTTGTATGTGTAATTAATAAACGAAACGCGAAGATGCAGCGGAATAAAAATAGATAATATGTATACGCATTTCGGTGAATGATGAAAGAATTAGGTCAAGGTCATTAATTATGCGGTCAAACTTTTTTATATTACATATATATACATTGTCAAACAAAAAATTATACAAATAAGATAAATTTATTATATAATGATAATATTGATAAATTATATTATGAGGAAAAGGATATAAAAATATAAGATTAATTATAGATTATAAAAACTTTTATGTAGAATATAAGACACTTTTTTTACATAATACTTTGAAAGTATATATAAATGAAGATATTTTGAAACTTAATCCATATTCGAATAATATCAATTAAATTTTCAAACTAAGAAATTTTTCTCTTTTATACTTTTCTTTAATAAATCTATAAATAAAAATAAAAAAGTATTATATATATTCAAATATATCAATTAGGAAATCGTAAAATCAAATGACAAAATAATTGGTAATCAAGCAATTATAATCAATCAAATACAAATTTGAATGCTTTGTACATATTGTATGAAAAACATTATAGTTAATCATAAATATTATAGTATACATGAATAATCTCCTTAATATTAATATAAACAGCCAACAAACGTGGTATTTATACATTGTCCACATTCTAGACAGACATTTTTACACTTTTATACGATCTTCGAACATGAGTTTTCATTTGTTAAAAAAATCCGACGCTCGTTGCCGCTGCGGAGGTAGATTAAGTAAATTATCAGTAAGTACGGGTCCTTGTATCCGTGTAGTATTCGTTTCCGATTTTTGGGAGATATTTTGTTTAGCTGGCGTGATTGCACGAGGCGTGTTAGGTGTCCTAATGCCTATGGACGGAGTCCTCGAGAGTGTTCGTCGGGGCGATGGTGTACTCGATATCCGGAGTTTTTGAGTCGCTAATCTTCTCGCGGCAGGAGACATTGTGCTCAAACGATCTATAGTTGACCTTGGTGACGGACTGAAAAGAATTATATTTCTTGTGATTTTTTATGTAAAAATGCATCATACAACATGTTTCATAACTTGCTCAACCAAACAAAAGATAATTCTGCATACAAAAAAAAATAATTTCTTTTAATTGTTTCAAGTTTAATGTTACAAGATATCTTATAATTATAAAAGAGTCCATTTTTTATTTGTATAATTTATTTCAATCACTTTCCATATTTAAAAAATTTAACTAAAAAAATCTACTATTTTCTTTCTTTCTAGTAAAAATTCCATCAATAAAATCTGGATAAAATTTAATAAAACTTTAAAGATTTAAAAAAAGACAAATTATTTAATTTGTGTCGTGAATTAAAGTATCTTTCCATAAAAAAAGTTTTTATTAAAAGTTTCAAATAAAAATAATTCTTTAATTTCATAACAATTTAATTTAGCAGAATTATGTCCTTTTAATATGGAATAGTTTTGGCACATTGACACATTGACTTAAATATGACTTACGTGGCTAATGATTTTCTAGCTGCTTCTAAAGCTTTATTCTTCCGATCTCTATGCCTTTCGCCAGCTTTCTCAGCCAACTGCAATGCCAATTGCTCTCTTTTCGGTGGTTCTGCTATTCTGAAAGATGGACCTTGACTTGTTCTTAGCAATGGAGTGTCACCACCATCCAATCGGAAAGGTGTCCCCTCAATCTGGCCCCATGTCATCAATGGGCTTTCACACTCTCCTGGTCTTGGACTTGGTGTCGCCACGAAACTAAAGCCATTTACTCGTGGCGTCGCATTCCTGACAACTTCTTTGCCGTCCACACCAATTTTACCATCGTTAGCTCTAGATTGTGACTTGGCCAATTCATTAATAGTTTCCTTATTTTGTTGCTCATTAAAAGGATTTATCCTCAGTCTCGTGTTTTCATGCATTACAGTCTGTTTCTTTTTAGCTAACTCTATTTTCTCTTCAACTGTTAGTTCCACTCCATCGGGAATGTACATAATATAATTTTTATTCTTATAAGCCCAACTGTCTACTTGTTTGGGCCTGGAGTTTGATCCTTCAATTGCTAGAACATCAATCGGAGATTTGTCGATGGCGAGCCACGCTTTCGATTTTTCTTCTGCCTCATAAAGCCAGGCATACTTCAATTTACGTTTATTTTCTGCCTCGACCATCATCTCTTCAAAACTAGCATTATCTTCGCTTGTGTGAGAACTCAAATAATCATCGAGACCGGTTTTATTTTCTTCTTTGTTATCTTTCTTCACATATTCAACAGATGTTTCCTGGGACGATTCTTCAGAGGTACATGGCAATTCATCCGACTCAACTCTACGTGGAGTTTCAAAAGTTGCTGGACTAACTGGCCTTTCTGTGACAGGTCGACCAGAACTATATTTTGCATATAACTCTCTCATTCTCTTTATATCATTCTGCTCTAAAGCATCCAAATATTCATTTTGTGCTTGTAATTTTTCTAAATGTGGAAAGAAGTCCCTTTGTATTATTTCACCCATTTTTTCGATATATGTGTCCTCATCTAAAATCTTTGGTTGAGTGCTTTTACTCTTTTTCGCATATCCAACAGGCTTCTTAAATATAGCTACATCTTTTATATTCTTGGCAGCTTCCAGAGCTTTAGAGCCTGGACTATCCATAATGGAATCTAAAAGATTAAAATTAATATTATGAAAGAATTTAAATGATAAAAAAATATTAAGAATTTTTTTACTATGTAAAATAAAGAAGAATAATTATGTTTATATTACTTACTACTCATTTTAAAGAACACTGCTGATATAGGTTATGTAAGAGAGTTCTTGTTCAATATTGTTGTTACGAAAAGTATAAACATTTATGAGTACAGAAAATGTTCTTCTATAGTATAAATATATGTAATGCAAATCTGTACTTTTTAAATCACGTTATGTTTCTCTAAATACTTCGAGTTTTTAATTATGAAATTGTTTACACTCTGCTCTCATACACTTAAGTGATAGATTTATTAATTTAATTGCACTTTTGATATATGCTCTCAATTTTCACTTTTCGATTTTCCTTTTTTTCTGTCAATTATACATGTATATATCTTATTTTGCAAAATGATGCAAAATGATGCAAAGAATCACATGATACAGCTGAGAAACCAACCTCACTTATGTCATGTCAATGAATAGAAAGTGACATTACCGACATGTGATAATCGCAACAGCTGTTATGTGACGTGGCGCCATCTCGCGTTAATAAGGTTGTATTCTGACATCAAAATATGATTCGCAGTTCGCAGCAGAGTTCAGGTAGCTCAGGATCAGGATGGCTCCGGTTCAGAACGAAGTTGTTACGCATTATTCAGAACATTTGAAGCATAAAAAATGTATTTATAAAGTCAGGTATATAATTATTTTTTATGGATAGAGAATGCGTAATAAAGAAATACTTATACGTGGGTAGTAAAGTCACAGATTTAATAATCATAATGCACAATTTAAAAACTTTAATCATGTATGTAGTTTTGAAACCAAGATGGCCTCCGAGAATGATGCAGGTATAATATTCTAGTTGACGAAATGCAAAGATTAATATTACTTTTATTTCAACTATATCTTTATTAAATTACTGGTCATATAGTCTATATTAGAACATATTAAATTATGATATATAAATTTGAGTGGCAAATAAAAGTTTTAGAAGCAATTCAACCCTATAATATTTTAGTATATGTCGGAAAGATTCTGAAAGGATCGCGAAGACATCCAGAGGATGTAAAGTATGCTTTGAATATTTTTCTGAACGTTTTTCAGACATGCTGTTAGGATAATTATGCATAAAAAATTACATGCCAGAAAATATGTCCCCAAAATGTGCCACAGTATGTGGATATATGTGTATATATTGATCTATATTTTCATCAGTATAATGTACATTTATATTCTTATTGTATGAAAATGATTTTGCAAAACTATTATACTTTATATATATTATGAGAGAAAGTAGAGAGACAGAGATTTAAAAATAAATTTCTTATTCTATAATTTTTTCAATATTTAGATTTTTAAAAATTTTATATAAAATTTAAATTATAATTTTGTGTTATATTGTTTCATATTTTTGAACACACACACACACAATTAAAATTATCAATAAAATTATCTCTATGATTCGAATCATATATATGTAGATCATTTAAAATATATGTTTAAGATAATAAATTGAATGGCATCATATAGAATTAAATAGCAATTGCTTGGTATATATTATGTATATGTTTCTGAGTTAATATCTCCTTTTTCTCATAGGTACCACGATGAATATGCGGCCCTGAGCCTCTGGCCACTAGTCGCCAGTCGCCAGTGATATTTTGGTCCAGATGGGACAGTGGGATGGGACACAAGATATCGCTTGCGGCGTCTCATATTGCCGGCGCGCTCGCGGGAGCATCCGCGCGAGCAAAGTGATCCGAGACTCCGAGGTGTTGGAGAATCACGTTGACAGACATATGAGGATTCCAGCAGCGAGATAGGATATGCGTGCCGACTGTATGCGCGACCGAAAACGCGAGAGAATTGCATCAAAATACGCATCACCTAGTTCCCATTTCTCTTCTCCTTTCTCACCAAATCGATGAATGAAAATTATCTATGAGAGTATGAGAAAAATTATTAATTTTACTAGAATAATATATATAAATAAATTCTTAATTTATTTTAAAAATTTCATATACTGTTTAATTTTCTTTTTTTAACTTGTTTAAACTAAATGGAAATATAGAGATAGAGATCTCAAAAATGTTTTTACATTTGCAGAATCGATGTAATTGCGTTTAAAGATATATATAATTGATTTAAATGTCGACAAATTTTAATGAAATTATTCTTTTGGAAATAAGTATCTCTCGATTGCATTAATAGAGCACCATTGTTATATTGCATTGCGGATTTATTAATAATAACGAATAGACACGACTATTTTGCGTGGACTTGTTTCTCATAATTGCACGACCGATGACTGCCAACACTTATGATTTAAATCTGTCGTAAATTACACTTTGTGCCAACACCGAAAGCTATACAGTCGTTTCTTCTTTCAGTTCCACCCACTCGCGGAATTTCTTTTAGATCATTATTACGATGTGTTACTTCGTAGTAAAATATTACAGTTGATATAATCAATATAATAATAAGTCTCTTTTGATAAAAAGAAATTAAAATTGGAATATGATAATAAAAGATTCAAAATAAATGCAATTTTTAAACAATATCTAAAACATGGGGAAATAATATATTAATTTTTTATTCTTATTGCTAAGAAAAATATTTATATTTTTCAGATAGACAAACGTAAAGTTTTTACGGAAGCAGAGATACAAAAAAGGAAGAAGACGGACGTGTCTATCGACGTGGGTAAGAATTGTCCAAGCAAGCGAAGCACGCGAAGACAGACGTTGACCGTGACTGCCACGGATGCCTAGAAGAGGTTTACCTTACGTAAATAGAGAGGACGATCTCTGTCACATTGCAGCATGCATACCAAGTTGACCATAGTAAGCGTATTATGGTCAACGCATTTTTATACTCCACATTATCAACATTTTTCTTTACTACAGGGAGCATTTAAAAGTAATTGAGTTTCTACTTTATATGAATCTACAACTTTTTTTTTTATTATCTCTTATATCTTATATATATTATCTATTTTCCTTTATTTCTATATATTTTTATATACGATTTGTCTCATTGATAATATAACTAAAAAGAAAGAGTGGTTTTATATGAAAAAATAAAAGTATCACGTATAAAAAAAATAACATAATTTCTTTATATACAATTTTTTCATTCTAGAATATATTGTATATCTTTATATATTTTTAACATTTCAATTTTTAAATATATCGCGGAACGTGCGCGCGACACTTTGCAGACATAAAAATAACTACATAAAACCCGCAGGACCACGATGAAAAGTCAAAATACGGCGAGGATGGCAGCAGTAAAAGTAGAAGGGAGCAGTGAGACAACGAGAGGGATGAGGAAAAGGTTGCAGACATAAAGCGTAAACAGTCGAGGTGCGATTTGACGCGCACTCGGCCGGGACCGTATGTACAAGACGCGCCTTCCGCTTTAAGAATCGCCCCGTGGAAGAGGACGATGGCTGGAATCTGTAAATCTGTCATTGCGGCCGTATTCGTACGCAGGATATGAACTTCTTGGTCGTCGCACATCACCGCTCCACGCCGCGACGCTTCCTCAGATCTGGCCGGTTGATTTCTTCAGAGAGTCGGCAAGAGTTTTTGATTTTCAAAAGTAACATGTGGCAAGCTTAGAGCAACGATATCAGATCAAGGTAATCTTTCGATGTTTATATATAATTGATATCTATTATCTACACAGATAGGAATCTCTGCGTAATACATAATAAAATTAACATATTTGATCTATTATAATTAAACCAAGATAAAATGCATATCTGAACAGTCATCTTATCACATGTTTTCAATATTTTATTATATATATCATATATATTATTATTACAATATATAAGTTTATCTCTTAAAAAAGTTTACTTGAAATTAGCTAAATAATTTCTGAACATTAATTATGATTTTGTTATGTATTGTTTTTTAAACTCTTAATTTATGAAGAATTCTTGTTTTAATCGCCTATAACTCAAAAGCTATTAATATTAATATCTCGACATTTTCTAAGAAAAAAGCAATTACAAATTTATCGCGACTATTTAAGTATACATATAATACATATATAAAACTGAGCTCAAGCTCTTCTTCGAAAATTCAGAGAGCGTTTCGCCATGTCGACGACGTGGAAACTATAAAAGCCCTGCCATACCGTGTACGCACGAATTGTAGGGCCGTGGTAGGTGGCGATGACGGATTCATGGCCCGTGGGATAGCGCCTTCCTCCTGGATGCGCGCCCGCGTTTCCTCCTTTCTCCTTTTTCCCTCCACCTAGCGAGCGATTCATTTGTTGGTCTTTGATCCGCGACCAACAAGCCACCGCCGGAAAATTAGGGAGATTTATTAGGCTCTTTCGCGATGCATCCTCATGCCTCATCGCTTCTCGTTATACATGGTTTCGTTAGGTAATTGACAGCACGCGTATCCTAGATCGATATCGATGAAGGAAATAGCGATAACGAGGGATCTCGAGCATCCAAAATAAAATAACTAATCCAATTAAGAATTATCTCAATAGTAATAATAATAGAAGATACAAAAATCTACATAAAATGTTTAAGTCTTTGATGCAGGTATATGGATTTTTTTAAATTCTTTTGCATACTTTCATATATTTTCATATAATTTTAATAAGAAATCAATTTTTTAATAAAGAATTTGCCTTTAATTACACATAGAGAACAACTATATAAAATATATATATATATATATATATACACTATATATGAATGTAAAAACTCTTCACACTTATAAAACAACAGCACAAGCGTTTTTAATTTCACAATCGAAAACAGCTAGAAATTGGGTGGTCAGAAAAGATACTGCGATAAGGGGAGGGTGAAAGATTCCAGATATTTTCTCTTTGGAGGTCAGTGGTCACGCCTCTAAAGTAAAGTGGGTTTACAAGGGCTAATAGAAATAGATGAAAAAAGAAACTTTGTAAAGAAATGCTTCGCATGTCTTTAAGTCTGACGGAAAATTCAAATCTATTTGTTGTTGCACACAAATAGCTATTATTTATAATTATCAATAATCTGCTACAATGTACATACACAAAAATAGTCTTTTAATATTTTATTATCAATTCTAATTCAATTGGCAATTATTTTTGATTGATTTGAAAATTAATATGGATTTATTTTACAATATTAATTTTTATCAAATGTATAATCAATATTAATCTATTTTATGATTTTCTTTAATGTGATAGATGTGATCGTTTCGACGAAAGACATGTGGACACATTCCTGTCGAACAACGTTGGTGGTAGACTTTTCGCGCAATGTCAATCCTTTTTTTCCTTGATGTTAAAACCGAGGGGGTCTGTTGCCTTTGACTTGCAAGCATAAACTCAAAAAGGGTGTCACCGACGACGGTACAGTGTCAGGTGACCTCTCTCAGGAATTAACTCTGGTTAGCCGTAACACCTACGACAAAGATGAAAGAATATGAGGGGGCAGAGGATGGCTTTTTACTGCCGACGTCGTCACGCACCGTCGATAAGCTTCTCTGTGGACCAAGAGTTTCGCAGTCTTATATTACTTCTAGGGTTAAAGTGTCAAAAGTACACGGCGTATGCAAGACCCCCCTTGTGCCAGCATACAGTGTATAACGTTTTCACGTAAAAGTCTTTTCGCAGAATAAGTTAATAAGTTCCACTTTCGCGAACTAAATTAATTTTGTCAAGCATATGTTCGTTTTAAATTTATTTTTATTTATTTATTTTTCGATTTATAATAATACAAGTCAATTATATTTTAACTCTTTCTTGCATTCTTGCATATCGAATATTAAATCACCAAAGTAATTTATTATTAATAAGAAAATGAATGTTTGTTTACTTTCACTTGTAAAAATTCATATCTTATAAATTATATGTAGGTATATAATCTCTTAAGTAGAAAGATAATTGATGAATATATTTTTACGGAGTATCTTTTAGATTTTACACAGATATATATATATATATATATATATATATATATATATATATATATATATCTCACATTTCTTTTCTCTCTTTTTCCAGTAAAGGGCAGGGACATTTTTGAAAATACGGACGAATGCAAAACGTTTAGTTGAACTAGCTGAGACTGTAATCACCGACAGTCATTAAGCATACGCCTGTAATATGTTTACACAGCGTTGTTCCTCGCGCAATCATCAATCACGGTGTGTCGCGTCAGTCCACGAAGGCTTAAGATGCTCGAGTTTCTTCTCGTTTCGCTTCGTCGCCGTTAGTTCGTCATTTCCGACAGTCGTAATGTCAAACTGCAATGTTCGCGAAGGTCGGGGAAGATATATTATTGGTGTAATTTTAATTGCTAATTTAAATTCAGATTATATCATCTATCATATGAAATCGATATATAATTCTTTCACAACAAGTAAAAGAGAATTTTTAACAATTTTAAAATCTTAAAATGTAAAGTACATTATATAATGAAAATTATACGTGCGACATTTTTACATAAGATATATATACGTATTATTAATATATTTGCGATATATTTTATAAAACTGGTATCAAATATCTGCTAAAAGATTAAAAAATTAGTAAATCAAAGAAAATTTTTTTTGCAAATTAAAATAATTAAATTCACATTGATATTTTTTTAGGAAAAATAGGAAGGAGTATAGGTTCGAGAGAAATAGGCATAATTTCGTTATTCCTTGTGTTTATTCCTTGTTTGGCCATAAAGAAGAACGCCCTTCTATCATATAACGAACGAGGGTCTTTAAAAAGTTAAAGGCACAATGGCACGATACCCGGGCGGCATAATTTATTAAGGCACTTAGTAACCACGTTACTCTCACGGAGTGTCACGGCGCGTTTACTTTCCCGTCTTGGCTCGAGAACGTTTTAAGCTCGTTCGGCATTTAAGACACCTAGTATAAATAGACGCACTTTGCTCCTACAAAAGGCACTTACTTGCCCTGGTCTTCCGCGACTTTACCAGCGACTTCGATCGGTCGATTCGTTCTCTTATGCGCGAATTAATTCGAAGCACTTTGAAAAATTTATATGAAAATGAATAATGTCAAACTCGATTGGCGAGCAAAATATGATAATTTATATTATTCTCATTATGTTTTATAATTTTCTTTGTTGATACTTTTAATACATATAAAAGAATATAAATTACATATAAAAGAAGAATTCGCTTGTACGTCACATATAAAGACTCTGAATATAAATGCTTATTTTTATTTATGCAGATTTGTCAGCACTTTGCAAAAATATGTCAATATTGCGAACATGATCAATAGTAATGAATATTACTCGCTTGAATATATCATTACCTATAACATAAATATATGAGCCACTATAGAAAATTTTTATTGCACATAACTAGAATATATATATGTAGATTCATAATTTATACATCAAATATTGGTATAATCTATTTGATATAATCTTTGGTAATCTTAAGTATAATCTTTGGTACAAATTACATTATTGAATATTAGCATTTAATAAGGCATTTCTATTAATTATATTTTACTCTTAGTTTTAAATAAACTCAGACTGAAAATCGTCACTATAAATAAAAATATAGATATATGTAAACATTACAATCTTTTAATTTACATAGCTTTATGCAAAGCAATTCTCATATCTGAAGAACAAATTAGGACGCGAATAATATGCTAATACTTTAATATTCCACTGTTTTTCCAAACATTAGGAAGGCATTGCATATAATTTTTTTTACGAAAGATCACATTTTTCCGTCTGAAATAGACATAAAGGCACTAGCAAATTCTGTATGTAAGAAGAAGAAATATTAACAATAACAATCATCAATTTTCGCAATCCGTGAAGAAAACTTGAAGAAATACACTTGAAACTCCACTCTTTATCTCAGGGATATATTAAATCTTTGGCGATAAGAGGTCAAAGGCATCAAGACATGGACACGAAGATATACTTCATTCTCACTGTTCCTTAAATTTGATGCATCGAATTCTCAATCAATGAGATCATGCACGGTCCACGAAAAACACATCGCTCGAAAAACGAACGATACAAGATGAGAGTACATTTAAATCCCACTCTGTTCTTTGAACATCAAGTCGTCGACGTAGAAATCGATGAGAGATAACGATACAACGTGATGATAATGATGATGATGATGATGTTCAGTTATCGTGGTCCATAAAGAGAAGCACCTGAATGATGTGGATGCGGTTGCATATGCGTCGGATAATGAACCGCGTTGACATGCGCCGACGGCTGTCCATGGTGACTCGGATAATGCGTCCAGGGACCAGAGGCACCGGTCGCCCCGTAAAACTGATGATGCTCCTGAGAGGTTCCGGCTGCAATACTCATCGGGATCTGCATTGGCGCCGGCATCACGTTATAACTGGATGACAGGACGGCAGGACCAGCGACATTCCCGGCTGTCGTAGCCGGTCTTTTGGCCGGATTCTGCATCCCACTAGCCACGGTGACGCTGGTGGACTCACACTCGTCGGACTCGCAGTCCCGGAAGCCCTTGGCGAACGGATTGCTGGCGATCTTCAGCTGGGTTATTCGGTGATTCTGGTACGCGGTCACAGCGGTGAACCTGGTCTCTGGAAAGGAGAACGTCTTGAAGTTCTCCGTGCGAGGATCCGGCGCCGAACCGGGTGGCGAGGGTGCGACCACCACGTGGCAGCGCGGCTGGTAACGATGCATCGAGTTCAAGATAATCTGCAACGTGTGAAAGGATCAACGATTCAACGTGCGCGAAGAGAAACTGACTTGAATCTATGAACAGTTTTTTAGTGCTTTTGTTCATGGATTTTTTATTCAAATTGACAATCAAGTTTTACAAATCGCTCTCCTTGACAAACGCGTCAATAAATAAAACCGCAGAATATTTGGATATTCTTATCAATTATCTGAAACATATAAGATCTCCATTTGCGTTTATTATGAACTTTTTAGAAGAAAAAGCATATTAATTAAAAGCTCAATCGCAGGGAAATAGATTTTATGATATTTATTTTAATTGATAAGCTTCTCATACACTTAAACAAAAACAGAGAGTGATAGTTGATTTATATTTAATTATCAAATAAAATTATAAGATTTATATAAAATCGAAATATTTTCTCTTCTTTTTCATTTTTCAATTTTGTGATGTTGCAGCACAAGCTGGTGGTAGAAAAAATGCAGTATTACAAATATTGTGACAAACGTAAGGCGACAAACACTTTCACGGAGCTCGATCGATGGGCACAATTTGGTAAAGTCGTCATCATCATATGAGGAATCGAAGGAAGAAAAAAGGGTCCAAAAGGGAAGAAGAAGAGGAGGAATGGGGACACGTGAAGCTCGGATTCAGTGGAAGGAAGGAACACCACAGGGGGGCGGTCGCAATGTTTGACAGCCAGAAGAGAACCGGTGACTAATTAGTGTAAAAACTAACCCCCGGCTCGCAATCCGACACCCTCGTCCTTCTCTCTGCTCACTCACGCGCATATGTTACACGATGGCATGTGTGTCAGTGGGACCAAACACGCATGCACACGCGTATTTTACAACGGGAGGAAAAGCGCGTGTGGCCCGAAAATTGGGACGCCGTTTTTACGAACCATATTTTTCACGATCGGGTTTCTCCTCTCTAATTTATTCCCCTAAATCTTAAATAATCCTTTATCATTCGCGATAATTTCTCGTTTATACGTAAATTTAGGAGTATCTAATACTTTTTTTCTACATCTTGAGTAAAGCTTTTCCCAGTCAAAACTGACATGTTTTTCACAACTTTTTTAGATTCTAAAGAGATTTATATCAGTCTGAGTTTTGCCAAAGTCTATTTAAATGAAATAAAATCTGAAAAGTCACATGTATACACACATATATATAGTTCACCATTTTTAAGATATTAATTATTTCGAGAACATATTCTAAAATTAAAATTTTATTTTTATCAATCATCGTTATCTTCCAAATATAAAATCTAGAGTAATATTTCAATTTAAAGAGTCTTCTCCAGATATCCGGAAATTCCTCATGATAGCGAGTACGTCAATTAAGGACGAGCATCGGCGGACATTCCTGACCCGCCTACGAATTTTTTTATAAGGCCCGGTGCCACATTTTTTGGTGCGCAATTAAAGGAACAAACTGCTCTGTGTGTAGCACGAGAAAAAGAACTGCCTCTCGCCACGGGTCAGAGGTCTTCCCGCGAAAGAAAAGAGCAACATACATTCTTAAGAGAAACGCGAGCGGAGAGCCTGAGCATAAGTTTCCTCCTCTGTTTCGAGGATGTTTCGAGTGTCGAGAAATAAATCACGTCCCGAGAATACGTCGACTTTTATGATTGTACAACTCAGATGTTATAGCAGATTGTGATGTGAATATATAGAATTATAGAACGATCCGTGATGCAATTGAAATAAGATACTATATAAAAAATATATGATCGCGTCAAATAAAATTTAATTATGTCAAAATTTATTCTTCAGATAATTAACTTTACATATTTAAAAAAATGATATAATATCTTTTTTCTATCTTCAACTTATGTAATACTATTTCACAGATATATTCATTATCTCAATAGAGCTAGAATATAAATATAAAAAATGTTATATCTTTATGAATAATATAGTTAACTTTCTGCTCGTCATAATTTTAATTATTTTTAAGATAAAAGCTCGATTAAACTTAAATCTCGTTCATTGTTTATATACAGTGATAATCAGTCGCAAAGAAAACACATAATTGAGCGCCTGATCTCCTTCGCAACCAACACACGTGCCCGATGCACATCGGCATGTCGCATATCCTTTCGTTCATTGGTATGCCGATACATCGCAACACTGAGCCCGTTTCGCGATCGCGTTCGCGCTCGGCTTGATGAATTTGGCACGAACGCGGCTGCGAGGAATTATTTTGAGCATCGTAAGCTCCGCCGCAGGTGCATCGAGAAAACCGAAACGAAATCTCTTGCAGTCACAAACATGGTTGTTCTCCAAAGTCTTACATTAGCAAAATATATAATTAATATAGATAGAGAAAATGAAAAGACTGTAAAAATCTATAAATACATATCAATGTAAAAAATTTGAAAAATTTTTATAAAAGCAACATGATTATTGCACATAAAATATGTTTGTTAAGAGATTAAAACTGTTAACAAACAGATATCACTTTAGATTCGATGTTATTAGAATATGTCAAACATTCTAATTCTGAAATAATTTTTTATTTTATTGACTCTTATTATTTTTTGATGAGATAGAAATTCAGTAGTTCTTAATTCTCCTTATTATACATATTGCTTCAAAATAATTGTAAGAAGTAGGTGTTATTTTACGCCTCGTAAGCATGATATTTCTGTGAGAGATTTCACAATTGGTTTTCGAATCAAGATTGACGTTGTGCGATCGAAGAATATGAGTCAATATGCTGATCGCTGCTAATTCTTTCTCGAGGCGCACTGAATGTTACACAAAATCTACGCCTCTTTCCCAGAGCCTCTACGACGCACGTAGTTTATGTTACATCTGTTTACATTATTCTTTATATACAGAGATACTCTTGACTCTACCCGTGGCGACAGGGAGGCGAGATTAATATGTCGCAGAGACGACATCACACAAGCCGTCAAAATAGCATTAACCCTTAAAAGCGCACAACTATTATAATCTCTTCCCACGAATATATAATTCTTTTGCCTTTGAAAAGCTTACAATACAAGAAATCAAAATTTATATAAAAGTTAAAACTTTTCAAAGAGTAGAGTTATTTAATTTCTATTATATTTATTATATATATTTAACGAAATTTTCGCAGATACGAAACTATTTTAGAGATCTCTTTTATATTTTTACAGACGTAATGTTTCGCAAATCGTCTTATATGTGATAAAATAGAACCGTAAAACGTTTCTTTAAATCGACTTTAATTGTGCATGATCTCAGTTATAAAAGCGTAACGCTGATTATTTTAAGACAACCGACATGTGACGTGTGTTCCTTAGTTAGAAAAAAAGTGTGATCGGCGAGATACACACGAGCGACGTTAATCTATGAGCAGCATCTTTTAAACGGTGAACAATCCTCGTGAAAACGCCGCGTCGCACCGTTTCCCTTCGTAATTCTCTCTCGTGAGCGACAGACTCGTATCTCAGGTCAATTAAGGCGAACTCGTCCGTAAACGACAAACACGTGGAAACACTCGCGTCTCTCGTTCTACTTTATTACGTAAATATATTTTACGAAACGACTGATTGAAAAATTCGAGGAAAGTTACATCGTGATAAAATCAGCGAATAACGACGAAACGAATTTTGCGATTTACTGGATTGGCAAATGTATCTCTATATATAGTTCTGCTTCGATTACACTTCTATCTCGCGATAATTAAATGTTATGAAAGAATCCATTCTAAATTAATTGCTAAAATATTTTATTCCTCTCCTCTCTTGTATTGTGAGAATTGTTGGAGAGAGATTCTGTAACATATTTTTTAGATAAAATCTAATAGAAAATGAGAATAAAAATTTAATTAAAAATTGAGATAGAAGGATATTAAAATTAAAAGACACTTAATATTGAAATGTCTTTGTTCTGTTTTGATTTGACTCTAATAAATGCATTTTTTAAATGAAATAATAGAGATATATTTCCAATACACATACTCTTTGTAACGTATTATTTTATATAGTGAATAATTCGAAAACAAGAAAAGTCAACTTACATGTCCATTATCATCCAGCTGATTGTTTGTTAATTTTAATTTATCGAAGGAAATGGGCTGTTTCATCCAATGAGCGCCATTCGCAGGACTGTCGGGATGTACATGAATCCTGGGGGGTGATACAGGATCAGCACGACCCGCAACAACCCAGGCGCTGCTGTGGAACGCGTATCGATACCTCTTATCATCACACGGAACGAAATCCATCACCATCAGATACTCTGTGTTGGGGTCCAAGCCGAACAGTCGACACTGCGAATCATCAAAATTTCCATCATTTCTCGTTTCGTTTTTTGCGTGAAATATTCTTAATCAAGCTGGACAATAATTCTCAATCAATGTCACATTTTTTATATTAAAAAAGGGTCCAATGAAATTTTCTTTTCTTTCTAATTTTTCTTCTAAGCTTTTTTTGACATGTAATTTTAAAACACTATTCCATTATAATTGACATTAAAAGTGGAAGATAATAATTCTATATAAAATAATATAATTCAAAAATGTGGAATAAATATTTGTTCAAGGTTTTATTTTCAAGAAAATTAATATTGAAAATTGATAAATCTTTTCCGTCATCTTTAAAGTTGAAAAACTTTTCATTACATTCATCGAATAAAGCAATATTTAAAAAAAGATAAAATTTGATAGTTAAATTCTTTATAGCCATATTTATTTTAAATGAGAGTTATTTGTAAAATATTCTGATCATCTTTCTTCTTGTATAAGTATTGTATTTTTATTCATATGCTAATAATTTTAATGATACTAATAATCATCTTCTTTCAGGTTGTATCATCGATAATGGTCATATCGTCTTTGGTATCTTGCTTTTGGGAATTTCGAATGAGTACTATGACTTTTACCTGAAATGTGGGGAACATTCTTCGTCCCGCTTTTGTGACGATCATCTCGGTACCTAGTTGATGAAATTCCTCCCATAGCGGCTTTGCTTCCAAGGCTGCACCGGCGCCAACTAACACCGGATGAAGCGGCCGTTTCGCACCCAATTCCTCGGTGGTGGATGCACCGTCGTCGCTCGGATGATGATCACCGTGATGACGATTGTTGTTATTGCTGTCATTGCGAGATTCTGTGGTTGACGGAGAAATTGGATTCGCCACATGGACCGGCAAAGTAACCTTCATCGGACTGCGCGATCGCTTCACTCTTCCGGCGCTCTGCAAGCAGGCTAGTAGGACGACAAAAAACAATAAGTAAGTACAATATTTAGGAAAACTTGTGAAAAATAATTATGTTTTATTTAAGCTGCTCTTCCTTATAAGCGTATTTCCTTCTATTGCGGATTTTTTGTAAATTTTAAGATGACTTTTTCTCAGCAAAAATGTCAAGAAAAGTCATCTTAACTTTCCGATCTTGAATGTACTATATTATTAGTTTTTCAACTACTTTTATTCAAATAATTAATGAATTCTCGATATTTTTGTAATAAAAATAAATTCAAAATTAAAAGAATTCGTAATTTAAAAGAAATGCGCTCTTATAATATATGAGAGATAGGTATATACTAGCTAAATATATGTAATACATTAATCAAATTGCATACGAAAAATGAGATTGAGTGAAAGATTAACGAGCTTAAACTTATAAAAAATATTTTGTATATTTAACAGATTGTCTACCAAATTAATTTTAACAGAAGTTCCTCTTGAATTGAGTTTTTTTATGTTTTAGTTTATTTTTATCGTATAAATATTTTAAATAGTGTTATTCAAATCTAAATATCAAAGTATTTATAATTTAAATTTTTTTAATGTGATATTTGATAATGTCAAAGAATTCAATGCGTTTGTAGTAACACCTTCTCTTATTTTGTTTCAATATTTCTATCAAAAGCTCAATGTGCGAAATAGAATTGAATACGTTCTCCGTTTAATACGTTCGGCATTTCAAAATATATATTCATGAATGTATTTGGATTTTTTACAAATCACTTTGTACACATATAATATATATAATAATATAAAAATACATGATATAAAGAATCAATTATTATGAGAAGGCACATAGACATGAGAAGGTTACATAGAGTTCTATAATTTAAATAAAATGTAATATAGAAAAAATGCATGTGTGAATAATAGTAATAGAATAGTATATATAGTTTTAAAAATACTCGAATAATCTCTCGAAACAAAATAATGTTATATTTATTTCAAAACTTTTAAATGCTTTTGCAGTACAAACATCGAACTATATGGTTTACCTTCCATTTGTTGCATCGGCGACGGTATAACAGACAGATGTGGATGCTGATGGTGGTGATGATGATGATGATGATGCGTCTGCCATTGCTGGTAACAGCAATCAGCGGTGATTTCGTGTCGTTGTTCGTGTTGTGGTTGCATCCTCGTCGACAATATCTTGGTATCGATTCTTACTATACAAATTATTGCGACAAGAGATACGCACAATTCATGTGTGGATGCGTAATCCACGTGGTAAAAATTTCAACTTCATTTGCACTGTAATTACAATTCGTCGACATTTTGAACATAATTAAAGACATAAAACTGAAGAACAACACTTCTTTGCACTAGCAGATTATTACTTCCATCGTCGTCATCGTCAATCCATCGATAAATTCTCATTCAAAGATACACACATGATATTCCTTTAACTAAAAAAATCCGCACTCTCGAAAATGATCATTGTCCGAATAATTATGTGTCATAATCGCGCGCGCACTGATAATCGCTCATTAATTATTATCTCAACTCGCGTTTTAAGATAGCTTTTCGCCGAGAAAATTCCTAGTCGTCTCTCTGTCTGTCATTTTCTTTCTCTTTCTGTCTCCTCATTAATGTCGTCGACAACGTAACGCGAAACGAGCGATTTCTTCAGCATCTCTCGCGGCTACCTATTGAAAGAAGATCCGACCGTGATTTCAGCGGCGCCCCGAATTCTGACCGAGTACCCGACGAGCTCCGACATCGTCGAGAGGTTGCTCTCTGCCGTCAACAGGACTTGTCCTCACCTCCATGTCCAGACGCTGACAAGGACGCTCAAAGCCGCGCGGATCCCGGATGAATCAGAAAGAACTCGTCTGAGGCTACTACCCCGCGACTTATCATCGAGACATCATTCTCTCTCAGAGTAAAGAACGTTCCTCTCTCTCTTTCTATCCCGTATATTTCAGTTCCTCCCTGGCAGATCTGTTCCGAGGAAGAAAGAAGGAGAGAGAGAAAACGGCGTAGAGAGGTAGAATGAGGAAGAAAGGAGGGCTTTTCTGAGGATCCTCCTACACAAGCACCCACGCTGGTCGACGATGGGATGCATGGATCCTCTGCCTTCTACTTTGATGTCGGAAGGCGGAGTCTCGGTGAGCCAAAAATGTTAGGGGTAGGTGCAATGGACTCAGGAATGGATCTTTTCATTGTGCCACCCGGGAAAACACAGCAACCCCAAAGTGCAAATTCATTATAATACGCATGATGGTAGAATCGCGAAAAAAATAAGTTGGCATAAAGGTATATCGATTTTTTTTAATTTAACTGAAAATCTCAAATTAATTATTTTAAAATTTAAATAATTTTTATTTTAAAATTTGCTTAACATTATCAAAATCGAATTATAAAAATTGAGGAAACTAAAAAAATTATTAATAATTCGGAGAGGAAAGAAAGAGAGGAAATGTAAGGACTAAATTAAGATTTCAAGTCTTTCAATTTGATCACAGGTTTTTTTCACAGAGTTATTTAATAATATAGTTGTACTATACGTACAGTATATATAATATATATATATATAGTGCCGAATGGAGTATAATTATACTATCACTGTACTTAAGTCCACACTATACTTATACTACTACACATATTTCACACACATTCTGCCATTCACAAAATTTTCAAATTTAATATATTCGACAAATTCATTAAGTTCATATATATATATATGTGTGTGTGTGTGTGTGTGTGTATATATAAATATACACACGCTTTTTGAAGGTGTAAGACTTCTTAATGCGCGCGTAAAGAATTGCTTTTTCTCTCTCTTCATCGTAAAACTTTTTTAGACTGATCGATCATTGATGATGCACGCGGAAAAAAACACATTTACGTTTTTTTTATTTATGATAGTGTTGAGAAGAATCTTGATGAAATTTTGAGTACTATGATGAGAAAGCTTTAAATATTGTGTGTAAAATAAGAGAATTACAATTAAATCAAAATTTTTAATAATAAATCATAATTATATATATTTCTCATTTTTAAAGATCGATAGATTATTGTAAGATTGTTCGCTTATCAATGTAGCCGTTATTGTGAAACTATAATATGAAATTTTATAAAATAAACAAAAATTCAATAATTTGTCCGACTTTTCTAAATCTTAAAAATCAAGAAGTTTAATTTTTATGAGAAATTGTCTATCAATGATTTTTCTTAAATCATTTATTTTTCGCAGACACATTCTTTTTTATCCTTTCTCATCTTGATGCACCTCTTTCACGCTTCTCTGTATCTCTTGTACGGTTTTCACGAATTTGATTAATCTTCTTATTAGTAGCCAACGCTGTTGATTGCATTCTCATTTCTTTTTCTTGTCACATTTCTGCCATTGTTTATACTTTGCTTACTTAGTAAAAAAAAAACATTTAGCTTTAGAATAAAAGCGTTCTTAACGTACTTTGGCTTCCTGCGGCATATATCAATGTCCCACTCTCTCTCTCTCTCTCTCTCTCTTTCTCAGTAATTATTAATAAGTAGATATTAATATATATAATTGTTAATTAATCACTATTAATAATGTTTATGTGATCATTACTAAATAAAGGGAGAAAGAGAGGAGAAACGAATAAATCTATTTCTACAATATCAATTTTATTAAAAAAAAATAAAGAATATAAATATCTTCTTGACCAGCGCTCGTTATAATTTTGTGTTTGGCTATTGCAATTTTCATATATAATAGTCCTTGTATAATAAAGATTCCCCCATAGCAAAAACATTGGTGATATCATGGTGATGTGTTCTTTGTCACAAGGAAAGCGGACATTCGCACATTGTTATGACATCCAGAACACATCACCATGATATTACCAATGTTTTTACTATGGGGGTTCTTAATTAATATATTTATACTTTAAATATCTCATCCAGAAAGTTATATAAAGATATAATGATTGATATCATAAATCAATATATTAGAATTTGTTTTTAATTGGTATGAGCCTTCTATGTATCTAATTTCATCTACTCTCTCTTTCCCTTTGCTCTAAAATATATACTTATATGTTTTAAACACAAATTATAATTAGAATAGATTTTGTTACTTATTGATCATATCCCAATAAGTAAAAAATTCAATTCAAGTAATTAAGTTATCAATATTTATCTTATTTCTGAAGATTATGAGCGATAATGGAAAGTGCGTCGCAAAGAGCTTAATAAGACAAGATGATAATTGGTGTTATCGGCTTAGCCCTCTTGTATACGTATATATATGTATCTCTCTTAATACGCAGATAAAATTACAGCCGCCGGAACGATGGTGTGTGTCTATCTAAATACAGTATGATTAATCAGAAAAAAACTTCGAGAAAATAAATGAGTCTTTGAGATGAGCGAATATTTACATAGATGTGAAGAATATGAATGCTTTACGGACGAATTTAAGTTATTCTAAATATCATATATAGTACCTATATCGCGCATTCTCTCTCGATATTTATGCTTTACATATAATTAATATTCGCGGAACAATATTGAGATAAGTCACGTTTTGCTAGTCTCTCCTAGAAGTAGATAAAATTGAACTCTGTCCAAATTCGCATATTTGAAATCGCCAGCCGGGATGATGGATATATATGTATCGATTGAAGAGATGACGGATGTTTTTATGTGAATTTTATTTATAAAAAGAAATTAATGTGTGTACAAGAAGAAAGGAGGATAACATGATCGGTCTTTCAAGATCCCGTAGGATCCTCACGTCGTGGTTTTTCTAGATAGCTTTACGTGATAGCTATTGTGTTTTCTTTTTTTTTCTTTTTATTATTATTATCAGGGATGAATCCGTGCTTTGTGCATAGGCTAATGGGAACGCTGAAGATAGGGATGCATGTGGGAAAACTAAATAAAATGAATGTGAAAAGCGAGGAAGATGGATAATGTTAACAGTAGTAATGATTCGATCCTGACAGAACTATCTCGATCAAGAGATGGAAAACTCTCGATCGTAAAAGGACAAGTTTCTTTCCTTTTTCGTATATTATTTCATAATTAGATGCCTATGATAGAGTGATACCAATGTGCGCTCGCGTGTGTTCATTAATCACACGATTAATTATCCCGCGTTTATAGATACTATATAGCGTCGTTGATATTAATTAATCCAGAGAAGCCTTGCCGTCATAATAATCGCAATATCAGTATACTTGTTCTCGTTCGTCATAAGACAATAATGTACACATTAATGGTTCATTAAATGCTTCGACACTTGCTTTTAGAACGAAACTTGTTTCTCTGTCTCTTCCTCTCTATCTTTCTCTCTCTCTCTATCCATCTATCTCTTCCTCTCTCTGTATTTCACAATTCATATATAAATGTATATTTATAAAAGTACGTATGATGTAATAGATGTCGTTTACAAATTTGTGCAACTTACAGAAGTATCGAGCTATATAAATACCTATTATACTTTAAAGAATTATATATCTAGGCAATCGCTCGTTATTACTTGTATATCGATATCTTCATTAACAGCATACTTACATAATGAAATGAAGCGAGAGTGGCATGGTATGTTTTTTTGACATTGCAATATAATTATTATGTCGATTTTCGTCACAGCGCGAAGTAATCGAAAGAGGTCTTATCTTCTTGGCAAATTAGATGCTGACGACACCGACGAATAAATGTAGATGAAAAATAAAAGACATTACGATTGACGAATGCGAAAGACGAATTACATTGAAAGTTTTTGCTTTGTGCCGTTTTGCTTTTTACTTTTTCAACTTTGCAAATTATTAAGATTGTTGCCGGCAATCACACAAATCTTTTCTAATCTTATCATCGATAGATCAGAGGTTTTCTACTATTTTGTTTTATACAATAACACATTTAGCTACAAACATACTCTATCATTTACTACTTTCGACAAACTCTGTGAAAAGCAACGCCCCTCCGGATTTTCTGATAGATGTATTCCGATTCATTATAACTATTTCTGCAGGCTTCGTAGTCAATCGAAAATAATAATAATAATAATAATATAATAATAATTATTATAACTTCTTTCTCTCTCTCTTTCTCGCTCGCTTGCGTTCTCTCTCTCGCTCTCGCTTTCTCTCTTTCGTTCTCTCTCTCTTTCTTACAAGGACGTAACGTCTTAACAGATGGTGGGTCAGGGAGTAGCAGTTGTAAAATCTTAAGCATCCCATTCGAAAAGACAAGTCTAAGGATTTCACTTCTTCTTATTTTTGTTGTTCGCGCCTCGCGGTGGCGTCACCGGCCGTCCCGCATTCAGCCCACCGTAAGTGAATTTTCTCTTATCGGCTGGTTTTAAAATCTGAAAACTGCACATGAGAGTCTCGTCTACCGACATCATGGCACCTGCATTGTCAAATTCGCCGCAATAATTCGGAGCCGAGAATAATGTTACCAATTGTCGTTTGGCAAAGAATTCGTAACCATCTTCCACCACCTAAAAAAATATTTTACATTTTTAATACGTCAAAATCTTACAAAGTTATAAAAAGCATATATACAACTGTATATTAAAAATATTTTTACCTGATGTGCACGGCATATAAGATCAAAGTCATGTTTGTGTAAAAATTTGGCAACGACTTCTGCGCCAAATGTAAATGATACACCACGATCGTTTTCGCCCCAACCCATGGTATCTTTATCGGGATCGGACCACAATAAATCACAGAGTAATCCTTGATCAGGTACATCTGTCGGTCTCATGATACGTCTAATTTGTTCCATGCTCTGCAGATCCGGACTCAGGCCTCCATGACAGCAAAATATCTTTTCGTCTACTATCGCAGCAACCGGCAAGCAATTAAAGCAATCGGTGAACGTTTTCCATAGTTTAATATTGTAACGACGTTTACCTAAAATATAATTATGTTTTGTAGAACAAATTTATAAGCAGAGATAGCATAAGATATTTTATATTCATAATAGATATTTACACTCGTCATAAAATCCATATATCCTATTAATGGATGCACATTCGTGATTTCCTCTCAGCAAAAAGAAATTTTCTGGGTACTTGATTTTATAGGCAAGAAGGAGACAGATAGTTTCTAAAGATTGTTTCCCTCTATCAACATAATCTCCTAAAAAAAGATAGTTGCTCTCCGGAGGAAAACCACCATACTCAAATAATCGCAGCAAGTCGTAGTATTGCCCATGAATATCACCTTGTGAAAAAAGTTTCATAATGTATTTGTGTCATTATAAAACATGAATATTAATTTCTTCTTTTATTTGAATTGAAATAATTTTTTATCCGCCTTCATTTGCTCACCACATATCTTTAATGGTGCTTCAAGTTCTAAAAGAATGGGTTGTGATAGAAAAATTTCTCGCGACTTGAGACACAATCCTCTAATCTCCACTTCTGTCAACTGAACATTTTTGCCTGGTCTTGCTCCTCGCACTAAAAAAACATAAAAGATCATACCTCAACAACAGTAAAAGTATGATAAACATTTTATATCGTCATACATATTTTCATATCTTTCAATATATTGATTACTTTTCTGATAAAGAAATATAAAGCAGATGAATCAATATTCAATACACTCACATACATGAATCACTGGATACATTTAGTACAACTGTTTGATACACAGCTGTTTATAATTGGAATATAATCTAAAGCTATGCCAATCATGAATAGCCATTGCAGTCACTGGGCGCTCAATGAGCAATATTGTACTAAATGCATCTATTATAGTGAAATCAATTCACTATCATTCTCAACACCACATTAAAACTTCCAAAGTACATATAGCCTAAGAAGTAAACATTTCAGATATTTTGTAAAATATAAAACAATTACAAATCATAATCAATAAATTCCATACAAAGTTAGATATTTAAGTCAATGAGAAAATTATTCTTAAAACAAAAATTTTGTCAGTGCTCAGACTTGCCTCATCAACTCAATACAATCATTCTCATATTTTTTCTCCCTTATTTTCCAGAAAACAACTTTGGACGCCAATGCACACAAACACTCATAATTTCAACAAAATAATATTCGTGCATCGCGAGAGCAAAGCGGAGCGATATACGCAACAGGATTTAATCACGTCACGGACCTCGCCCAGAATCGCGTCGAGGACGAGGTCGTCGGCCGTGATTTACGTAAACAAACGTCATCCGCGAGTCGAGGACTCCCATCCTCGGCCTCGGGGACATTGCGTAACACGACAGGAGTAAAACAAGCAGCGACAAGGAAACAAGTGGATTCGGGCCGGAGTTGCCCTTGAAGAGCAGGAAGAGTCCCGGGATCGCGGGGCGTCGTCGCTCGGGCATCGTCCCCAGGAAGAGCCCAGGAGGAGGTTCCCGAGGAAGCCTCGCGGCAGCGCGTTGCGCTGCTGCGTCTCGCCATCCCCCCTCCCATTTTTCTTTCTCGTTCTCAGACAGCGCATCGACCAGTTTTACCTTCCAAGAGCCGAGCTATGATGTTGTCGATGTTCAACTTGTCGGTCTCAGCCATCGGGTCGGAGTCTCGATGCGCGTCCCGGGCTTCAAACGGAGCAGCTTCTCGCGAGGATGATCGTCGATCCGCCTGGATTCCTCAGGGCCGCACTTTTGACACTTGGGCTGTCTCGCGCTCGCGCGGCTTCAACGTACAAGGTACCTCGCAATGGCCGCCCGGATAACCGCGCACTCCACTCCCTTTCGTCCCCCACCTTCTCCTACCCTTCTCTTTATCGACAGTCGAAGCCTGCGAGAGCTCGCGATTCTCGATCGCTCGAGCATGCGCGTCCGAGGTTGAATATGGTTCTTTTTTTCTCTCTCGGGTTCTCCTCTTCGGACGCGATCACCGGGATTTTGGATTGAGATACACCTAGTGCGCACGCGTGCGAGAATCTACGAGAGATTATTTGAGATCAACGATTTTTTTGCACATCAAAACTCGCACCGCTTACGAGATTGTGACAAGATCCATTCGTGTAATTTTGCTCATCCAGGGAAGACGAAGATGCCGGAGAACGTGGTACATATACTTTGACGAAATTTTCTTCTTTTTTTTTTAGTTAAATTAATACGTTGATATTGAGTTTGATTTGTTGTGCCGAATTTAGATTACGTCGCAAGAGCGACAGGTTATGCGTTTGCATTGTTCGTTCGAGATTCAGAACGAGACAATGCATGAAAGGCGAAAATTATATCTTCTTTTTACTAACTTTGCTTTATTTAGATCTCAATTTTTATATTTATTTGAACGTGGAAGTTGTCTTGATCCCCAAATTTTGTATTTTGAAAGTTCGACAAATTTTAAAAATTTGTTTTTCTTTTTTTTGTTTTTCCTTTTCAAGCTAAACGGCGATCATATTGATGTGAAAGGTGCCAACTGCGAATCCCAGGACAATGATGAGGAGAACACTGAAAATGATGTGCATTTTGAACCTATAGTTACTTTACCTTTAATAGAAGTGTCCAACAATGAGGAAGATGAGACAGAGATGTTAAAACTGTAAGTTAAAACAGTATAACTGTAAGAATACATTTTTTGTTTACACAATAGACTTACAGAATAATTTATGTGTTTTTTTTGTCATTCCTAGGCGAGCAAAATTATATCGTTACGATACATCAAATATTCCAGCGGAATGGAAGGAGCGTGGTACAGGAGAAGTCAAATTGCTGAGACACAAAACAAAAAACACAGTTAGAGTAGTGATGCGCAGAGACAAAACTCTTAAGATCTGCGCTAATCATTTTGTGACTCCGTGGATGGAACTGAAACCAAATTGTGGCAGCGATAGGGCATGGGTCTGGAGTGTACTTGCAGATTTTGCAGACGAACAACTCAAGCCGGAATTGCTGGCAATACGTTTTGCAAATGTTGAAAGTAAGTTTTAAATAGATATACATCAAAAATTTTGTGTATATAAACAAAAATATTAATATCCTTGCATTATTTTACTTACTTGTTAGATGCTTCTATGTGGAAGGAAGCATTTGAAAAGGCTAAAAAGATTGTGGGATCTGAATGTGAGATTTATGCCGGCAAAAACAATCCGGAACAAAAGCTCAGTGAAAGCGACAGTGAATCCAGCGATGTAAGTTATGATGAAAGTACTGATAATGAGGATCAGACAAAGTTGTCTAAACAGACTGAAGAATCTGACGCGATTTCTCAGCAGAGAGAAGTCGAAAAAGTATCAACAACGTTGGCAGAAAAGAAAGATGTGACAACAAATGAGGAGAAAATAATCAACGAAATCACAAAGTTAAAAGTGAAAGATGAAGGTGAGACAAAGTAATTTTATGTATATATATATATATATATATATATACATCTGAAGACATGAATAACGCGGAGTTTTATTATCAAATGTCACATTCCGTTTTTATATGCACACACAGAGGTGCATATCACATGCCATTAACGTTTCATTACCTGATAATTAATAAATACGTAGACATTTTTAGCAATAACGTTATAGAAAAGCTAAATAAATTTTCAAGTTGTGGGATAAAGCTGTATTTATACGAATGTTACATATATTATCTGTGATTTTTTTAAACTGAGTGTAAATTAATACAAAATTGCATTTGTACCGGAAAGTGTGTATGTGAGAGAACGTGTGTTGTGAACGAACCGAAAATAAATACAACGACAAATGTATGAACAGAAAATTTCTCGAATTTTATTTATTTTTTCATTCAGAAAAATTATTTATATATCACATTTTTTATAGTTAATGATTGCATATTATGTTTGTTTTAAGAATATCAAATCCTATATTGAAAAAATCACAAGTACATCATATAATATAAAATTGTTGTGTACAAATTACAATATGTTATAATCCACAATCTTTGACAATAGCAGATTTTCTGTTTGGAACATACTTTTAAGAAATTTTTATTTTTTTGCTGCTTTTTTTATATGTAACAAAAAAATAAATAATTATATTTATTCAGATATTTAATTTCATAGATAAACAGATTTCTCTAGATGTAAAAAGTCTATATTTTTAATATTTATCGCCTAGTTTGTCTTGTGTCCGTGTATCTGTATAAAGGAACAACACGCACAACAAATAAACAACCTTAGCAAGTAGCCTTACATATCATCTTGTAGAAAGTATGATCAAGAAATACTTTATCACATAATGACATTTAATAAGGAATAAAATAATACTGTGACATATTGTTTTGAATAGTGTCCAAATGTATCAAGTGTGCATTCTAATTAATTATATTTATATAAAATTGAAACATAAAATCTACTATAAAACAAACAATTAATATTCGAACTGAAACTCAATTATGAAATATAATTATATAACATATAATTATTAGGTAAATTATATAACATTTGGACAATCATATTAATAAATTTGATTGTGGTCCTCTATAATTCATCCCTTGCTGAGAAAGACTGTAGAATGTTTCGTCTCTCTTCCATTGTACGTTTCTTTTGATCAGATAATTTTCCTCTATAAAGAAGTCCCTGTACTCGTGTTTCTTCCGTTTGTACAAATACATCTCCCTTCTCCAAAATCTTCTCCATAGTCTTTACATAAGTCTTTGCAGCCTCTCGTTGCTCTTCTGGCAGAGTCTCTTCGAAGATTCTTGCCTTTTTTAATATTTCCTAAGAAAAAGAAAACATTCTCTTTTTAGACAGAAAATTTAGTAATATCGCAAACGTTTAATTATTTTAATTCTTTGTCCAAGTATCAATATGTTTACAAGGCTGATATTCCAGCATGTTAGCATAATTGGAATATGTATAAGAATTTAATTTAAAAGAATTTTTTAATATTTCTATATTTTTTGTTTCCCGAAAAATTATATCCTGCTTTTTTATCGAACATTAATAGATTATATTTGCCTAATTTTATTAGCATTAAATTACCTGTCTTTCCTGTTCGTTCGCGGCTTTGAATGTCTCGGCTAATTTATCTAATCGTTCTATGCATCCTGGTAGGCCTAAGTATACTCTTGAGTTTGCTCTGATGAATCGCTTCAAGTATTCGCCGGTGAAATCAGAATATTTTTCGGTAGTAAATCTTGTCGGTTCCGATTTACCTTGAACGAATAATAGGACTACCGGGAAGTCCTCCTTCTTGATGTTATAACGTTGAGCCAAATCGGAATTATCCTTATTACCAAAATCTTTAACACCCACTGTGGCTATTAGGAGATCTTGCGAATCCTTAGTATCGGCTGCCACTGTCGCATATTGTTCGTGTTTGCCACCATATGGAAATGCGACGTCGAATTTAACGAGTACCACCTTGAATCTAGGAATCACCTGCAATGATAAAAAAAATATATATATGTAATATAAAAATTATATATAAATATATATACAAAAATATATATATATATATATATATATATATATATAATATATATATATATTATTAATAAAATATATAAAATATATATATATACAATATAAATATTTTATATATATATAATATTTATATTGTATACAGTACCGGTCAAAATAATTAGATTACCTTTTAATTTTTTTCAGCATAACTTGTTTTAAAGTGCACGGATCTTTACACAAATCATAACATGTTTTGAAGGACGGTATATCATATATTGAATTATAATTCAATGTTATATCAACCTTCAAAACATGTTATGATTTGATACAGATCCGTGTATTTTAAAACATGTTATGCTGAAAAAATCAAAAGGTAATATAATTTTGAACGGTACTGTAAATTGAAAATAATACTTTTAATTACAAAATCCTACATAAAGAAAGTTGCGAACGAGGTGCTAATAATTGGAACCGTTTTAAATGTTTCGCACTCGTAAAAAAAAGATGCATGAACTATATTTTTGTGAATGCAGAAACAATGTACTTGATTTTATATATTAAAAGAAAAAAAATATATATACATATACGTATTTTTTAAATAAATTATCGAATATTTTTTCTTGATATATCCATAATGCATTTATTGCATACACTTCGTAAAAATGATATTATGTGCAGTGATAATATTATCATTATTACCTATTCTTGCTTTAAAAGTTGCAAATGCAGTCACGATTTTAGCGATTATTACATTGTGTTTTTAGATATATTATAAATACATTTTTGGATATAATTATATTATATATGATAATTACAATTAATTACAACGACATACATTTTCTCAAAGAAACATATGTCTTAACATTCAATCGATTCGTCGTCTAATAGAATCGAATTATTATGAATAAATAACGCTTACATGAATCAAAATATGATGCAACTTGCCAACGTGGCTCGTAACTATAGCAACTTTAAAGCTAAGCACAGTGAAAATTGATCGAATTATTTCATCTCTCATCTCATTATTTTTTTTTTAATGCATAGAAAATATATATATATACATATACTTTTTCTTTCTTTTCATTATTACAAATTATATGTCGTAGTTATAAAACAAAAAAAATAATTCTCAATTATGTTATTAATTTCATAACTTCCACATTAATTTTATCATCTAAGCCGAATTTCGTGATAAAATTTTTGCACAACGCAAATCTGACATATAAAAATAAAATATATTTCAAACCTTAATCTAGTATGTTATTTTATTAAATTTTTTCAAAATTAAAATAGTCGATTTATATTACTCAGTCGAAAATTATCGATCATATTTCTTTTCCATACCTTGTCGAAGGAATAGGAGTCCAAAGGGACGCATCCTTTGCAATCTTCACCGGTAGTGACATGATACGAGACGACGATGATTAGCATAAACACGAGGCTTGATCGAATCATGATCTATAAGAATTTCGGTGTTCCCGCGTCTTCACGTGTCTGCCTCCAAGTCAGTCAATTAACTACTCCGGTTCTTTGACTTCGCCGAAACGAACGGCACCGTCCTCTTCGCACAACTGATGTAAATGACACTTGCGGGACGCGCGCACGTAACAAAACACGGCGACGACGTTAACCGTTCAACGACCGGAGTCCTACCGGTCTCCGGTTAACGCCTCTTAATCATTTAATTATCGAAGCCATTTAATTATCCGCTTATACGCGTTAATCGAAGATCAAATCAGATATTGGATAGACAATGCGATCTGATAAAAAACGTACATACGTACACAGTCGACTTCCTCTATCCTGAGATTCTTTATTCTGAATTTTCCTCTATTCTTCATTAGCTGTTTTCCTTCACAATTGGGTTCCCCTTATGTTGATTGGTTAATATCATTCTAATATCGTAGTCAAAAAAATTGACTGTGGTACTGTCACGTCAATTTCTTAAATTCCTCTTATTGTTTCATGTATAATTAATTTATAAATAATAAGAATTTGAAAGAGAATTGATTTGAGATATTTTTCAGAATCTTTTACATTTGGAGATATAGATAGAAATTAAAAAGTATCATTTAATTTTTTCTTTTAATAATAATCTTCATTTTCTTTCATGTTCTTCTATAAATATTCAATTTTTATTGTTTTTGTGTTTTTCTATATTATTTATCTTATACATTAAACATCTTATATATTTAATTATTTTCCCTTTTTATGTTCTAATCTTGGTCTTCCTTTTTTCGTGGTTGGTTTATCTTTTCCTTTGTTTAACAAAGGATGCATTTCTATAAATTATTAATTAATATTAGTATAAAATTAAGTCAGTATTCACAATCGTTTCTGAACATAATTATTTTATAGCGATATCTTACCACCAATTGGTGCTCCTTGCAAGTCTATGTCGTGCGAACGATGTTTTTTCATTGGCGCTTCATGTGGTGTTACTTGAGTATCTTCAGAATCTTCCACATCGGGAGATATAGGTAGAAATTGAAGAGAACCAATATCTTCAGTTTCTTCATCAGAGCTACAAAATGCAGCAACTCTATCAATCGATGCAACATCAACCTCTATTTCTTCATCCTGAGCCTCTTCTCCTTGTACTACAGATTTATCTTCATCACTCAAATCAAATTCACTTTCTCTTTCTTCATATTCAACATTTTCATCCAATTCCTTAAAATCTGGTGCAAATGCAGACCAATTCTCCACCTGGTTTTGAGCCCAAATAGAAACTACACCCGATGAGATAGATGCAATTATTGGTCTCACTGGATGCCACTGTCACAAAAAAAGAATAGTACATTTTATTATGGATACTTATTACTATTTTAATTAAAGATTAAAAAAACATTATGATAAGTATAAATAAAATTTTCTTACCACAACATCAAGTAAAAGCTCGCCCTTAGTTCCATGTAAAATTTTCACTAAATTTCCAATACTTTTTTCCCACACATACAATGCATGTTGTCTCGCCGATCCAGCACACACATATTCTCCATCACCAGAAAAGCAACATTTTTTCCACATTGTTTTATTTACAAGATCTTGCAATTTCTGAATTGGCTCAGGTTCACCATCCTTACCACATGCTAATATTTCAGTACTGTCATATACACGTATTACTCTATCAGATGTATTAACTAGAAAACAGGAGCCTCGTCGTGCAAATTCTATACTTTTCACTGCTGTATTACTAGCTGTACCCTGTGTTATTTTATAAGAAGCCTTCACAGTTAATGTCTCGGCATCTAGAACCAAGACTCTACCACGAGCATTTCCTGTATATACATAATCACCACGTCTATCAAATGATGCTACTATGTTTAAATCACTCTGAAATTAAAGTAATATTGTTTTTGATGACCAATGTCATTTCTGTTTTCAAGTATTTATGTGAAAAGAATTATTAAGCTATTATAAAGATTCAATGATATATACATCATATAATACATACATCTTCATCAAGTGGTATAACTCTATGTGTTCCTTCAACATCAACCATAACAGCAGCATGACGCATGGGGCACACTAGAAATTTGTTGAGATTTCTTGGATGAAATTGCACCTTCAATATTGGAGAAGGAAACCTGTATTTCTGATCACATTCTCCAGATAGAACGTCCCATATACAAACATTATTATCTGTTGAAGCACTTAACAACTTATGACCATTTCTAGACCAACTAAAAGATACATTACATTTAGTATACTTTAACATTTGACTTCTTTAACAATATATTCAATTTCTTTATGTTTCTTTTCGACTCAATTATTTTTTATTAATAAGTTATCATATACTTTCACAAGTAATTATCTCTTCGTATACCAAATTTACTCTATATTATTGTACTATACTGTATATAACTTACCTCAATGAACAAACAGGATGTACATGGGCACTAATAATCTTAGCTATTCCACGAGTCAAAAAATCCCAAATTACAATTCTTCCATCATTGCATCCAACGGCAAGTAGCGTCCCTCTCTTATTAAATGTACACGTTACAGCAAGAGATATACAATCTAACGTGCCATCAAACTCCTAAGAGTAATTATAAAAATACGTTTAATTAATATTACTCATTATTTTATTGATAAAAATAAGATTAAAGTGAGATACATACCTCTGGATAGTTTTGTCCAAATGATTCTGTAAAAACAAATATATATTAAAGTATATTATAACCTATATTAAAACGTATGCTAGAAAAATAAGTGTCAGAATTTAAAGTTAATTACTATGCCTTTATGTTTACTGGAAGTAACAAATAAAATTTATATTAAGAAAAATGGAAAATACAAATTACAAAAAAAACTTCACCAAATACTTGCAATTAGATGCACATTTAAAATAATTGATCTCTATAATACTTCGATTTCTCAAATTATTATTAATGACATATATTTATTGAATATTTAAGTAAACCATGTATTTACCTAATAGTTCTAAATTCATTTTGATAATATCAAAATTTCTATGTTTATTATGATTACTGCACTATACACATCTGTTCGTTTTGCTTGCACTTTCTATAGCATAACAAGCTGTGTTCGAAAACGTCACTTCCGCTTTACGTTTAAGAAAGAGGAAGTGCATTCGAATGACGTTTTCAAATGCAGTTTCAGAAAAATAGAAAGAAAAAATAATACATATATATAATAAATTCTATACACAGAATTGATATTCTATAATTTGTTTTTAGAAATAATCAGTATATATGCATATAACAGAGCGAGAGAGAGAGAGAGAGAGAGAGAGAGAGAGAGAGGGGAGAGAGAGCGTAGGGATTGATATATTGTATATATTTTATATTTAATTCTAATATTTTTTCAATATATATTACTTACATACAAATATATATATTTAAAAAAACTAATTTTTTTAGATTTCATCATTATGCTGTATCTTATTATCAATTGCATTTTTCACTTTTTTATATTGCTCTAATATACACCTGAAATTTTTGTTTGTTTTTTTAATAATTAATATTAAAATTCAATACAAATAAATATATTTATAGTAATTCTATTTTTTAAATATATTTTATATCTCAAACCAAATTGTATGACGATTTATATTAGCTGAATTTGCACATTATATATATATATATATATATATATATATATATATATATATATTCTCAGATTTTTCAATAATTATAAAATTTTTATATTGCTTTTTAAATTATTGTTTTAATTTGTTATGTATCAAAAATAAAAAAGCAAGTAAAAAGCAAAATGTGCAATTAGTATTTTTATATGTCATAAAAATAAGAATGGAAATTATAAAAGAAAATCTTGGAACAAAGAAATATGCTTTGTATTTCTTAGAATATATAAAAAAATTGTCAACTTAGATCAATTATGCTTACTTTTCGGCTGCACATTCCCCTATCCAGTCAGACGCATCAATCATCATGTCAAATAATCGTTCTAAATATTTACTAAGGCACAGCATAATTGCATTTTCCGAGTGTTGTTGAAGCAATGGATGATATACTTCACGTAGAGTCATGCTATTGCTGCAACTCTCTATTTCTTTACTAAATATCTTCCATACCTAAAAAATGCATACATCTGTACAGATATATTAATAAATTAACACGTGTTAATTTATTGCATTATAAATATATATTATACTTTTAATAGCATTATATATATTTTATTTTTATTATTTACATTAAATATATATATATATATATATATATATATATATTTATTTTATATTTATTTGCATTTTATTGCGTAGAATAAAGGAAGTTTTGCATTCTTATCTTCACTTTCTTTTATATGAGAAACTTTTCTTACCTGTACCCATTTTGTTGATAACGTATCTCGCAAGGATTCTCTATGTTTAAAGCGTTGCAAAGCATAAATAGCCTCAATACCCTCCTCAATAGTTTGAACTTCTTCAAATATTCGATCGATCAGACTTATAACCATATTCTCCAATTCTGTCACAGAGTCTCTAAACTTCTGCATATTTTTTAGCCATGTGGAATTCGTAACGTCCAGAATGTTATCGCGAACTAGTTTGACTTTTTCGAGATTCTCGTAAAATAAATTCTCTATTCGGCAGCAATAATCTTCGTGTTCAGTACCCTTTGCACCGCCGATCATTCCCACTTTATTACGCCTACAGACATTAATTATATATATTAGCATCCTTTTTATGTGCTTTTATTTTATGTACCTATATTAAAATATTATTTATATTCCCTAATCATATTTCTTTATCGAAAACAAATACAAATAAAAAAGTAATAAAGTAAGATAATAGGAAGGATATTCTTTTACATTTGTAATAAATAACATATATTCTTTTAAAATATCTTGGAAAAAATGTGAATTAAGAAATAATATTATACATATATTTTTTTATAAACTTTCTATATTAATAGTTAAATTGTGGAAATTTTGAATTAAAAATTATTATTATATATATAGGGAATATTCTATTTTTTATATTTTACCTTCCAAATACGATTAAAGCGTTGCAAATCTCAATGACATCGTAACATCTTTGCGTAAACGTGTTGATGCGTTTAAATACTAATTGTTCATCCACATGCCAATCCCTATTCGTTTTTATGTGCGAAGTTATACTGGTGACCTGTAATCGATTTTTTCAATTAAATTTATTGGATTTTAAAATAATTATATGACCGACTTTATCAAAATTCTCCACAAATTATATCGATCTATTCATTTATAAAAGTTCTATAAATATAATATTTCTGGTTTTAGCTAATGCTGAAATAGTTTTAAAAGTTTTTGGAGCATTTCATTTGTAGTTGATAATGTAAATTGTTTCGATTCTAATAACGAGACAAATATAACTTAGACTCTGTTTCCAAATTCTAATGATTTAAAATTTATTAATAATTTGTAGAAGCTCTTGGTAGAAATATACTAATTATAAATTCTACAAGATACTTTGTTGTATACGATTCTGTATGTTTTGCAGCAAGAAATACATTTCTCAAGTATGTTTATTCCATTTTCCACATCGCCTTCTAATATTGCTTGTAAATCGACATAATTCTTACATTGAAGCACTATTTGAGTGCTTATAATCTCACACAGTATCTCGATGTTGTCCCTATAGATAAATATAATTATTCTTTTATCAATCAATTCTTTAATCATGGTATGCAGATTTCTTTTCTAATTAAGATCAATTCATAATTATGACATTAAAGTATTTTTTAATGAAATAATTGATAGTTTAAATAGAGTTCTAAATATCTTAACGATTTATCCATTATATAAATGATATAAAATAATCATACGATATATTATAAAACGGCGATTCCGTCCAGATAAACAGTATCAAAAGCAATATTTTCGTTATAGGCTCTTCGATCTCATTCGGGCATTTCAAATCGTTGCATGCCTCCGACAAAACATTCAGATATGCAATATTGGATGCAGCTTGTTCTAATCCTTGGTGAAGTTGTAACGTCAATAGTTGAAAAGAGTCTACACTCGGAGAACGAACATTCTCCAACAGACGTAATATTGATTGAATTTCTTTACTCGACAGTTGATCGTGTAAACAGCACAGATTGAAATCTGCAAATAAAACATTTTAGACCTTATCTTAATTGCAGCATAGATATTTTAATAAGTAAATCTCTGATTAAGTAAGAAAAAACAATACCAAATAACTCTTTTTCCTGAGACAAAATAATTGTTATTTCTTTTTTTATTTTTTAAGTAGTGAAAATTTTAAATGATGATCAATTATGCTTACAATTTAATATATGTAAAATTTATGTAATATGTAAAATGCAATAATATATATTTAAAACTAACATATCGCTGTCCAATGTTGCAGCTCGTCAAAAATGATTCCTTTAGTTGTGTTCTTAGATGTATTCGCTAATGCTTCTTGTATCTGTTTGATCCAATATCGTACGATTCCTTCAAATCTATCTATCTGTGCCTTTTCCGATTCTCGCAATTTATTAGAAACATATTGTCCATCTTCCTTAGATAAATCTGGCTTTTCATCTCTGGGTGGTGCTGCGACATCAGGCAAATTTTCTTTCGGTACATAAAGCTTAGTCAAACCCATTGGTTTGTAAACCGATTCAGTTAAACATGTTAAAAAGTTGTGTAGATTGAACACCAGATTATTCCTGATAACTACTTCGATTAAAAAAAATATTTGTATTTTGCTTGATAATTATAATTAAATTATAATTAAATAATTTTGAAGTACAATCTATATCCTCATAATTAATTTAAAGAATTAATGATTTTATATATATAATAATTAATTATTTAACTTCAACAATTAATTTCTGATTACACCAATTTTTATTACTATTATTATTTATTGGATTGTACGAATTTTCTGAAAGATGCGTTGATGATTAATCAAAATTGTTACTTTCAATTTCAATTATAATAATTAGATTAAGTATTTATATAGATAAGGATACTCTCTGGCCATTCACCACTATTGAGTGCAGCAGGTGCATACATATTTTCCATAGCTTTCAACACGCACATCATCGCATTACGATTGATGCTGCCAAAAATGACCATGGCGTGAAAATTATCGACAGTGAAGATGTGCCAAGGCGTCCGCAAAAAATATACGAATTCAATTTGGTCATCTTCTGGAATATTTAATCGCGCTCTCAATGTATCCATCTCAAAATATATACTTAATAATGCGTGAACTGGATTCTCGAAGTACTCGCGAATAATTGTATGACAATTTTCGTTCCAATCGGAGTCCTTGATCGAAGAAAGCATTGTAAGATCTTTTACATATTGTACCTATGGAATGATGTTGAATATAATAGTAAATCTTAAGTTGCATTCTAATAATGATTAAAAAATCAATATATAATTATAAATTAAACTTTAAAAAATTTAAATATAATTTTAATTATTTTTTCATGAAACTGCTTTTATTCTTCTAATGTATTTTTATTCTTCTTGCTATATAAACAACTGCAGTTGTTTATATAGCAAGAAGAATAAAAATACATAAAAAGAATAAAAGCACACAAAAGAAATACAAATCAAGTTAATTTTTATGATTTAATTTAAATGTTATATATAAATTGCAAGTTTTTTAAAACAAGTTTATATATCAAGAAATAAAAAAATGAGAGCATATATATATATATATATATATTATATTATAGATTTCATTATCAAAGAACATTCTAAAAATAAAAAAAATACAAATATAAAATAAAATTTTAAAAAATAAATTAAAATTATCAAAATGTATTTATATGTATTTATGTTCAAGTCGCAAAAAGCCTAAAGTATTTAATTAAATTCAACGAAATAACTAACCAATTTATTTAAGTCTTGTTCATCAATGACCGGCTTAACCGGTTCAGAAAGATGTTCCTCTTCCGTTTCCGGACTTTCTGAAATATATATTTCAAATAAACAATTATTATCGTACATGATTAATTTTTTATTAATTAGCATCGATTTAAAAGGATCGAGTATTAAAGAAAAAAACCTTGTCGACCAAAGTCCTCTTCATCCGTATCCATATCCAAAAATTCTCTATGAGGATCAATCGATGATTTTTCCGCTTTTTTCGTTTTCTCCATCTTTTTAATCTAATGTATTAAAAAACAAAATAATAATATATACGAATATTCTATCGACAATAAATATCAATTATTGAAGACAGTGAGAGTGTACAGTATAATAGCTCGTAACAAGTACGTTGCCAAGTGATTTCAATATCGATAAAACGGATAATGAACATGTACGTGTAATATTAATTAAATTAAACTAAAATTTTTCTACGTATGAATTTAATTCATTAATCAATTTAATGAATATATATATATATATATATGATTAATTCTTACATATTTGATCTATATCAATCCTGGATCAATAATTGATCCTGTATCAATTAGAATAACCTAACCTAACGCAGGTATAAATAAAATAAACAAATAAAAAAAAGCGAACCAGCCGATCGCGAGTTTCTGTTTTATCGACTGTCATTAGACTAGTTTGACAGATCATGTTTGCCCGAACGGTCGACAGTTGGCGCTGGTTACCGCGCATATTTACGGACTCATGTTCGTGAGTATTCGTGCTCTTGGGTCTTGGGATTATAAGAAACTGACAGGTGAATTCGCCTCGCCGCAATCCTTCATCCCAGTAATATATACGTAAAAAAGCCTCGTGACAGCTCGCCGCAATGTCGCGCGAACCGTTCAGATCGGACGGTCCTACATAATGACGGCGAGCGATGCGAATCGACGTGTCTGCGGATCGAAATATGCAAGGTACATACGTAACGTGTATGTGCGATCAATAAATTATTCTTGCGGACAGAATGCGTGTTCCGGACCGCTTACGTTCGCCGCAACAAATTTCAGCCGTCTCGTGCGATCGTGATTTTAGTTTACATTTACGCTGCTGATTGTTGATATATATTATTGCCGCATCGTGAGAAATTTCGCGCAAACTACGCATTCTTGAATATTTGAAATTCGTCGTTTCTTGTGACAGAAGGGGTTAGCGCTAAACTCCGACTTATATATATTTCGGGATCATCAAAATCGAGAAGTAGCTTCAGATTAAAACCGAGCCTCAATATTGAAAAAAATACTTTATTCCAGTCTATATATACAGAGTTTAATAAGACTAAATTTTCATCTTAAGATTCATCCAATTTTATCTTGATTCTTTTTTAATAGCATCATATACATCATATATGATTTTTTTATTTATACTTTAATTATACTTTAATTTTTAATTTTTTATATATATTTTAATTATACTTTAATTTCTAATCATACAAACACATCTTCTACACATGAAAATATTAAGGTTTATATGTGGGAAATCTTAAGTTGCATTCTATTTATATATTTTATTTTATATGTCCCAACAGTATTAAAATCATTTGTTTTATTATGTTTAGTGCACAAGTAGTTAGTTGAGTACACAAAGATGTAAATTTTGATAATAGAATCTAATTTAAAAAAATTTAGATTAAATTTTTTGTTTACAAATATTTGATGAAAATGCATTATACATATATTACAACTTTTAATAATATTTTTATTTGAATGAATTAAAAAACGAGATTCTAATATATAATATCTTTATACTTGTTATATATTGTATTGTGTAATTTTTGAAGGTAGGCAAGTATGAAACAGTAAATATGCCTCATGGCTGGAGGCAGGAGCAACAGCAAGCGAAATGGAAATTTAGACAAAACGCATCAGTGGCTATGCCACAGTAGTTTTGATTCTTCTATAACATTTCAATCCTCTTCAAGTGATGCATTTAAAAAACGGAAAAGTGCGGAACAGCATCGCACTATTGGTAAAAATATCAACCAATTACAAGATAGTATTCTAAGGTAAGAAAACATCATATGTTGCACTTTTTATCTAACAAATTTCAACACAATGCATTTTGTAAAGCAAAATACAATATATTGTATACTTTGGATTTATTAAAAATGTGTGTGTGTGAAGTAAAATATATGTATATATATATGTATATGTAGTGTGAAATTATGTAAAGATAAACATATGTATATCATACCTAGTCAACATTTCTCTCATGTTTGAAATAATTCTACATATACTTAATGAACCAATTAATTGTTGCACAATTTTATCTTATATATTTTTCGTAATTGGATGTGTAATTTCTCTTCAGCTCTTTTTTTTATATGTATAAAATAAATTTAACTATATATTCAAGAAGAATGAATACAAGGGGACATTTATACACACACACATACATACTCGTGTACGTGTGTGCATGCGTGTATAAGACTGAAAGAAAATCTTTTATTATAGAATATTTACGGATTCCTTGTATTGTGATCTTAATATAATACATGGTTACAAAGTAATCCGTATAAACCAGTGTATTGTTAGAACAAGATCACCACACTTGTATGAAGTTCTCAAACCTTATTTTATTTACACTAACAATACGATCCATTGCATTCTTGATAAAGCCGGACTTTTTCACCAAATTGAAGGTTTTGTAAGGTATTGCTGTACCCTTAATTATTTGTTAAAAATAGTATGATTGAGAATAAATCTTCATTATTATATTGGTTTGCATGTATTTGGTTAATACAGTGTGATGCTCTTTTCAAAAATGATATAATTGAAATACAGTTCCTTTTATGTTTTCTTTTTACACGTATAAAATTGTCTATTTAGTTAATTTTACACAATGTTGTACATTTTTTTGTATATTTTTCTGAGATTCACAAGAATCAAAATAATTATATTTGTAAATATATTTGAGATGTGTATCCCTAAATTTGTGGACATTTTCTATTTATAATAATATATAAAAGAAGAATATTTTTCTAAATATTATTAATATTGCATTAGATTTGTGAAATATATTTGCACCTATTATTGAAAAAAAATAATTAGATAATCATAAGATATTATTTTACTTTCTATTAAGATAAGGAACAACTTTTATAACAAATATTTTATACTAAGAGATTTTGTTGTACATTAGACATAGATGTATACATTTGTTATGCACAAATTTTTTAAAACACTATTATTTTAAGCATGCTAAACTATGTTTAGTTTAACAGCTGTCAGTACTTATTAATTAAATTTTATTGTGATTATATTAAAACAGGCATGTTAATCTATATTCTTATTTAACTTATGTTACTTATTTTTAACTTTATGTATAAATTACAGGCTTCTATATAGTAATTTGGATTTTACTCAAGAAGAGCAATTGTTGGTGGAAATTATTTTGAATACAAATTACAAGTGTCGCTCTTTAAATGATTCTGATAGCAGTATATCTCACATTGATGACAGGTCAGATTTATTAATAGATCTTCTAATAATCTTTATATAATGTAGATTTTTAATAAATTGAAATTTTCTTTTGTAAATTTCAAAATTTTTATGTGAAGACAATATTTAAAATTCACTAAAATCGAAATTCAATATTATGTTTCTTTGTTAAACTACTCTTGTCTTTACTGATATTGTGATTTTTTGTCATATTTCATACATTTTTGTTATTCACAGGATATGCGAGAAATGTTTAACGTCGAGCTGTAACGCGCAACATCTTCAGGAAGCGAAGGAGTATGTCGTAGTGAATGCGAGTCCTACTGCATCAGAAATGGCTGATTCGGGTCTGGAGACAGGTTCGTTAAGTCCGCATGACAATACGACGTATTCCGAGAACTCCAGTACGGACTTGGAAGTAACGCCAGCGGCTACGGAATATACTTCTGCCAATGACGACGATTCGGATCGGATACGCGCCGAGCGAGTACGCGACAAGGTCGGTCGCAAGACACTCTTGTTATACGAGCATCGGGAGTCGCTCAATAATGACGATATCTGCGGGAAGCATGCGACGCAGTCCGAATCGAATAACCATAGCACAACGTGCTCCTCCATGGAAACGGAACATCCACCCGCGGATAGTACCTCGGACAACGCGCAGGAGAGGAAACTGAACGCCGAGGAGATCTTCCAATATGAAAGCCAGATGTTGAGCGAGCCATTCTACGAGTCGGACTGCGGCAGCGATGACAACGAGTCGTTCGAATTCATTGAGCCTGTCCCCTCGTCGAGCGGCGATCACGAACAATACTTTGCGAAATGTAAAGTGGAACGGAAAGTACAATCGGATGCGGAAGAGTCGGAAAGTACGACTGTCGAAACGGAATCTGATCATTCTCGCCCTATCGATAGCACGACGACGACGACAGGCCGTAACAGTTCGTCCACGAGCGGTTATTACTTCATCGATGCATCTACTCTGAATGACGAGGTGGACATTGTGTCTACGAATGTGACGAAGAATCAGTACGGTAACAATAACGCGCCGTTCTTTGCGTTTTCCTCAAGTTACGTGGATTACACGTCGTCGGACAAGTCGAATAATCCCATAGAAGAACAGTCGTACAAGTTTACTCCGCTTAAGACGCTGACTTTACAGACCGGTCACGAACGAGTGGCGGAGTTCGAGCGAGAATTGAAACTCACGGAGTACCTGCAACCGCTTCCGGATTCGCGTAAAGTGAAACGATCCACATCGGAGGAAAAGACGGACGGTAATAAGCCAACAGAGAAGGAGTCCCTGGCGGTAGAGATTAAAGAGGCGGACAGCGGAGAGAGCGCGCATCCTTCCCCGTGTCCCGACAATAATACGAGATTGGGCAACGATGAGAAAACGGAAACGTCGAGCAACGCCGAGGCGACAGGAAACGAAGACGTGAAGGACGCGATCGCGAACGAGGACAGACGACCGTCGCTCATCAGGAGAAACACCTTCGAACTTGACTCCAACGACGAGAAATTGTCCGTTTTGAGACAAGAGTACGAGCGCCGACAGGGTAATCTCATCTTTCAAAGCGCCATTCCGCAATACTCGGGGCATCGCGTGGACGATGACTCTATTTGCCTCGCACCTTCCGATTCCGTGGTTTCTGTCGGGGTCACGGAACCATCGATCACCTTTACACCCGACGTTCAAATGGCCGCTAATACTCAGCACCCGGTTACGTATCATTTATTGGACAGTTGTGAATACAATCAAAAAGAAACGCCGCAAAAGAATCACTTACAATCCAACTTCAATAGATCCTGCACAATTTATCCCGTAATTAAAAGCGCCAGCGATAAGTCTATCTTAGATTGCGCCACCGACTCGGATGATGCGGCGTCCAATCATTGCAGCAACAGTTTGCCGGTTACTCTGAACTCTATTCTGGAAAAAGGTAATCGGTTAGAGCCTTTAAAGAGAATCAAACGATGCGACGAGGCTACTCCGATTATTTCTGGTGGTGTTAGCACCTCGGACTACTCCTTCAAATCTACGGACAGTCCCACGGTACGACGCAAAACGGAGTCCACGCCGATTGTGTCAGGTGGCTCGGTGATCATGAACAAGCCTGAAGTCAAGGCGCGACCCTCCAGAATGTCTTCCTCCATGACCGCCTGGGTAGTCGATATGAGCGACTGCACCAAGCAGGAACCTGGATCCCGAACCAACTCACGGAACATGTCGCAAAGCTTCTCCACTTCCGAAGGTATCAAGAAACCCGTGCAAACAATCAATTGTGAGAAACAGGGTAGTTTAGGATTCTTCGTTAATTTAAAAGACGTGAACGACGTCGAACCAACCAAACCACGTGATCACTCGGTCGAAAGGAAGAGACGCGATAGCAAACCTTACTGCGAATTTTACGTAGATATCTCTGACAAGAATAATGACACTCCATCCAAAGTCAAACCATCAGAGAGGCGAGATGGAAGTGTTAAGAGTGATACTTTTAAAGAGGGTGAAAAGAAGAATATTTTCCCAATGTTTATCAATCTGAATGATACGCAGGACGAGGGCGATAGAATCGTCACGGTTTCGACACATAAGAAAAGCTTCTCGACGATACCCACTAAATTGATGGATACCAAGACTGACGACAATAGTTCCAGAGATAACAGTAGCGCCGCGGGAGATAATCAGCCGCAGGAAGAGAAGAAAGAGAAGACCAAACCCAGCGTCTTTATGTTTATAGAGTCCGATTCTCCTGTGGTGAGAAGACGGACGCTGTCCACCTCGCGACCGGCGTTCAAACGGCACTCCTGGAACACAGACAAAACGCAGTCAGCGAACGGCAACGGCAACAGCAATGGCAACAGTAATGGTAATGGTTGCGTGGCAAAGGAACTTATGTTCAGGAAGGAGCACAAGCGGGCGCATAGCATTTCGATGGACGGTCGCAGCATCTCGAAGCGATCATCCCTGGCGAAGACGAGCTCGTCCAGCCATTCGTTAAGTGACGCGGCCAAAGCGGAATCTCGTAATCATAAGGATCCCAAGACTCTGCAAGATCGCGAGAGTAACTCCAACAACATGGACACATCATCCGAGGACGTGTTCGAGTTTGATGTGAGAGACACTCCACCCAACTCCCACGTGGAGATCGAAAACGAGGAGCAATTGCGCAGCAGCGTGAGCCAGCACTGCGAGTACAAAGATATAATTTCCGGTCGGGCGGAAAACTTAGAGGTCGGCGAGACGAAGGGATACGAGGACGAGTTCTCGGAGCCCTCCGCTTGGGAGAAAACGTGTACGGAGAGTACGGAAGGGCAAACTCGTAAGAGCGAGACCTTCGACATCAGCAGCGGTAGCAGCGGACCATCACCGGACAGCGACAACCACGATTACGAATTGAACGACCTGTTGAATGGCGAGGTTTCCGGTGTCAACGACAGGCCGCAAATAATAACCGCGGGAAACAGCAGTAAGATCTCGGAGACCCGCAAGTCGCTGAGTGAGACCATCAAGAAGATTGAGTGCGAATTGAAGGAGCCGGAATACGATAACGTGAAACGACAAACGTACGATTGTCGTTCGTCGAAGAGGGACGGGAAAGCGGCCGGACGTAGTTCGAAGAATTTGCATTCGGCTTCCGACAAGCCGACTTCTTCCGGCTTCGTACGTTTGTCAGATTTGGACAGGACGCCGATCGCTAATCATGATGCGTCCGACATGAAGGACGACAGAGACACGCAGTATCGGATGAGCAGCAGTATTCCGGAAACATCGTGGATAGAGAGCAAGCTGGCGATAACGAGGAGCAGCGGCCCGATCAGGCCGGTCTCTAGGAAGCTTGCTTCTGTCATGAGCACGTCGCTTCCGTCCAAGCAGAAATCCCCGCTGGAGGATTTCACTGCGGGGGATTGCGAAGGGGAAGGAATTATTTCCGAATCCGATCTCAGCAGTATGCAGAGCAGTATGGGACGTTCCGGAGCGGGTAAGTCGCTGCAAACATTAATTTTTATCTTTGTATTACACATTTTATTTTATTATTTTTTAATTTAATATATATATTAAATTTAATATAATATATAAATTTAATATAATAATTTAATATAATTTAATTTAATATATATATTAAATAATATATATAATCACGAAATTTTTCAGTTTTGGAAAAATTTTGGCTCCATACTTGAAATTGAAATTGATTAAATAAAAGATACTCGAATATTAATAATTTCTCTTCTGGTTGTAGAAGGCAGCACGGAGGAAACCGAAACATCGAGCATAGCTGGTGCAAAACCGTATAATAGACTGGGTGAAGATCTACTAAGAATGTTCTTGGAGGAAATCAATCCTGACATTACGATAGACGTGGCCGGCCGGCATATAAGGGCACATAAATGTATATTAAGTTCCCGTTGCCAATACTTTGCCGCAATTTTGAGCGGCGGATGGATCGAGAATGCAGGCAATGTTATTTCTTTGCAAGGGTATGCATCAACAATTTAAAAATATATAATACATCTCAGAAAAAAGTTGTATATCTGTGACAATTGTGTATTCTTTACACATTCAATAATTTTATATTATAATTTAATATTAATATAATAATAATTTAAATAAATACATAATAATACATCTTTTATCTTATATAATTATGATTTGGTATACTGCATTTTTATATAAATAACTTTATCTGTTAATATTTCTGTTCTAGATATTCTTATAATGCAGTTCATTTTGCATTATGTCATATCTATAGTGGAGAAAGTAATATACCAGATTCTATAAGCATTGTTGAATTGGCGACGTTGGCAGATATGTTGTGTTTAGAAGGTCTTAAAGAAGTTATAGGATACACGCTTAAGCTTAAATATTGTCATTTGTTTCATAAAGTAAGAATATCTCTTCTACTAACAAAAATTAATAGTACCAATATGTGAAATGTTTATAAAATATGTTAATTACAATCAGAAACTCTTGTGTTACATTATACAATGTTTGAAGCAAATTAATTAAATTTTTAAATATGCAAATTATTTAATTTTTAATCCAGAATGAAGCAGAAATTTCATATGTACTTTTTTCTGAGTTATTATATTTCTAAATGCTCTTATTTTTCAGCCTTGCCAAATATGTGCTGTTGGAGTATTAGAATGTATGCCATTAGCTGCAGCTTATGGTCTGGATGAAGTGTATCGAAAGTCACTTAGATGGATTACGAAGCATTTTGTACGAATATGGCCATGCAAGGCATTTGCGACTCTCCCGAGAGAACTAATGGAAAAATGTTATCATCAACATATAGTGCATATGGTATGTATCTACAAAAAAAAGAAACAGTTACATTGACGATAATAAAATAAACGTGATTTGCATCAAATAATTTATTCAACAAGAAATAGTATTTTTTTCATAGCTGCAACTCTTGATAAGCATATTTTCGATTTGTAATTGTATTGCAATTAAAAAAAATTACAAGTGTTTAATGCTTTTCCATGGATTAATTAATTTTCAGTTTTTTATTGACTAATTTTCTTTTTTCATGCAATATATTGCAGTCTACTGACAACGTACTCCAAACTATGATGGATTGCGACAAACTGTTGGCGACTCTGCCAAACGTGCGATGGGCAGAGCCAGTATTTCGAATGGTGTCGAATCTATTGGAGACGTCGATCAAATTCCTGTCGGAGAATTTTGCAGGCGTCCTGGGAAATGACAATTTTCAGTCGCTTGGTCGCGAGTTGACGTGGAACATTAGTCGCTTGGAGGATAATTTTCTAGCGGCGATCGAACAATTACCGCCCGAGCAAGCGTGCAAAAGCTATTCTAAATTGAATAAGATGCTACTCGCATCGCAGACAGACGATCTTCAAGGTAGAATCAAGTGGGGACCGCTGTTCATCGATTTTCTGCACAAGCTTCAATCTCGCGTGGAGAAGTGTTTGGTGCGCGATGCAACGCGTGCCGCGAGAACTTCCACCTGGCTAAAAATGGATTTGGAACTTCGCAGAAGGATACAGGAGTTAGCCTGCCTCGTGATCCTGCCTCACGAGACTACGAAACGCCTATCCAGACATTCAAATTTCTTGAAGGCAAGTAATATTTTCCCTATAAAAGGATTCAAAAATATTCGTCTCAAAAGAAATAAATAGTATAATAATAACAAAACTTAATAAAACACTAAGAACTTATAAATTATAATCTACATTGATTTTAAACATTAATTACGTTTATATCTGCACCATTTTTTCTAATAAAATCTCATATTCTGTACCAAAGGAACCTCAGGTACCGCCTAATCGTTCGACGATAAATCGCAGCTTAGATCTGAAACGTGTAAAAATGGCGATTTCGGAACATAATGACAAAACTAAACAAATACCATCGTCTAAGCAAACGAAGAAAGTTTTGGGTAAGCCAAAAACGGATCCGCTTGAGCGTAAGATGCAAGAAGATAAGCAAGTTGTTTCTGAAACCGTGAGACCGAAATCATGGCCTAACAAGGTAGAGGTATGTCTCAAATGTTAATAATTTATTTATCATTAAAATAATATAATATAAATAATTTATATAATATATAATATAGTATACGTAGATAATACAATATATAATAATATAATATATAATTGTATAGGTAAAGTCGAGATACTTGGAGCCAAGAATTAAATCTGTTCCGAAGGAGAGTACGCCCACGACGCATCACGTTGATAAGCTGGTACAACAACGGCGTAAGATTATGATTTCTTCGTCTGACTCATCGCGCACTTCCAGCCCGGCGATGAAACGCGCGATAGATAAGAAGCCGCTGTCCAAAATGAAGCTGCCAGTCAAAAAAGACGTAAAAGCTCTATCGTCGGATAGTTTGACAGAAGCAAACGCTTCCGGTGGCCGAAGTGTTGTTGGCAAGAGGGACTTAATTAGTAAGAGCTGCGGTATCACAAGACCCGAATCGCCTTCCTTCAAACAGAAAGGCACCGAGATAGGATTATCGATCGATTCTTTGGAGCCTAAGAGTAAGCCGGTTCCTATCGCCAAAAAGAAGACCAACAAGATGGATACGTCAATGTCCACTGACAGTCTCATGACGGAAATAACGGCGACCCCAAAGTCCAATGTATCTAACAAATTGTCACCTACTTTGGCAAAAACTACAAGCAAAACGCAAACTTATGATAGGTAAGGTCAAATTTAATATTACTTTTTCTTTTTGATAATAGAACTTGCAATAAGTGCATTAATTTGATTATTTCTCTGAAAAGATTAACTTTCTATAAGGGTTTTAAAAAAGTTAATTATTTAATTAAGCGTTATAATTCTATTAATTGTCGCAGCGTCCCTTGCATTTATATTTGATTCTTTGGACTATGTAGTGATCAGTTTTGTCTATTCAAATAGGACGAAGAAAAGCTCACCACCAACACAACAAAGGAGTCCACTGACAGCCATCAGAAAACCTCAGAGATCACTGGAAGGTTCCACTGCTGCCAGTCGCAGCAGAGCCGCCGCTATCAGCAATACATATTACGGTTCACCAAATTTGCGTAGAAACTTGTTGGATGCTGCGAGGACGCCGGACGTCCCTGGCAAACCGGTGAACGCAGTAGCTCCCTTTAGAACGCGACAGATCATGCAACCAAATACTCCTCCCAACACGAGAAGAGAGAGGAAAGACACGCAAAGCTCTGACAGCCCGAGCAAGAAATCCTCTCCAAAGTCTAGTGCCGGTAGTAGGATGAACAAATCAATGATTACTGGTAAGAGAATTACCAGCAGCAAAGTCGATGACAAAGTTAAAAGGTGCCATAACGGGGAAGCGCAAAAGCAACCCACGGTAGGTTCAAGATCCGGTACATTTCTTAAGGATGAACCTACAATACTTAAGAAAGTGGACATTAAATCGTCGCAAATTAATACTTAATGCTATTATAATGGCTGGATACTCTTACTAATAAAATATGCATTGTCGACAGAACATTTGTTTCTCTTATGCTTGCAAATTATCAGCATTAAGAAAATAATGTTAAGAAAAAGTTTATTTAATTGATGATCATAACTAAATTACAACTAAAATATCAAAAATTCTTTAAATTATTACATTACTACATAGTTATATTTATGCATTCTAGTTTCAAAACTGATTTAATCCCTTTATGTGAAAGAGTACCTGAAATTATTATTACATTTAATATTCCTGGTTATCACCAAGGACATTTCATAATTTATGTTTTAATGAGCATTATTTATAACTCCATTTGCTACATATCTAATACATTTAATATATGTCGACAATGCATTAAGCATACGTATCTCAAAAAAAATCCAGATTGATAGAGAACTGTCGCTGGTAACTGCAAACGTGATAATTCCAATCGAGGAATCGTATTATATGTAAGATAGAAAAATGTAATTTTAATTTAAGGAGGCTTTGGGATTATCGTTAAAGGAATACGCTCGAGTTGCATTTATTAGTCTAATAGAAAACGTGCTATAATTATATCTTACGATGACATTCAAATAATTGAACAATTTTCAATTTTTGAGTAAACAATTTTTAATATTTCCTGCTCTTCTAATAGCAAAATAATACAGATTAAAAAATTCCTCATTGATAAGAAATCAAATATACAGGTTCATCTCCAAGAAAAGTGTGTATCAAGTCTTTGTTCTTCATATAATTCGTGCATTGCTTAGAAAAAATGCATTATTTATAGATTTTCGAAACTCGCAATTTTTTTAGACTAAATTTAAAAGCTGATACTTTTCTAAAATTCCTATAATAATTATATGTTAGAAATACAACTTTATAAAGTTTTATAGGAGTCATATTTTTTAAATTATCAAAAAATCAAATTATCAAACAGTTGAATAATACACTTCTTAATTTAAAAATTATTAAGTAACTCATAACATATCAAACTGTGTTAACTAAGATTACTTAATTAAAGATTTAAGATTTGCAAATTCTTAAATTTCCTAAATTTTCTAAGAATTTTTATTTGACAACTTAAAAATTTGTCATTTATCAATGATAACTTAAAAATATATGTATATGAATAGTCTTAGATTCTAATAATTTTTATACATGATTTTCATGCAAATATAAAACGACAACAGTAAGATGATTAATAAACTAATTGTTGGATGTATAAAAGATTCCAAAATAATATTTTAAAAGAAATATTCGAGGGAATTTTATTCAAGAGCAAAGACTTGTAATCAGGTTGCATTTTTCTTGGATTAGTCTGTGTATTGCACAATTAGAATATAAGTAAAATATGACAACATTGATTATGAACGGATGTGTACTTAAATGAACAGAATCTCTCTCTTGACTACATGTATACATTAATGTCTGTAGTTCTGCACATATGTGGCGTTTCATAATCTATAGATAAAAAAACGTGGTCAGTTATACAATTTATTTAGATAGCTCTTCCATCTTACTGCGTAAATATACGCCATATCGCTCCGAATTATTTCATAATAAATACCATTTTTATTAGATGCTATATTTAATTATTACTAATTGAGGTTGCCATTTTATGAACTAATTCCGACTGCAAGTAGCATCCACTTCACTTGCAGTCATTTATCGACAAATTATATGTATAACTAATGTATTTATTTATTAAATTTCTATCTCTATTTTGCAATGTACATTTTTACGCAATATTTGTATCTAGTCATTTATAAAATATTTTAATTATTTACCTTTGTGTAATGTTAATAAATATGTCGATATAATATGTTAAATGTTTTCATTAAGTTTTTCACTCCTATTATACATTCCTCGAAAAATCTATTTTTATAAATTCCTAATACTAAAACAATAATGTCAACATCAAAAATTTCTTTTAAATTTCTTTAATACTTATATAAATTATTAAATACTTGATTTTTATTGTTACAATTGATTTTTAGAGTTTTAGACTTGTTAAAAGGAAAAAATATTGTAATCTTTTTGCTCATGATAGTATACAACAAATTAATTTATTTTTATTAAATATAAATGTATGTAGTAAATTTATGTACATCAGAAGACTCCAAGTTTATTGATAAATTCAACTCGGCATTCAATGAAAATTCAATGAAAAATCAAACATCTAGTAATGTTCCTCTAGGTCTTGCTCGCTTTGGATCTGTTTCAGTGGATGGTATAGCTTTCCGTTTATTCATACCTTTTCTTTCTAACTGTTTCTCTATGATGCGTGCATTGTTTGCATATGAATCAGCAACTTCTCTCTGAAATTATAAATATAAATTATAATATAAAAGATTGTTTCATTGTGTGTTAAAAAATAAATAATACAAATCAAATTAATCCAAAAGTACAAAATAAATTAAAACAATATTTACTATGGATTAATATATTGTATATTCAAATAAAAATTGTATATTAAAATAAAAAATATTTAGAATTCTTAACATTGAGCTTTTTAATATTTATCTTATATCTATTATATAATATTATTAAAGCTATTATATAACACATTTTATATTTTTTATAATACATTTTACATTTTATATTTTTTAGTTTTTGATTGTGTCTTATTATAATATATATAAATATACATAATACAAATTAAAATATAACTTACAGCTTCAATTTCATCCTCTTCCTCATCAATTGTGGACACAGTAACAGAACTGAACTTTCCCATATTCTTGGTATGTTTGGTGACCATTATTTTTTTAGGTTTCTCAATGGCCACTTGATTATAAATGTCTGTCATAGGACCATCGCCAGAACTTTTTATTACCGAATCTTTTACTATAAAGACTATATTTGCTCCTGGATCATGCTTATAATATAGCAATAAGCCACATCTATTACAAACAAGAAAATTATATTAAACAGATGAAATACTTATTCTGTAAATTATGAAAAATAAGGTTTCAATGTTTCTATATCTATATACAAAATAGATGTATACCAAAATAACAAATAACTAATGAGAGATGAATATATTTTCTGATAAGTAACGCAATTAAATAAAGAGAAAAATTCGTACTTTTTACATTTTTGTCTATATTGTTTTTCTATTCCCTCTGAACGCTTGAGAAATACAATCTCATCTCGCTCTGAAGTCATTTTATGAGCATGTTTACTGCCATCGATTACTCTTGCTCCGTCTCTTTTTCTTAGTGGCAATTTTTCAATTGCACAATCTATAAATAAAAATTAATGCAATTTATAAACAATTGAGTAATTCAGCTTTCTTATATTAACCATAAGATATTGTATTTTAAATAGTATTGATAATAATTCAAGAAATAAAGTACTATAGCATCTAAAAATAATTCTTTTACAGAACATTTTCCACAATTTTTGCAATAATATTTAAGTTAAATTTACTCATCATAAAATTAAAAAACTTTTGTTATAAACTACTTTCTCGAATTAATAAATATAAACATGATCAATAAATACAACAATTCTAACCTAGAATAAGAGTCATCTGACCACATAAACAATAATAAATATGCAATGGCTTTTCCTCGCTATATTCCTCTTGATCTTTCGTATCGGAGCATATAATACTCCTCGACACTACTTTTGGCATAATTAGTTAATTAATTTGTCAATTCACACTTCAAATTTAAGTTCTACTTTGAGTCTATTGTGCCTCTGTACATATCCTTATAGCTGCAGTGCAATCTGTCATCTGTCATCTTTACACGAATGTATAATTTTTGTCAGTATTATTTACAATTGTTGTATCTTATTTGTTGAGTATTTTTTAAATATGTATATTATATAATATTAAATTATAATATATTATGTATAATTATATAAAATAAAAATTTATTGATAAATATAAATATTCATGTCATTTTTAATTTACGATTGTAAATTTTCAATTAAAAGTATATTATTTTAACTTGTAAAAATTATTTAGCATTATTTAATATTTATTATATTTCTCATATGGATTATTTAATACTCGAAAAATCGTCTGAATTAATAGAGAAAAATATATTTGCGAAGAGATAATATATTTTATTCCTATTAATTAAGATAATTTTGAATTTTTTACGTGACTGAATTTTATTTACATTATATTTTACTGCATATATGTGCGTAATTAATTTTTACAAATATTGATAATGACAAGCGCACATTTTCTTTTTATCATTACTTGTGTTTCAAATAAATGCAGCGAATTAAATATATGTATGTGCGTGTTTTCTTTCTTTTCATCATCTCGTTCTCTTGCATAGGGTCTCATGGTATCAAGAACCGGCACTGCCTTTCGTTACGCACAGCTTACGTTACTCACGCACAACATTCGCTCGCGTGTTGAACCAGTGAACGTTCCCAGTGTACACATACATATTGTGCTGTATTTACATACTTTAATATTTCATACAAAAGGTAGAGAAACCTGGACTAAAATTTTCATTCACACACATCACAATAAGCTAACAAAAGCGAGGCATATTTTTTAAAAATTAATTAGAATTGACCGGCTGAATTTTCGTGAAAATTATTTTGGAGCAAAACAACTTTTAATTACCATAATCTAACCTGAATGCTGTGTAATGCACTATTGTGTCGAGATATATATGTAAATAGATATATAAATATATATACATATATATTACTAATTATCGCCTTTCATAAAATGTGATTTTTTTTTAATTATTTTCCAAATATACTACATGACACTGTGCAAATGCTATAGCAGAGAATGAAAGTGTCCTTGAATGGCTAATGATAGTTTATCTGTAGACTATGCAAATAAAAGTATATCTCAGACAGCTGATAAATTCTTAAAGCATTCTTATTACAAGTATCATTAAATGTTTATAGTCAATGAAATATAATATAAAGATTAATTACACTAAAAAGAAACATATATAGTTTTTATATTTGTTTTATAATTATGCTATATCAATATTAGCTAAATAACAAAAAATATATAGTATTAGAAATTAAAATTGTAAAAATTAAAAATTTTATACAAATAAGAAATTATATTAATTCATTATTTTATATATTAAAAGAGTAATAAATTGTAATTGCAGATGGGTGAACCATCAGGATTGACCAATAGTGAAACTCGTGAGCTTTGTAAGCCTCCAGATCCAGCGACAAATGGATTTATTATGCAACAGACAATGTACCGCATCAAGGATCCAAGAAAATCTTTACCCTTCTATACCGAAATACTTGGTATGACATTGCTGCAAAAGCTTGATTTTCCAGAAATGAAGTTTTCTTTATATTTTCTTGGATATGAGAATCAGAAAGAAATACCAACTGATAGAAGAGAGAGTATTGAATGGACATTCAATAGAAAAGCAACTATAGAGCTAACTCAGTAAGCTTACTACACAATAATTTTTGACACTTTGTTAAAAATTGTAAGAGTCAATGTAAAAAATTCTTATACGAAAAATAATTATATTTTAGTAATTGGGGGACAGAAACAGATCCAGATGCAAAATATCACAATGGAAACTCAGATCCTAGAGGATTTGGTAAGGGGGGGAAAGAGGAAATAATCAAATATCTTAATTATTCATTATTAAAAGCAGTTTACACTTATCTAAATTGGATAAAATTAAAATATATTGGCGTCATTTTAAAGAAAAAAATTGTAATCTTTATTTTATAATCTTAATGTGGAAATATTCTTTTCTTAAAATACAGGTCACATTGGAATAGCAGTACCTGACGTTGAAAAAGCATGTGAGAGGTTTGAAAAGTTAAATGTGGAATTCGTGAAGAAACCAAATGATGGCAAGATGAAGGGACTTGCTTTCATTAAAGATCCTGATGGTTACTGGATTGAAATCCTGAACGGTTCTAATGTTGCCAAAACTATGTTAGGTCATTAGCATAGCCTGCATTTTGAAGCGATAAATCTTCAAATGTAATCAAGTGAATTGAACATAATTTTATCAAATATGACAATTGGATCATCGAAAATCAGTATATAAGTGCAAGTAAAAACTATACAAGTTAATAAGAGTGTGAAATGATATATATATATATATATATATATATATATATATATATATATATATATATATTTATATATACATATATATATTTATGTATACTATATTTTGTAGTAATGTACATTCTCTTATATTACATTATGTTATATATGTATAGAATATGTAATATTTACCAAATTTTCAACGAATAAAATCAAAATATTTATTTTTCATTTGGATGATTATTATTTCACTGCACATCTAATTGTAAACGTTTCAATATTAATTGAAATCACTTTGTTTTGAGTTTATTCCTCTTCTCTTATCATTGTCAGTTTTCTTTTGAGATACAGTATCTCTTCTTTTTATATTTTTTTGAGATTTTATTACAATTTTATTATAATTTACATATAAAAGCTTTCATTGTCAAACAATATTTTACATCATATGATTAAAATATTTTATTAATTGTTAATTGACAACGTTCATAGTAATATATATATTTTTTTATTTTGAATTTTTACCTTAGAAGTATCATCAACTTATAAAAATTATTATTTTTAAAATAGATTATTTTCCATATATGCAAATCACATATGTTTCTTAATGTCGATAATGAAGATCGGCAAATTATCGAGCAGCGAGATTGTGATTTTACTTTCTCCTCATTTTCAATGCGCGTTTCTGGATTTTAGGTTACACTACTGTCAACCGCGATCTGAAGCAAGCGTGTTTATCCTCATAGGTATTTTTGTGTAAATTTTAATTTTTATTACGTATATTATGATACTGTTTGTATCAAATTAATTTATTAAATTTAAAATTACATTCTTCTGTAATAAAATATATGTTTTCGCATTTCTTCGTCACTGAGCACAACTGTCAATTGTGTGTGATATCTGTCAGGTATGGTAGAAGATAAAAATATGAGATCTCAAGCCGTATTGAATATGATGGATATCGGGGTACATTAAAATACGTCGGACCTGTGGGAAACACAAAGGGAGAGTGGTTAGGGATAGATTGGGACGATTCGACTCGTGGCAAACACAATGGCACATATGAAGGAATAGAATATTTTCAAGCTAGGTAAAAAATGCATAAACTCCTGTAGTAATAATATCAATGGCATAATTTATATTCTATGTACTAACTTTGTATATAATCTTTAATAGACATTCCACATCAGGCTCTTTATACGACCAGGCAAAGTGAAGTTTGGAATATCTTGTCCGCAAGCGATCAAAATGCGTTACGGATTAATTGAGGATGAATTAGCAGGCATAGACAGGGACGAAGTGTCGAGTTTAAGGAAGGAAATTAATGCACCTTTCTTAGATCTTGTCGGTTTCTCCAAAGTGAATAAAAAGCAAAGTAAATTTGATCAGTTGAAAATAGTATGGCTCAGAGAACAGTGTGTAAGCAATGCAGGAAGGCCAGAGGAGCTGAAAGAACTGTGTCCTAATTTGGAAGAATTAGATATATCTAAAAACTTAATAAATTTGTGGAAAATTGTAGCAGAGATATGCTCTCAGCTTCATTCTCTTATTCGTCTCAATGTCAGGTGAATCATATGCTTTATTTTGAAATTGTATTTCTTAAACTTTTATAGAATATTAAATATGAAATATTAAAGGCACCATTAGAAAGATATAATATCAATAATAATTATATGAGAAGATATAAGAAAATTACTTATAGAGTTTTATCTTTACAGTGAAAACTATCTGCCCATTGAAGATGTGATGGAACTGAAAGACTCATTTTCAACAGTTAAGCACTTAACCATAGCTAAAATGAATTATAATTGGTCTGATATTCAACAATGTATATCAATGTTTCCATCGATTGAAGAACTCTCAGTCTCTTTTAATATTGTCACGATAATAGAAGAAACAATAACAAATACTAATATAATGAAAATAGTTACATTAATACTTGAAGGAAATTTAATATCAAGTTGGGATGAGATACTTAAACTAGGTTCCCTTCCATGGTAAAATACATTATAAAATATTCAGCTTTAATGTCGAAAAAGTCTAATTTATATAATTTGCAAAACATTAACAAAAACTGTATTTTTTTCACAGCTTAGAATGCCTTAATTTGAATTCAAATAAAATAGATAGAATTAGATTTCCATTAACTTTGACATCAATGAACAAGACTGGACTTTTTCCTACTTTACGTCAACTAAATATTTCGGAAAATCACATATCAGCGGTAAATATATTTTTATATTTATATAAATACCGTTATATATGAAATAAGAAAAGACAAGATTTTATATCTTAAAATTTCTAACCAAATCATTTATTTGATTCATTTTAGTGGCAATCAATTAATGAATTGGATAAGTTGCCAAGTTTAGAAGACTTAAAATTCAGAGAAAATCCAATCTTAAAAAATGAAACAGTAGAGACTGCTCGACAGTTGATAATCGCAAGAATAGCGAAATTAAAAATCTTAAATGGTACAGAGATACTTTCTGTCGAAAGGAGAGGTGCTGAATATGACTACTTAAAATTATATCTACCAAAATGGTTAGAAACAGAGAATAGATTATCATTTATAAATGAACATCCACGATATTCTATACTAGTCGATAGTATGTATAAATTTTACATTTTTTTATATATACATACTTTGCATTCTTTACATTATGAATATAATACACTTTAAATCTTTAAAAAATGTAAAATTTGATTAATATGAATAAAAAATAACAACTATTTTATTCTTTCAGAATATGGGATTGCAGATATTCCCTCAATTAAGCCAAAAGTAGAAATGGTTTCCAATGTGATAACAGTGGAGTTTGTATGTCCAGATGATCCACATCAGCCTAGAGGAATTAAAAGGAAGCTGCTTAAAGATATGGAAGTCCAAAAATGATCGGACTTGCTCAGAGACTTTTTAAAACTGGTGGAAAAATACCTGCTCTTTCATTTATTTCACAGGATGTAAGTCTAATCTTAAATAAGAAAAACATTTATATACTCTTTCTACAAATAATTATATATATAAATGATGTGTTATGACATTTCAGTTATCAAATGATGAAATTTCATTGGATAAACCATTGCAAGAACTTAGTTATTATTCGATACAAGATGGTGATCAAGTTCTTGTAAGATGGTGATATCAGATAAATTATTTATAGATGCAATTGTATTTTATATGCTGTTAAAGTTCGCTCTATGATACTTTGTTATTAAACTTTTTTTTTAATTTTCATTGCATTCTTAATGAACCTTGCTAACAATTTTGGAACTTGTGTGAGGTAAGCTTATATCAACAAAAGAAATACGTACTATTAAACTTAGAAAAGTGTATACTTATTATCTTACATTCTTACAATGCAATTATGGTTAAAAGTACAAATTATAAATAGGCATTTGTACAAGCAAACAGCATGAAATATATTTTTTGTAAGTGGTGCAGATTGCTTTACCTAAGTTAAATCGATTATTCGGCCTAGTTACACTATCATTTTTGCTGCGCTTTTTGTTCAATTTTGGCAGCCTCCTCTTTCTCAAGCTGTTCTCTTGTCAGCAATGATAATCCAAGCTGGTTTTCGCGTGTAAATGGCTGTGCCATTTGTCGTAACCATCTTTTACTGATCTGGAAATTGTACAAATAAACATTTTAATAGCATAAAGCGTAAACAAAATTGTAATCACTAATTACCTGCTATTAAATGAAAAATTAAAGTTACCTGTATAGCTTCTTCGGTAGATAAATTGCATAAACTATCGTTCAAATGTTCTTGTATCCATTTTGGTAATTTGCTCCGTTTATCTATCCTCGAAAATCTCTGCAATAATGTAAAAAAAATTATGTTATTAAGAAATAATTTAGTCTATACTCGTATTTAAAAAAAATTATTCTCAATCAAAAGAGATTTACCTTATCTGCAAACACCATTATACCATAGTCTGTTTTGCCTCTAATCGCACGTCCTACGCATTGAGCTGCATGTCTCATGGCATCGAAAGTTAAGAAATCATTCTCTCGAATCTGTAAAAATATTGCAAAAATTTATATGTTTTTATTCGCGCATATTAAAGTAATTCTATGACAGTTTTAATATTACATTGCACTCACTTGAAACTGGTCTCTCAAATATTCTAAACGTGCTTTTAAGATTCGCGACTGCGTATATACGTAAGGTATACCAAACATCAGTACAGCCCTGCCCAAGTGATGATCAAAGTCGACACCTTCGGACACCTTTCCGCGAGCCACCGAAAGCAGAATAGCCCCTCTACCGTTCTCGCAAGCCTTTATATAATTTATCAGAGCTAAACTGGTCTCCGCCGAATCCTGAGTTTCAATGAAGAGTAATTTATGCCTCTGAAGTTGATTCACAACTCCTTGATCATACCTGTATCATTATAAATATTAATAATTTATTTAAATTATAGTGTTATATTAATAAATTATATTTATTATTATTAATTTATTATTATTAATTTATATATATATATATTATATATATATATATATATATATTAAGTATTATAATATTATTACAAATATATTAATAAATTATTTTTCTCTTGCATTCATTTATTATTTTCCGTAGGGGGGTAAAGGGGTATTGAAATTAATCTCAAAATATGAGATTATTTCATATTTAAAATCTTGCCGTGTCCAAGTTAAAATTGGTGCCTTGGCACCGGTATTTAATTCTAACGAAAAATTATTTAGTTTCGTTAGAACAACGCATTGTCATCCGCGATTTGGCTCTTGTTGCCCGTCTTATACGTTAATTTATATTAATAAATTATGATATATATAAATATACATACCAAGCAGCTACCACAGACTCCATGTATAAATACGATGTGAAAAAGCAAACTATGCCATCGGGTACTGTTGCAGCAAATTCAACTAATAATTGACCGTAATTTCTTATAACAGCCACATCTTCTCGTGTTTCGTATTTGGACGAAATAGCTACTTGATCATTACCTTTGGCAACAATCTGATGTAGGAAATGCAAAAGTAGATTAATAAAATATTTTATCTCCAATATTTCTTTTTACTTACCATAGGTAAAAGGCACGGTCTAGCCAATGTCATTGTAAACGACGACATGATGACCGGATGAAAATTCAAGATTTTCGGATACATATCCAATGGAGAGAGCGTTCCGGAAGTGATTATCACAGATTGAAATCTATCAAATATAGGCTTGACGGCGATAGAAGAATCTAGGCAGCTAAAATGTAAAACTGGATTCAAAACTGTCGGTGTTTTGTCGTCGAACGGTTCCACTATGATCGTGAAACCTTGTGTGTACGTTGAGAGTAATGTCGCAAGGTGCGTCACCAGAATGATCGGAGAAAAATCTGTTAGATCTGTTATTTCCATTGTGCGTAAAAGAGATGCTAATCTTTGGGCGCAAAATCGCAGTGGCTTCCTTTCGATGGCGACTTTCGCTTGGATATCCCTCAGGAACGCCGCGGGTGACTCTTGTACGACGTGTTGGACGCGTAAACGAGTTTTCAAATACTCGACGAATCGCTTCAGAAAGCTGACGAAATGCTCAGCGTTTCTTATGTTGCCTGGAACAACTTCTACATATCCAAGGATATATATATATAATAAAAATGTTACTTTGCTCGATGAAACAGTATTTCTATGACACAAAAAATATAATGTTTTTACTGACCTTCGAGTACTTCATTTGGTAAAATAGGATTGGCTAGAATGACATCGGTTTCTCTCTGTAATTGAGCATCTTTAATCCCTCGACCAGTCTATTGTATTCTTCCTTCAATTTATTCATGTCAACTTCTTTCATACTAAATCAAAGCACATGGTTAACTATATTTGATTATATATTTGAATCTTAATAATAAATAAGAATTTTAGACACACTTACTCAGCTACAGTTTTCTCTAAAAGTTGTATGTTAGTCGAACTTTTTTCCATTAATTTCCTATTTATTTTCACACTCATGGAATCGATGCAAACATTATCTAAAATTTATAATTCATTTTTTTGTATTGTACTGTAAATTATTCTAAACAATATTGAATATGTCAATTTTTATACCAATGTTATGAGCCTCATCAAAGACAACTACTGAACTCTTGTTTAGTTCTTTGGATACAGTTTCGGCGATTTTTGGATCCAATAAATAATGATAACTGTAGACTATAATTTGTGCATGCATAATCTGAATGCAGAAAATATCGATTATCACACAGTTTAATTTAGCAACAAGTATAAATAAAAATTTATGTAGTATCTTACTGTGAACCTCGCGAGGAAATATGGGCACCAATTACGATCTTTTCCGTAATCTTTTAAATCGTCTATAGAATAAATACCAGGTGGAATAATTTGCTCTCTACCTTCCATATCAAATGTTTCATAAAAATTACAAATTGGAGTGGATTCATCATAATTATGTCTTTCTCGTACATATGATGCAGTAAGAGAATGGCAACGACCATCTACAATTTTACCTTCTCGTTCTCTACTGACCTATAAAAAATAAAAAATATGAAAAATTGCTCTTAATTATTTAATTGCAATAATCAATTTTATAAAAATATAAGTAAAATATTTTAATTACCTCAGGATGAATACACATATTCTTACGAGAACTAAGGACTAAACCAACAATTTTTGGCTTGCTTTTAGTTTCTTTCTCATAATAGTCTATAAGTTTCTTCAACTCCTCTATAACTTTTTCTATCTCTGGTACTGTTCGAGAACAGTAAATCAATTTTGTAACAACTAATGGGTGCTCCAACATATATGCTACGATGAGTGATAACAATGTTATCGTTTTGCCAGTGCCTGAAGGCATCTCCAATAGACAGTGTCCCTAAAATATTACATAATTTTGTTAATTTTTATAATTCAGAATTCTCTTATTCAAAATAATACCATCAATATAAAGACAATATATAAAGAAAATAGAAAGAAATAAAAAAAAATTACCTTGGCATCTAAGCCACGCTTTAGCTCAAGCATATATGCATATTGTTCCGGATAAATATAATCATAGGGAAAGTATACAATCAATCCTTCAACACTTATCCTATAATAAAAATGTGTGATTAAAAATAAGCATATAAAATAATCTCTTATTTGATAAACTGTTTACAATAACTTACTTCATATTGTCATTTACGTAGTTACACTTATATATAAATATTTATAAACGATATATAATATTCTTATATGTATCTTTATTTATAAAAATATTTATAAGAAGTCTCTCTGTCACTCCTATATAAATTTTATTACTTCTTAATTATCACGAGACTTTTATAAATAAAACATTTCGAAAAGAAGTGCAATTACATCTTCTTCCCTGCTTTTGCGTTATCTAATTTTATAAATCTGTATGTACAAATAACCACAATAAAACTCCGGTACTCAAATATATTTGACTGAACGCATGTTCACAAACGCATCAATTTTGATAGATGTCACGTGATCCAGAGGACAAGTATGATTTGTCAGACGGAGAGCAATCAACCAATCAGTATTCGGATTTCTCTTTTCGCCGGAAATAGAGGTCTTATATAAGGGTCTCCGACCGGAAGCAACCGGCACTCTTTCCCTCTTTACTCTAAAAAGTTTGTGTTAGCGCGTGGTAGCTTCGAGAATAAAGAGAAATTTTGTAAACTGAACGAGTCCATGGTTCGTGATGGGTAAACCAGGTGAATATGAATGCGATGAATATGAGTGCGGTGAATATATTATTTATCGATCTTTTTTTGTTTTGTAATGTACGAACGATTATTTCGATATGCGATTCTTGTCAACAAAGCTAACCTTCAATGAAAAAAACCATTTTGAAATTTAACACGTGGTTGGAGTTAAATTATTACTGTAATATATTTTTCTTTGTTAAATTTATCCAATTAAATTCGTGATTATTTTCAGCAGTAATCGCGATAATCAGAAATATATGTTTATGTCATGTTGGAAGTATTTTTCCCAACCGTGAAACGATTAACCTTAATCCGAATGTACGTAAAATTTGTGTTATACACGTGTATTATCAGAAATATCTTTTTATTACAGTATTTATTTCTGTAATAACTTTAATTTTTATAATTTTTGTATCTTAATTTTTATTTGATAATTTATTTTATCTGTTTATACTTATTTGATATTCTATATATATATATATATATATATATATATATATATATATATATATATGTATAGTTTTACAAGTACTAAATATTATTTATATTTATTATATGTACAGAAAAAGAGTGATAAAAATTATGTTTATATTTTAATTCAATCCGAGGTAGGTAAATATTTTGCATGTTATCTTGAGTAAATTAAATTTTTTTCTTTTAAAAAAACATGTTTAAAAAATATTGAACATTTCTACTCTGAATTGAAATGTAGAATACTTGAATAAACGTCCATCTAATGACACTGTCTCGTCACAAATATACTATCTCTCTATGGATTAATTTTTTACTTCAATGTTTCTTTTATAATTTACAGGATTTGTACCAGGTAGACGAGGAAGTGGAGGCGGAAGTCGTTTCGGAGGAGGTGGTCGTGGAGGTGGTGGAGGTCGTGGAGGCGTAGGTGGCCGTGGTGGAGGCCGCGGTGGCGGCCGTGGTTTTGGAGGTGGTAGAGGTGGTGGTTTTGGTAGAGGCGGTGGCGATGGTGGCAGAGGTGGTGGCCGAAGGGGAGACCAAAAAGGAGGTGGCTTTAAAGGTGGAAAAAATGTAATAATAGAGCCGCATCGTCATGAGGGAGTATTTATAGCTAGAGGAAAGGAAGATGCAATAGTGACTAAGAGCTTAGTACCTGGAACAGCAGTGTATGGAGAGAAGAGAATCACTGTTGATGATGTAAGCTCAACTTGTAATAATTTTACCACATTTTGCTTTCATATATTGTGAATTAATAATACAAAATGTTCCTTATTGCAGCCTGAAAATACCAGTGAGAAAATTGAATATAGAGTGTGGAATCCATTCAGATCTAAATTAGCTGCTGCTATTGTTGGAGGTATTGGACAAATTTATATGCCTCCTAAAAGCAGAGTATTATATCTAGGTGCTGCATCCGGTACCACTGTATCTCATGTAGCTGATGTAGTTGGTGAAGTAAGTATGATTTATGTTAGAAATCTGTATGGAAAAGATATGAGAAAAATATTTAATTTATGCATACATTAGAGCCAAGTTAGCTCATAATTGTCAACTTGGTGTCGAAGTGATGCTAGAACAATTACATACTCTTTTTCTTGGATAAGTAAAATTTAATTTTGCTTTTAAAAAAGAGCATACAGCAATTATATATTAATAATTAACATTTTATATTAATATTGAACATATGATTTATATAAATTACATAGGAGAAATTGAAAATAAATATCTTAATACTTTTTATGTATGCAGAATGGGATTGTGTATGCAGTAGAATTCTCGAACAGAACAGGCAGAGATCTTATAGAAGTTGCTAAGAAAAGAAGTAACATCATTCCTATAGTCGAAGATGCGAGACATCCCCAGAAATACAGGATGTTGGTAGGAATGGTAGATACCATTTTCTCGGACGTGGCACAACCGGATCAAGCTAGAATTGTCGTCTTAAATGCGCAAAATTTCCTTAAGAGTGGCGGACACTTTGTTATTTCCATCAAGGTAAAATGTTTGTAATTAATATAAACAACATCTTAAAGTGTATATATCTTTAAAGATTTAAAGTTTGAAAATTTGTTTATCAATTTAAGGCAAGTTGCATAGACTCACTCTCCCAACCCGAGGTTGTATTCGCGTCGGAAGTGAAGAAATTATTGGCTGACAATTTAAAGCCGCTGGAACAAATCACACTCGAACCATTTGAAAGAGATCATGCTGTTGTAGTTGGCGTTTACAGGCCGCCATCGAAAAAAAGTTAAAATATATATGTAATTAAGAAGATTAAATGTTCTGGTTCCATTTTTTTAATTTTTATCCAAAATATCAGACATTAATTCGAATGCGGAAAATGGAAAGTGCGTGATATTTTTAAAGATTGAGAAATTTGATTTATCAAAAATAAAAATAGTTTATAATATATGTATATATCAATTTCAGCCATCCATGACAGAAGCCCTTATCGCTGTTGTCCCTTATTCTGTCGTATCTTTGTTTTCTTTTAAATTAATTTAAGCCTTAAGCTCTGCTGCAAGATAATAATCAATATATATACTGTACTAGTATTTTGACAACACTGAATTGTGAATCTAAAAAAAAAATCTGTAATTATTCAGATATTTTATACATGACACTACAGTTTATTCCATACACATATTACTGTATCTGCATATTTCGAATGCAAAATAACGTAATTTCAAAGCAAATATAATAGCGTTATTTGACTTATATACATATATTTTTATATAAATATAAAATATTTGGCTGATATGTACTGCCAGTAATACCTTCCCATATAAAATTATATTTAAGAATACAGTTCATACAATTTATATCTCCTAAATATGCCGAACTCTATATAGAAAGGTATATTTTTGCCCATTTGAATACATATATATATATAAAAGAAAGTAATGATAATTAATGCAATATTAATGAAGATATAAAGATATTCTTTGAAAATATTACAGATGAAGTCATATTATGTCATAAAATAAAATCTTTTTATACATACTATTTAACATTCTTTTTTTAAATGTACATTCTTGAATTATTTAAGCTCTTAAAATTAGACAGGGAAAAATATATTACAATATAGATTTTTCAATATTTGAATTTGTAGTAATGTGTAATGAATTGAACTGTAAAATTAAGTTGTAATTTCTTTATGAACACTAAACATTTTGTACATTGCCATAATATATACTAAAATGGAGTAAATAAAATAGATATTAAAAATTATAATTTAAAATTTTTGATATAAAATTGTAAAACAAGCGTTCGCGCAACATCTATTTTCCCTTCAAATATGCGATTATTTCTAAAATTTTTAATTTTTAAAGATATCGATGCCATATTCGATATATCTGCCAAATTCATATCGATTTATACTCTTCTTATGTTGTTATTAAACTGTCAAACTATTCTGTTAAAAAGGATTTAAATCGACAAGTCAGTCATTGCTTTATTTTTAGATTAATGTTAAAAAAATACTTGTATTTTTATTTGCGTGTTAGAGTGTATCTATCAATTTCTACGCAATTTGACAAATATATTAAAAACTTCAAAAAGATATGTGATGTTATAAAACAAAGCGTCGCAACTTTTTTGAAGTCGATATGCAGCACAAATCTTTAAGTGCGTCCAAGAGTGGTAAGTTGAAAAAGAAAAAAAAAGATATTTCTCTTCAGTCCAAGAAACATTCTTTTTCGTCCACAGGTCTCACAATCAGCGAACGCCGGAAATCGTTGATCAAAATACTGAACCGTCAAAGATCACCGATTATGATTGGTCGCAAAATTAATTTATCGAAAACATCTAATCACGTTCGTCTCCTGGGTGGCGCGGATGTTTCTGAAGAATCTAACGCAGAAGAAATTCTTTCCAAAACATCACCCTTGCGAACATCTATCCAGGAAGTACCAGATCCACCACCACCACCTCCACCATCACTTTTGATTACACCACCACCTTCATCCATAAAAGAATCCGTAGATTCGTCACCTGTAGAAGAATCCGCGCGATCGGAAGCAGATACAGATAAGAAGTCTCCTCAAGAAGAACAACCTTTCTCTACGAATGGCCCATGTTGCTTCTGTGTTCCACAATCGCCACGATCAGTCGGGTGAACTGATTAATTATATTTCCACTTTGACAAATTTCGCAAATAATTTAATCTACTAAATAGAATAATAAAAAAGATACATAGGAGTACATCATTTATCGTACACATATATAGTATTGTTATAAATATATGCATCATTTAATGTGCATCATTAAAATCTTTATATATTAGATTTCTACGCCGGAAGAATATGTTGTTTAAAACAATTCATAATAATTAATAGAATTAATATATATATGCTCTCTATAACTATATATTTATTATTCATACTGTATTCTTTATTTATGAAATTATTCCCTCTCATAACAGTTATTTAAATAACATTTATGCAAAGTATTATATCTATTATTTTGGGTCATTTGTCAACAGGGACAGGAAGGTAGACGAGATAATCGAATATGTGCATCAAAATCTCGAGGAAGCTGGCAAGGCTCTAGCAACTTTAGGCGAGAACTTCGAGCATGATTTAAAGGTTGAGCCTCACATTCAACTAGAATGTCATAAAACTGTCTCGACATCTCGAGGGCGAAAGAGGCGAGGGTACAATTGACACCCTTTTTGGTTTACGAATGATGAATATGATGAATAGATGATATTATCGATTATATGATTATCGATTATATGCACAGAAAAACAAAATTTTTTTCAAACATTTATAAGATATATAAATTCTGGAAAAATCTTAAGTAAAAAATTGAAACAAATTAATATTTTTTGTCAATCTTTTATTTTTTATAATATTTGGATAAACTATTAACTAGTGCCTATTTATCTATTAATTTAGTAGTTCTACTGCAAACGATACTGGTATATTTAATATTTATTAATTATTTACCTCATGTCTCCCCGCACAAAAGTTATTTTCTATTCTTTTTCATGGAAGTTGATATTCGTCGACATTCTGGGTCGAATTAAACAGTGGTCCGGTATCGTGCAGAACAAACTCGAAGGCTGTAAAAATGAAATCGATAATCTTCGCAAGGAATTATTAGCTCGTGCATGCGAAATGGATGTTAAAATGCGTGAAATAGAAGATCTTAAAGCTCAGATTACAGACTATCAAAACGCTTCACTATTAGATGGCGAATTGAAGAAGAATCATAAAGCAGTTAAACCAGATCATAAAGAAGAAATCGGCTACGTAAGATTTATTTATGCATTAATTTACTCCGAAAAGCAAGAATAAAAGAAAACTAATGCATAATAAACCAATTTAATTTAATAAGATAAAAATGTTTTTATCACATATATATGTCGTAACAAAATATGTAGTTGCGCATAATTCTTTAATGAATAATTATAAAGAATTAATTTATAAGCTGATGTTATTAATATAATTTATAATCTTATTATGTTATTTTACTTTAGAAAAAAGATGACTCCATCGCAGAAAATCGCAAAGAAATTTACAAAGCTAAGGATCAAATAAAAGAAGGAGACGATGAAGAGAATGCAAAAGAAGCACGAATTAATGATCAAAGAATTGAAGGAGATGCCAAAATACTTGACAAAATTAAGGATACAGTACGATTTGTTGATCAAATAAATGATAAAGGAGAAAAAGTGAACGAAAAAAAGCGCGAGCTATCGAAGAAGAGGCTGAAGAATTTCTCAGAAAAATAGGAACTAAAGAAAGTCAAAAAGAAGCCGCTTATGCAACTATGGAGCGAATTATCGATGAAGAGGGTGAAGAATTTGCCAGAAAAAGAGGAATCAAAGATAATGACCAGAAAGAATCTACTTATGTAACCATGGCGCCTCTAACAGTACAAGAAAAAACGAAACGAGAATCTGAGGTAGCTTCTTAAAAAAAAAAGATATAACATTATATTCTTACATACACGTTATATTATACGTCGTGCTGCATTTTTATTGTCCATTCCGTTTTCCATCTTATAAATAACAATGTTGCTTCTCGACAGCTCGAATCTGAAGTCTCACAGCTCCGAAAGGAATACAACAGAGTCATCAAGGAGCGTGCCGAATATGAGAATGCGATTCAGCGAGCATTGTTGCGAGGGGTGTCATCCTTGAACGTCGAGGCACTGAGAGTTCTGCGATGTCCACCGATACCCTGTTGCACTCCTTGCGCACCATGTCCAGCAACTGCAGGAATTATACCACCGTAAAAAATTTTGCAATATTAAATTATTTGCCAAAGCTATAAAAGAGAAGTAATTTGACTTTACACACACGCATGTGTTAATCAATTTTTCTAGTGTAAATCAATGTACTTTTATCTCAATATTTTTATTTAACATATAATATTGTATTCAATATTTTCTTTGATATAACAAAATATAAATAAAACAAATATATATATTTAATATATTTTATAATTATATAAGTATTATTAATAATTTTTAAATTAGAAAGTAGTATAGGAATATATTTAACGTCATATTTGTAGAATAAAAATACTTTTATATTTCTTTTACGTCTAAAAAAGAAAAAGAAATGTTATCATTAAAGATACAAGTAAAAGGAAATATATTATTGATTTTTAGCGAACCTGTCGTGCCGTGTTCTGTCAAGAATGTGAGAAGACGTCCAGAATCAGCTGCTGCAACTATGAGCAATGCCAAGGCTCGTGAAAGGAACGGCGATCAAGCTGATTGCACAACGAAACGACCTTGCGCCAGTCCTTGCTGCATCGCTGGCAGAAATCGGAAGTCCGTGGACAGTAGCATGATTTTTCTTCTTCGTCAAGGTAACACGGGAAATCTGCATGACGAGGAGGCTGCAACTCCAGTATGCGGATCAACGATCGTGAGGAAGATCGAGTTACCATCATTGCGCAGATTCGAGACGTAATAATAGTGTTTGTTTGTCGCTTATTGTTAACATAAACATCTCATCGATGAAAAGTATAACAAAAATGTAAAGTTATAGTATCAGAGAAAAGTTCATATACATAGGATGTAGCATATCGAAAATTTGTTTAAATTTTATATATGTGTTTGTATATCCTTTTTTTTACTGATATAAAGTCCTCGAGAAATCTTCAAAAAAAGTACTCATGATAAAATAAAAAAACATTAAAATATAGAATTTACTAAATTTTTCATATACACATTTTATATATATTTTACTGACATTTTAGAATAAAATCGAAATATATATATATATAAAGAATTTAAAATAAAATTGAAAATTCTCGAAAAGAATAGAAATACACAATAGGAGTGTAAAATTTATTTGTGCATATTTTTCTTATTGGAACGTTGTAAAGTCTTTCATTAACTCGGTAATCTTATCCAAATGCCAAGTGTAATTAACGCGCGAAAGATGCATGATTCATCGGGAATTGGGTGATCTGTTCGGCGGAAACAGACACGAGGTCTAAGAGAAACTAGTATGGAATTTGGGTTGGGGACATTATTTCATGAGAAGTGGTTTATATCATAATAATAGCACACACATACACACACACGTGTTACTTACTGCTCGTGTGTGTAGGTCAAAGTGCGTCGATTAAATTGTTATTCGAATACTTTCATTTAAAAAACTTCAAAAACACGTGGTGCTGAACATTTAACCTGAGATGCATATCACACATTAAATTATTACGATAAGGAAAGTTTGTGTCTGAAAGAATGCATTGTAAATTATATAATAAATCGCTAGAATGTTGATTTTTCTGTCACTAATATGTATGTTGGAATTTATACTGGAAAGAAGGAAAAGAGGAGAAAGATGTAGATCGTCGTTGAAAATATAAATATAACATTTTATGTAATATCGTCAGAAAAATATTATAAATCTTGAACAATTACTTTCTCATAAGTAATAACGTGAACATTTCTCTCCACTTTTTCGCGTCAAAAAGTATAATATACCGGAGAATATATACCGAAGCTCGTGTCACTTCAGTCTGTTGAGGCAGGAAGTTTCCAATCACATATTTTAACAAAAATCGATATATCCATAATATAAACTAATTATATATCTTATCATTAAAATATATAAGAAAAATTTTCGATGTAATACGATACTCTTGGACTAGCCATAAGCACGCAAAGTAAAGTCTAAGACATAACGTGAAATTTTTACATTCCCAAATAAAATATCTTTAAAAATTATGAATATAATTACACGCGTGAATTTAAATACGCATATATACGGAATATGAACACATAAATTTGTGATAATAATAATATTTTTACTTGCAAAATTAATGCAGAACACGCAAAGTGAATCAGTTTAGTTTAGTGATATGCAAACAGTGATGATCGAGAATGCTCTTCAGAGATGAATAATTTAACTCTCCCCGAAAACCATCTCGATATCGATAGATGAGTTAGGCAAATACGGTGTGCACTTAGAAAACAATATTTTTCGTTAGACTTTGTCGCGATGCACAATGCATGGCTGAAGCAATGCGCATTTCGCGACATTATGCAAGTTCTCTTGAATTTGCGTTAAAATTACAATTATTTAAAAAAAAAAAACAATATATAGAATATTTGATAATAAGCGTATTTTTAAAACATATTTTGAAACTTTAAAATTGCAAATATATAACAAAACTTTATTTTCTCCAATCAATCTTTAAATTTAAATAAATTTTATTTAAAATCTTAACTTTGCAGACATAATTGTCAAGATATTTAATATTAGCTTTAAAAAATGTGTGTGCGCGCGCGTGGAGAAGAATATCTCAATTTTGAAATATCGTGTAAGTGCTCCTTAATTATAAAATACGCTTATTACCAAATACATATAGTGAATAAAAATGAACGATTTTGCAATGATGCGAAACTCGTGGCTGTCGAGTTTCGCAGATGCAATAAAATACAGTGAAAACAAGGTAAAATTGAACCTTGAAAACTCGCACGATCGAAAGAGTCGAGCGCAGTTTCTTCGAAAAATTTAACTAACGTACAATATATATCTAGGATGTATAATTTATTGTCGCAAGAAGCGCATCGATTCTTGGATGTGCGAGTTTTGTGCCGGTTGAGTCTTCGATGAAAAATTTCCTAAAACGTTCCTTTGTAAGCGAGGTTGCTCGGTTGAAGAGGCAACGAACGGAGGAGACCTTTCCAATAGGATTATATCGCTGATCCAGCAGCGACTCCTTATTTACGTTACAATATTCTTTATCACGTTGAATACTTATATGTTTTCACACTAAATTACTATTTATTCGTTGCCTCTTCTTACCGGAACTCACACGTCGTTGTCCTGCGTTGCTCTGCGACAAACAGCTCGCGAGTTCCGTATCTATTATTATCATTTTGAAAATCGCGAGCGTTTTCACAGATGACGGTGATTCGTCGTCATTGTCGTCATTGTCGTCATTGTCATCATTATCATCATCATCGCTATTGTCAATGTCACTCACATTAGCAGTTTAAACGCGCCCTTATCAGCGAGGGACGTGCGTTAAGAATCATCACTATCCTGGTTCGCGCCTGGTCAACTTGGATAGTGATCACCTTTCATACTTACGTCAAAAACATGAGGACTGTCGCCGAGATACTATTTTCTTTTTTAAGGAACGAAATGGAATGTATGCTAGAGTTTCGCGGCGACGAAGTCCTTTAGACGAGGTCCTCGCAACAAGATAATGTAGTAATCAAACGACGAAACCAGTCGGGACGGCGGTCGCGGCGTGTCATGCAATGTTGAATTAATTAATTAATTAGTGGTCCCACGGCCAGTAATACCAATTCCGCGACGACGCATTCGACCATCTATTTGTTGTGCACCAGATTCAGAAACTCCTCCCGAGTCTTCGGATCGTCTCGGAACACGCCCAGCATCGTCGAGGTTACTGTCTTGCTATTAATCTTCTGCACGCCTCTCATCACCATGCACATGTGCCTGATATGCAAAGAAATTTTTTTCTTTACAACGGTTCGTGTGCAAATGTTGCATATTTTACTGTATAATTAAACGCGATAAGAAAATTGCTTTGCACTGTTAGAGCTCGTTCGATTTGTATTATAAATATATTTAGGCTTGTCTTTTGATTTATACATCAAGAGGTGGATCTTATCGATGTTATTTTCTATTCACAAGCGGGAATATTTCATCGATTAATGCTAATTGTATTGCGAATGACTGTTCCGTTTCGAGGAAAACACGTGTTCTCGATCCTGTTATTGGCTTCTCGTGGAATAAATCGGTTTAATTTGTCACTTCTGTGAAACGAATCCAGCGAGGAATAATGTTTTGCGCACAGGATCAGTAAAAATAACAGTCGGTTCTGGCAAAAATAGTGCCAGTTGATAATATTAGGTGTAATTAATCATTGATTTATCACTTTCGTGAGGCAAATTGAGCGTCGCAACAGCGTCAAAAATAGCATTATAAATTATTCGTGTGATCACGACAAAAATAACTAATCGGTGTTCGTAAAAATAGTATCAGTGATGATATTAGTCAAGTACGATTCCATAAAAGTAGCCATTAATGTGCGCTAAGTGAATTTTTAATTAATAATGTTACGAGTTAGTTGCGTTATTTCCGATGACTTCCGACTGAATTCTATGATCTTGCGTTATCTCGATAATAAAATGCAATTGTAAATCAAAAGAGTCGCACGCACGTGGTGCGATTTTCTTGAATTATTCACGATTGCGTCGCGGGCGGGTAAACATATTCATTCTCAATATTAATGAGAGCGACCGGATGATTAATAATCCCTGGCCGCTGATCATCGAAATGACACTCGCATACACACCCCTGAGATTTATCGTATATTATATATATTTTCTCTAATGCGTACGAAGTGTAACGAGTAACCGGATCGTTACGTGAATGCTTTAATTACCGCGAAACTTCCACACCGCGCCTTGCAAACAACATTCGCGCAGTAGCACAAGGTCGTGTTCTTTTACGAATGCGATCGTTCCACCTGCAAAAACCTATTCTATGAGCTTCGAAAGGAGAGCGGTCTCAGTCGGCTGAATGTTGTGCAACATTGCTGTGATATTTCATGGCTCATCCGCATTTCTCGAATCCCTTTATATGTTAAATTGTTCGCGCGCCTGTAGATTTTGCTCACACATGAATTTTCTTCATTCTAAACTTTTTTTTACTTTTCTAATCACGCGTGTAGATAAGGCAATTAAAAAATTTTATAATATTAGAATATTATTGTATAGAGATACATACACTCCTTCAACCACGACGGCTACTCCTGCAGGTTGCACAACCTTTGTAACTGCTATCGCGATTTGTTTGGTGAGTCGTTCCTGCACTTGAAGACGTCTGCTGAAGATCTCTACGATCCTGCAAATAGAAATTTTTTTCTCGAAATTATTCCTAAAAAATCATCTTTGGAGAATCTGTCATTGAGGCCAAGTGCATGTAAATATTATTTCTTTCTATTTCCATTTAGGAACGCCCCGTTGTCTCATGCATGCACGATGTTAACATACTACAAAAGCTGTAAAAAAACTAACGGTTTTGAAATACACCGCCGTTCTGACAACGCATCGAAATACCATCGTGTTTCTATTATTTATCTGCTTTTAAGCAACGTTTAACAAGTAAACGGCGGATCCCGAGCTGTTACGCGCGTGAAAGTGTGTACGATCTTAACAGACTAGCCACGTCATATTCTTTCTTTTCGTCTTAATATGTCACTGATCAAGGACTAGTGGAACATGCAACTCGACGAAATTATTGAGGCGTCGACGTGAATAAACGTTGAATAAATAACAAGACAAATCTTTTCTCCTTCTTTCTGATTTACATGATTGCAATTTATCGCTCAAAAAAGTTCAGTAAAATTACACACATCTTATGTCAAAACAGCTCTGGAAAATTAAAACAGAACTAGACAGTAAAGAAATATAATATATTGTACAATTGATGATATTACATTAGACAATCACTATTGAATAAAAACCTTTTGTCATAATCTAAATTATTTATGTCTAGTATCAAATCTAAGATTGAAATCTTAGATTGTTTTTTTAATTAGAATTATAAATATATATATATATATATATATATATATATATATATATAGTAAAAGCGCGCACAAAAACGACAGAGAAATATAATTAAGCGGTTCGTTAGAGCAGAAGAAAACAATCTCGAGACTCAAGGAATTTTAATTTAATTTTAATTGGCGAGTTAATTATCATCGCAATTAATTTTATATTATTCAAAATGTAGTAAATACCTAACGCAAGATTCTTAATATACTAAGGCAATCACCTGGCGAGTTTACTGAGACCCAGTATTTTCTTGCAGGGTAGATAACCAATCGACACTTTGCCGTAGAAGGGTACTAAATGGTGCTCGCACATGGAGAACATCTCGATGTCCTTCACCACCACCATCTCATCGTGATCCTCGTCAAATACTGCATCGTTAATTACGTCTGAAACGAAAAAATAGAATTTATTAGTAAAATTAATAAAATTTTGTGTTTCTGATTAAATATCAATAAAATAGAATATCAAATTTAATAAATTAATTAAAATTTTATTTTTCAACCACGCACTTATGCATATATATTTTAATACATCGGAAAAATCTTTATAATGACGTATGATGATGACTTTAACGAAATCAGCTGAGTATTATCACTTGTATCGTGTCGCGAAAGAAATGTTCTTTAATCCTAGCGGTCGGGTTATCCTGGCTGTGATTTATCCGATATTGACCTACTTACTGTACCGTAGACTCTAGTAGTAGTGTATACATATACGAGCAGCCAGTGGGTAGCTAGATAATGGTGGTGCTCTCCGCACCGTTTCCACGGCAACCTTAACAAGAAACACCTTCGCAATGACCGACAATGATGAAACGAATTCGGCTAACCGGCCGCATTCGAGCTTGAATTCTTCCACAGAATTCTTCCACATTGCACGTTATGCGAGATAAGTCGACGACAGATGAGATCTTCTAATTTATCGAAACTTGATAGAAATAGTTTTAATCTCTAATAAATATATGCAAAGTAATCGAATGCGATGAGAGAAATAAATTTGATCTTATTCTTCGTATAATTTAATCCCGTACAATTTATCATATTTTCTCGGAAAGTGCACAGCTCGCAGGATGCGTCAACAGCTCGTATAACACACGCATGGAAGTGAAGCAATTTCCTTTCCTCTATTCGCGACCAAGCGCTCGCCGAGTGTAAAGTTGGATTTTTCAACCCGATGGCTTAAACGTGATCGGCTTCCGGCAGCGAATTCGATTAACTTTTACAAGCTCTCACACGCCATTATATACGCGTGTGTTCATGCAGTATTTTAAAAATTCTTCTAAGAAAAGTGCTAGAAAAATTTACAAAAAAAATAAAATATATATATATATATATATATATATATGTGTGTGTTATATAAATTTTGATTATTAGAAGGAATTCGTATAAGAATATATAGTGGCCGAGATAAAAGCCACAATGGGAATTGCTCGTCCGAGAGGATGATTTGGCGAGGGTGGTTGTAGGAAAGTGCCTCTCGTTTCAGATTCACCGGGGCGCAGTTAAGAGCTTATCTGAAGGGTCTCTCAGCTGTTCAAGCTGAGCTGAAGTGAATTAAAATCCTTCATCCATCGTCTATAGGTCCGGCTTCAGAGTGGCTCATTATCGCGACATTATTACTGGTTCAAGACAGATTCAAAATTAATGTGCATATAGAGAAAAGCATCTAATGCATTCTAAGCATTTAATGCAAAAAAGCCCATAGAAAGAATCATTTTCAAAATTCATTATTCTGATTCTTTTATTATCTTGTTACATTAGTTATCGTCAACGAAGCCATATTATTTGTTACCAATTAATATATCGTTACAATAAAATAAATATTGCAATTTGAACATCAATTAAAATTCTATTGTTTTATTGAATTTTAATCTTTTTAATTACATGCGATTTATGAGAATAAAAGTAAGGAAAAAAGATACTTTCTGTATCAACTTGATAATACGTAAAAATATTTTTTCGAAACTTCATAATTCGGACATTATGACATTTATACTTGATATACGTGATGTGAATGACAAGGAAGAAGATTGAAGGGGATTTTTTCTGAAGTTTTGCGTCCCTGAGAACCCCATTTATATCAAGAGTTTTACGCTCTCTTTTCTGTGAATCGCACTTAAGTCCCACCCTCTCGCCTCTCATTCCTTTTCTGTCCTCGCGATAAAGAACAGAATAAAAGTAAAAAAGGAAAATAGAAAAGTATGATACTTCATGACTTTCATGAAGTACGCGCATGTCTATGATTTCACGCTGTATTATTCGCAATAAAAGAAATTTGCTTACCGTGTAACGGTTTCCCAGTTAATTATTTCATTACTCTCTCAAGTTCTCTCTAAATTGTATCCTTAATTGTGCAATTACGCCTCATCACATTTCTTTAGGCGAAAATTTAATGCATTTTGTATTTCTTAAATTTTAATTTACGAAAAGACTCGAAAAAAATTATTCGTTACAAACTTGAATAAAAGCTTACGTATATTGGATTTCAAATATATCTTCAGCCTATATTAAAATTTTTATAGGCAGTTTTGATTTCAAAGCGTAGCATTTTATAGCCACTGTGTTATTTCATCAAATTATCATATACATATATTGTAGGCTTATATTTACCATCAGATAATGTGTGTCAAAGTCAAGAGTCTATAGCCAATTTCATTAGACTTTAAAATATTTTTATTAATGTCATTCATTCTATAATTCTAATTCTTATATATCAATTTTTATTTTTTATAACAAATGAATTAAAAAATTTGAGAGAGTTAAACATAAAAAAATCACTTTCAAAAAGTAATAACAGACTTACCCAAGTAACAAACTGACGCCATTAAATGTCAAAATGACGTCATTCTGACGTCTAATAACGTCATTCAACGTTAAAATAATGTCAGTTTGCTACTTGGGTTATTTAATAATAAAATTTACCTTCGAGACTTTGATCGTATCCTTTCGTAAAGAAGAGCATAGCCTTCGCGGCGCGTTCCGGTGTCTTCAAGAGACCCGGTCGCTCCGGATCTTCACCCAACGAACTCAAGAGTAATTTGTAACTTCGGGACATTTCTGGTAACATGGCCTCTCGCGTGGGTGGTCGATGATCCAGCTCCAAATCGTGATGGAACATACATTTTTCATGGCCTGGAACATAACGACAATTCGATTAGATAAATGGAAATGCTCGAGAAACGTGGTTCTCCTCTTTCCCTTTTATATTCCTTGAATCGCTCGAGATTTTCGTTGGATGACAACGCAAAGTGACGATGTGTCAACATCTTTGCTATCGCATGTCACGACCCATGATCACGCCGCGCGTAATCGCACCAACGGAATAAACTGCGTGTAAGCTACAACTGAATGTTTTAATAATATTTAGTGTGGGACTTGTACATGAGAGATAAGCTCCTTTCGTAAGAAATCTAAATAATCTACGGTTTATTACATTATATTATGTATATATAAGTGACATTCAATTGGACAAACATATTTTCAAACAGCACAAACTGTTTTCTATATTATTGCATCTATGTATGTACATACACATATACAGTTTTTTAGTTTTTCCCTTTTAAATCTAACATTTTATTCAACAATTAATCGATTTTCATAATAACTTGCAAATCTTGTTATATACTTGTATGTATCATAATATGACCTATATGATGATAACATATATATGCTGCATACAACTTAATATGTATAATTAAAATAAATAAATAAAATAAAAAATAATTATAGTTATGACAAGAACCAGTTGACAGTTTAATGCATAATAAAAATTTTGCTCTCCGTCGTTATCGCGTGCATTCTCCTTTGATAAATAATTTAAAGAAATCTGTCTGTATTACGTATGAAAATAAAGAATGACGTGATTGAAATAATCCAGTTTCATTTCGCGTGCGTAAACGCGTTGCGTAGAAAGTGCTCGGCAAAACCAATTCAAGGTTTTGCGTGCAATATTATTCACGGATTCTCGCAAGTGATCGGCTTCTCTAAGACGACGACGAACGAGAGAGACGCCTATTCACGTTGGAAACTTCGTTAGTTCGTCTCTTCCTAATGAACCGTGCAGCATAATTGAATCCAGTACCGACGTCCGTGCGACAAAGCAATAGTTAGAAGCACCGTCACAGTCGGCTAGGACACCAAAAAAGTAGCCAAAAGTCGATTCCAAAGATGAGGTCTGGCAAATGTCCTGTCGCAATCTTAATAGTTTAATTGAAGTATAAAGTTATGCGCTAATTTATTAATTTTTGCACTATTTATTTTGTGTTTTATTATAATGATTTGACTATATAATAATAAAAGAAAAATAATAAGATATTTTATTTGCTGAAATACAACAGTATCAATAAAGTATTTGGAAAATTAAATCTTCGATTACATATATGATTTCGAAAGTTCAAGTTGTTAATTAAAAAGTAGCAGACCAAATCTGATAAAATTTTCAAAATAACTTCTTTAGTCTATTAAGCTGACAAAACTATGATAAGCCTGACCTTTGGAGTTGACTTTTCGCCACTTTTTTAGTGTCTTCACTGAACCATAGAAAATCGTTCAAATTGCGTGATATCAATAGATTTTTGAGAATTCCGTGTTTTTATCGAGGTTCATTCATTATAACACGAAAATAATTCGACATTTAAAAAATCATATTTATTTATCTTTATGAATTTTTTCTTTAAACTTTAGACTAATTAAAATGATGTAATGCAATCTAAATCTTTTTCTCTTAAAAGTGTCAAAAAATAGTTAAAACATTATAAACATTCTATACATCATATTGTATTGTGTTTTTATCTTCTACAACAACAAATAATATAATTAATGTAACTTAGAATGAAATAATTAATGTTTTATAAGTTTATTAAAATCGTATTTTCATTATCTTAATTTTGAACGACTCTGTTGTGTTTTTCTGGAATTTCCTATAACACCCTGTCCCACGTTTCACATACTCGTACAGTTACAGTTATACGTTGCACATCACCATAACTGTACCCCGACGATCTGCCCGTACTTGTTTGTCATCTCAAGATCACCGCGATGTAATTAACACGGGAACAGTCATTTCGACGGTCGTTCACCAAAATTTGGCGCGTGCGGCCGAGGAAAAGGAGATTCACAAATTTTTCTGTGAATCTGCAATTCATGGTAAATAAGTGGTTAAATTTTACATATAGTGTGCACACCAATTCATCATACTTTTTGCAAAAGTATTTTTAATTATGTGAACTTATACCTATACATGTATCCAAAATAAAAAAATAATTTAACAGCCAATAAAACACAAAAGAATAAAAAAAATTATTAAAAATTCGTTAATCTAATTAATCAATCTGTAAAATATGTATAAAATATATAATTTTCTGATTTTAATAAAATAAAATCAATATTATATTTCTTTCCTCTATACATAAAAGAAACAATTAATTGTCCTTTCTTTTTAAATTCAAGAATGTTATTTATTCGATAAGAATCTTAGGTCATTGACCATATCACATTAATAATTTAAATTATTAATAAATTAAAAATATCTTAAGAAAGTATGCACATATATAATCTTCCCGATATTTCTTGAAAATTGAAGCAAAATGTCAAATATCAGCATTATATTTATCTTGAAATTAATTGCAAGTGCAGATTATCAGTAAAATTTTAAGCCTGATGAGATATAAACGGGAATTACGTTGACTACGCCTACTGACGCAACCCGGAAAACGAAAAGCATTAAAGCTTATTACGATAACAACCTTTCTACCATATTCATTAAGTTATTAAACGAATGTATTTTTTTACATTTTTATATTTTTTATATAAGATGTACTATAATCCGCAAATTTTAGCCAGATTTGCAGACAGAAAGAAATCAATAATATTAACTAAAGTTATAGAATTTTCTGTAAAGGTATTCCAATTTTTTTAATTTTTACTTGCCAATTTATTTTCAAAATATTTTATTCATTAGAAATCTATTATAAATACCTTTCGTCGTTGAGGTACGTGGAGTTCTTGGTGTTCCGGGGACGTCCAGATCGGTTTCTTCGATATTGTCGCTCCAGGAAACGGTTCTCAGTGGTAAGGGCTTTTTAATCATTATCGGTTTGTCATCATCGCCATCGTACATCTTCATCTTCGCGCACTGATTCGATACTCCGTTCATGATTGACGATTTTTCAGTTGCTATTCCGTTCTTGTTAAATCGAGAGAAAGATTTCCAAAATCAAGCAATCGAGCAATTCGATACGTTCGTACTGTTAAAAAAAACGAAAAACATTGTAAAATTAAATCATATAAATTAAACGAATCTGAATTTTGAAATGTATCAGACGCAATACATTGTTATATAAACCCAAGTAATGTATATTAATCTATTATTTAATTACATAAATATCACTTTCACGTTCATATAATAACGATAAATAAATAAAATGATTAATTATTATCATCGATAAAGTAAGATGAGTACAATTTTTTTACACTGATCAAATTTAGTCTAAATTTGATTAAAGATATTATTATATGTATAATCAATTAAATTTTCTATTCATTCAACAAGTCAATTTTTTGATTTTTTATTAAAGAGCCTCTTTACACTAGACATCACTTGCAGTGCAACCACTTGACATTTAACATTCGTCCTATCGAAAATAAAATTGACAATGTTTACCGCGTATTCGAAAATAATTATCTCTTCAATTACTCTAAAAATTCTGAAATTTCTCTTCAATTTTAACGAACAAAAATCTTCCGAAAAATGATTAAATAAATTAGATAGAAATCTGACACTCCTGTGTTTCACTTCCGATCGAACTTACTCTAACACAAGTCGTCCCGCGGCGGAAGGAGCAACGTTTGTCGTGACATAAACGTGAAGAAATTATTCGAAAGTTGCGCGAGCGTGAAACGCGCGCGCGCGCGCGCGTATGGACCACGAAGATGAACACGTGTTAAATAAACGAGGGAAGAGATAACGATGAGGAGCCGGCACCGCGCGCAATATATGACTGATCGGAGAAGCGTCACGACATGTACGCTGACCAGGACGGGCGGAACGCGACTGACGCAAAGCTGGCAGCTGGCTGGACCCGATCGGCGGTGGCGGCAGCGGCGGTGGCGGCGGCAAGAATGAATGTCATCCGCAAGTCCTTCCGAAACCGTATATATATGCACGTATCTCCTCCTCTTTTTCTTCGATTCTTTTTCTTTTCATTTGTCATGGCATGGGAGTCCGCAGGGCTTTTTCTAAGGAAGAGTGTGATTAATTTTTTGTTTTTTTTAATTATTCTTTCTTAATTTTGTAATTTTATTATTTTATTTTTATTTTTTTATATTAAATATGCAAATAAGTTTCAGTGTTTATTCACAAGAGCAAATGCTTAATTTTTTTTACTGATTTCAAATATCCCCTCTTGCTCCTTACGGACGCCCATATCACATGGTACTCTTGTTGTATCATGAAGAGCTTACCTTGCGATAAAGGATTAAGGAAATGATAGTTTTTGCCAACGACAGTGTCCTTTTCCTCCTATGCAGCCGATTTCATTGACATTCTATTGTGACGTCGATCGTAGAAATGCAAATTGGAGTATGAATCCTAGTATGTTCCAACATAGACTCTGGGTATTACAAACCCAGCACTGGGTTTTAAAAATATATTCCCTTTCTTTAATCCAGAATTGTCAGAAAGTAAAACTCTGAAAATAATAAACATTTATTAATTGTGTGTGTGAGAATACTATTTTGATTTTCTTAAATATTCATGATTTTAATTATAGCTCAATCATGGAATGCATATTCCTTCATCTTTAATCACATAACGTACGCTGCAATGTATGCAAATATTGTGATCAACACGTATAAATAGAATATCTCGTTATATTTTGAATAATCTAAAAATAGAACTCTAAAAGGAATATGCATGGATGATTGACAGTGAGAAAATTACTTCAGGATTTATTGCCTGGCCATTGATTTAAGTACATCAGGAATTAATAGAATTATTTTTCTTATTGTATTTTCAGATTTTTTACACAGTCTATTTTTTCTTTTCTCTTTTATTACTATTTATTCCTTATCTGTACATACGAGTATATTGTATAAATTAATAATGAAATCGTAAAAATATCTATTAAAATTATCTTGGAATAAAATGTAATTTTATTGCTCTTACTATTCATTAGTATTCATAGAAGTGTATAATATGCATTCATATTTTATGTATGTATCAATTTATTCACACCATGTTTGTTTGGCAAGAAAATGCATTATAATTATCACAAAATTGCAAAGTTCAAAATTTTAAAAAAGACCCAACAAAAATTAATAAGTTTTCTAATTAATCTGTTAAATTAATAAGTTATAAAAAATGAGAGATTTTAGTGAATAAATCTGGAAATTTTAAAATAAATATAGGTGGAAAAGCCCACTTACATTATAGGGCATATCTTTTATTGCACCGACAGGGGAATACCCTTGTCAGCTTAAAGTACAATCAGAAATATCCTTAGGGAATGGGAATTTCCTTACTTTCACAAAATAGTAAATGCATCTTTTATTAAGATGTTATAATTATATATTTCTCTTTACTTTTAATCATATAAAATAATTCTCTCGATGATGATTAAAACTACGTCATTAAAAAAACGTTATAAAAATAATGTAATAATTAATATAATATATATATATTAAATACACATTAATATCTCCAAGAAATGCATATCTAAAATATATATTTTCACACATTCAGTGTAAGCTATATATTCTCTCTCTCTCTCTCTCTCTCTCTCTCTCTCTCTCTCTCTCTCTCTCTCTCTCTCTCTCTCTCTCTCATTAAGTAGCAATAAAATTTCATTTTATTCCAAGAATGGAACATTTTTAATACATATTTTTACGATTTTATTAATTAAATAAATTTATCCATTACACACTATATCTATAAATATATAGATATAAGAAATGAAGAATAATATAGTTTTTTTAATATAATCTGTCTCATATTAATACTAAAAATACGCGAATACTATAAGGAATGCATGACTCTGTGTATATTATGAAAAAAAATAAAAAAAACAGAGTAAAAGAAATAGAGTAAATAGGTTTTGCGAAAGATACTGATTGAGTCGAAAAGTACCTACCGTCCTACGTCATAGTGAATCCCAAATAGGTGAATACAACCGGTTCTTATATACATATTTTGCTTTTTTCTGGCCACGAGGAAGAACGGCATGTTTATTTCATTCGGTATCCTTTTTCTTTTTTCTTCAACCCCTCAAACACAAATATAAAATAACATAAATATAAAAAACATAAAATAATAACACCGATATCTCAAATCCCGGTAAAAAATTTGTATATATAATTATATATAAATAATTGTATAACATTAGACATACAATCGTAAAATTATATGTAAAATATGTCTATTTTTATACATAATTATATAAATTTATATATAAATTATAAGGGTTCATATATAATGTCAAATTATATATGAAACATATATATATATATATATATATATATATATATTATATAGATAGAAATATATAATTATATATATATTAAAAAAGCACATGTATTTAATTATGTATAGACATATTTCATATATAATTTTGCGATTATATGTATAATTTTATATATTTCTATATATATATAATTTTATATATTTCTATATAATTTTATATTGTTATATATGAAAAATTGTTTACCGGGATTATTATATACATAAATATAGTAAACAAATTTATTAAAAATTTTGAGTTATTTCTCATAGAAAAACGCCGAGATAATTTTTGAATTAAAAAAATTAAAAATGTTTTTGAATACACATATGAAATATTATAATTCAATTATATTGCATAAGATGCATTACCTTTGTCGTTAATTAACAATAATTATAGTAAAGTTTGAGTTTTCAACAAGTTGCCTTTTGTCAAGATAATAGAATTTGTGCGACGATCAAAATACCCTCTCCTTCTCTTTGATAAAACTATCATAGTTATTGTTATTACAACCATGTAGTTGGGTAGCGATAATTAAGTTTTGAAAGTTTACGTGCATAGGTATAACATCATCGAATGATTCATTAGATTTGAGCCACTTGAAAGAAATATTAATCCATAATGAAGCAGATCATTCGATTAGATATGCAAGAAAAATATGATTGACACATGATTTCTACGTAATTGTGCTTTACAGTCATACCTGGCTTAGCACAAGGCTGAATAATATCGGCTATTGCATTGGAAAAATTATTCTCGCCTTCGATAGTGAAAACGTACATCGAAATCGACCTCGATACTTCTTATCCGCGTACTTTAATTTTTTTTCTTATCATTTAGCATAAAAGAATATATTTATAACAGAAAAACTTAATTCTCTCTCGCTCTCCCTTTTTTCTATTACAAATTTGACAGAGACATCCTGTTTTAGTTGTTACATATTTTTTAGAAACTATTCGAAAAATTTACACAAATATTTGCGAAATTTAAAATTTATAAAGTTGTATAAAAAATAATAATAAACAATTAATTACTATAAACATTTTCTTTCCATAATATAATCATCGTTGAAAATATATTGTTAATATTTAAGATCTCTGAAATTTCAATATATATATAATAAATTTATATAAATGTGTTTCCATATCACTGCTTTGTCATTTTTTTCAGCATTTTATTATATAAAATCAAGCATGTAACAAGGAAATGTGTTTCTTTTTAGACACAAGTATGTTTCTTATAAATGCATGTTTCAAAAAATTACCGATAATAAACATTAATAATCTTAATTATAATTATTATTGTTTTTTATCGTACTATACAAAGCAAATATGACTGTGTGTATATTTCAATTTCTTTTTTTATCTTGAAATTACACACAAAATGCACATCTACAAATTTAATTCTACATCTGCTTTTTCCAAGATATTTATTTCCTAATTTGCAAAAAAAAATTATTGTAATGCAATTAAATTATGATTCTTTTTCTTACTTGCAGAATCAATTTTGAAATTCCATAAACGTGTGCGCAATAAATAAAACAATTAGTAATAAGTTTTTGAAACATGCAAAAGTTAATTAAAAGAAAAAAAAATAAAATTATAAAAAAAACATATTTACAAAGCAAATGCATTTTGTCATTGTAATAATTCTTTTTTGCAATGACACGGCCTTCTACAAAAAAAGGGAGAACGTTGAGAAGTAGAATAAATTACATGCATGTTTCGTATATTATAAGTGATTCCGATCGTATAATGAGCAATATACATCCCTACGATCGATATATCGGAAAAATTGAATAATTTCCATCGAGGAAGAATTGCAGGCTACGTGGAATCCTCCCTGACGTAGGCACATTAAATCATTTTATGTTGGCTTTGCGATTCTTAGATTTCTATATTAAGACTATAGTTTGTCCTTCCTATCTCGTAAGTGATGCATGCAACACAGGAAAGTTATCCACAGGAAAATGTATAATTGCAAGTCGTATTATGCGACGAGGGATGTATATTGTTTCTTCGTCAGAATATATCATAATTATTTATATATGTTGCACATTTTCTTTTTAATTTCTATTTTTTTCTGAAATACTCTCCTTGAAATATTTTTAAAATTTCACTATTCTTATCTATAACAAAATTCTATTCAATTAATAAACATATTAATAAAATATAATAAAGAGATAAATATTAAAGAATATATCATAAATGTAAAATAAAGCTAAATATCATTTTTTTTTATTTTGTTTAATTAGAACAGTAGATATATATATCTACTGAACAAAAGAAAAAAACAAATATTGACAACATATTGTTTAAACGAGAAAATTTTTTTTTTATTTGCAATACATCATATAATGTATTGCAAATTTGAAAAAAAGATTATTATCATAATAAAAATGGGAAAAGGACCAGAAGATAATGAGTTTGTGAATATTTCTAAAAGGATGTGCTGGAAAAAATTGATGAAGTTTTCAATTTTAAAATAAAAGTAATATTATGTATGTCTAGTAGTTTACTTTTATGAGGTAATGGATAAACACCGCAAAAGTGTAAAATAAGATATTATCTTGATGATAGCAAAAAATTATGTTAATATAAGTCTGTTATAATCAAATCTATTTTATTAAACTACATATGCATTGTATATATCCGTGTGTATTAAATATAATAAAAATCCTCAAATAATAAAATATATGTATATATAGTTTCCATTTATATATATATATATATATATATATATATATATATATATCTAACATAGTTTTTGTATTATATTTTGTTATTTTTAATAGATTGTAATCTTTATCCCATTTCCATATATTTAATAATAAATCTTTATTAATTGTAATATTTTAATATATATTAACATTATTTCTAATTATATTTAAACTTGGTAAAAAAGACTTGAAATAGTACTATTACTTCAAAATAAAAAAATTTCATAATGAGTATGATTCCAAAATAATTGAAATTTTCAATATATTAAAATTTTGTTATCTCAATCTTACTATTGTTTTAAATAATTTTGCATATTATGTATATATAATTATTTTAAACAATATTCGTACTCGACTATTATAATACTTGTACTTGACTATTATAATAGATTAAAAAATTAGATATTATTTTTTAGTTCTCGTAAAGTATAACAATATATGTAATAAAGTGTCACAGCTTTACTCAAAAGCTATAAAAATATTAGTATAAAATACAAATCTGATTACATCTAACCAAATGTGTTAAAAAATACCATCACATATTTAACTCTATTGAAAATATATTAAATTTTATAGAATCTTTTGATATTTTTATTTCTCAGAAGATGATATCACCTCAAATTTAATATTATGTTTATTCAATTGCTCGATCAAAGAAGTTTTACCAAATGCACCACCAGGTGTGAGTACTCCTCCACTATAAAGTTATAATTGATAAGAATAAAGTTAACGAATTAAATGTAATAGAATAGAATTATGTCGCATTGCGATCCATTTTAATAATTGATGAATCACTTACTTGTCAGGTATTTTGTCAGCTTCCTTAAGAATTGTAATTGCTGATAAGATTGATCCAATGCTAGTCACATCATATGCAGAAGTACCGCTAACTTTTGTAATTACTTTCTTATTAGGTGGATCTGTGTGTTTATCTGTAGGTTCAGCCAATTTTTCAGTCCATCCAAGGGCTTTGAACGTTATAGAAAAGCGTGCATTGTCCTGTGCCTCCTGCTTCGGGTGTTCATGGCTTATAAAACCGAACGAAAATAGAGCTGGATACTGCACACAAACGTTATTTAATTATTTTATCATTCATATAAAACGTAATTTTATAAATATATTATATACATTATACTTGCATAATTACAAATATTTTTATACATACTTTCAGAAGTAAATTACAACCAAATGTTGTGCGGGTCAAGAGACCGAAAATCATACCAATAATGGTTACCACTATGAAAGTAAAAAGAGATCTGTAAGAAATAATGAAAAAAAAAAAAAACAAATTAATACAAAAATTACTTCTCAATATTTGCGACATTTCAATTAATACAATACTGACTCAAATGTGATATAAGTTTGTACTTGTGCAGGTCTCTCTTTGTATTTATTGTACAAGAATCGTTGTGTACGCAAAGCAATACTACGATCAGCACCCAAAAATAAAGTTGACCATCCTTCAGAAACATTACTTCTATGTACTATCCTGCAATACATAAAAATTGTAAATATTAAAATATATAATTGCAAAAAAAATTTAAATATATAAAAAATAATAAAATAATCGTTTTTATTCTGATCTTTACTTCAATTATTCTTGTCAAAAGATAATATTGTTTAAAATTGTAATGTAACTTATTGCATTATTTTTATCTTTATATATACATGCATTTACACACACACACACACACACACATATATATATATATATATATAATACATACATATATATGTTACTTTATAATAACACATATTCTTGTAAAATTTTGAACATCTAATACATAAAGTATTTAGTCAAAATCTAATTATATATGTATATGTATGTGTAATATTTGAAAAACAAGATACATACTTTGATTTCAGTTTTGGTGTAAATGAAGGTAATTTGATAGGAAATAATTTTGTACGCAGTTCTCGTAATTCGTTTGCATGAGCTACGCCATATACTAATGACTCCCAAGTTCCATAATTCACAACTGGACCCTTCACATTTTTAGTTGACCATAATTTTAGATACGTTTCAATACTATTGACTTCTCCTCCAAATTTCTGCTGTGTAAAAATGGTTCCCAGATCAGCAGGAATGCTATCAAAGCCACAGGCACTCACTATGTAAACACCAGCTTCTTGCGCTGCTTTGTTATATTCTAATTGCATTCTTTCCATAAACTGTAAAGTATTGAATATATCAATATAAACGAATAGTCATTATAATATTCGTAGTAATGCTATATATATTACATCACCTGTGGCTCGCCACTGACGTCAACATAATGAGTATGTGTTGCAATACAAGCCTTAACGACTGGTTCTCCATAAAATCTATATGGCCCACAACAATTAATAATTACTTTTGCTTGGTTTGTCATTTCTTTAAGAGACTCTTCGTCCTTTATATCAGCCAAGATAATAGGTACATCTTCTAAGAAGAAAATGTACAATGTAATATTATCACTGATAATATAAAAATATAAATGGTCTATCTATACTATCGCACTTTGAAATAATTGAATTTAAAATTTAAATTAAAAACATAATAATTTAATTTTACCAATATCTGAGGCAAATTCCTTAAGAACAGCTTCTAAAACTTCCTTCCTACGACCAGCAACGCCAAATTTTATCTTCTGTTCCTTGGAAAACTTTACTATATCTTTTACTACATATTTTCCAGTATATCCAGTAGCACCAAATATTATTATATCCAAACGATCATTCGCCATTTTCTTGTAATAATCTGCATTAAAAAAATATTTATTAATAAAAAACATTTTTAATTTAACAATAGAGATTGTCTGTAGGCATATAAATGATATCCGGCACGGATATAATCAGACCGGAAAAACGAACCCGGATCTTTTGCTTTCTATCCGACCACACTATTAGCAAGTCATTCGAATTCTATTCAATGATATTCTTTTGCTCATTAACATAGTCCTAATGATAGTAAAATAAATAAGTGGAAAATTTTACAAAGAAAAACTCTTATAAATATTATATTAAAAAAGATAAAAAAAAGCAGAAAGAGAAAAAAAAAGGAACCGAAAATAGTTTGTTTAAAATATAAAAAAAATGAAATTTGTTACTAAATATCTTTAAAAAAAATCTTGATAAAGATGTTCTAAAAAGAAATAAAAAGATATTGTTAAAGATTACAACAATAATTTTTATAAACATATTTTCAGATAAATTGTATAAATGCAATGTGTTAAATCCAACCTAATAAAACAATAGAATATTTTGTACAATTAACAACGTAATTGATGATGCATATTCGAAGTAATCGTAATTTGAACTTTATTCTGATGACTTTCAATTTTTGCACTTTATTCTGCAATTTCAACGAGTCAATTATTATTTTGCGTAGCCGGCAGCTGGCGGGTTACGTCACACCCAATAAACATAAAATAGAAAATGAGTGCAAAAAAATTATTGATTGTGCATAAAATACCTTAATTAGGAGAAATTGGCAACTGTAAATTTTCTTCCCCAAGGCGTGAAAATGCGTAGTCCAAAGTACGTGATTGCCAAATGCGTACGTCTTCCAACCAACACCGATAAGCACCGGCTATCGACTGCTATTGACAGACGCATTTACCGTCGTCAAAAATGGCATCCTCGTTGAGCCAACACTATCATTGGCCAACATTACTGGAAGCGCTGGAGATGGAGAGAAGCACGCCTATTTAAAACCATGCACATACATACACATGCATTTAAATGCCAGCTATCGCGATGAATACGCAGTTGCTGACTTACACATTTCAATGAAATATTTAATATTTATGTATTATGTACAGAAATTGCATGCATTATAAAATCAATACAAAAATTTAAGTATAAAATTAATTATAATTAAAATTCAAAATTATATAATTCTATCGATATAAGAAAAAATCAGTAATTATCAATTTTAAAAGTCAAGCACAAGTCAATTTATCTTTTTTTCGAATATTATTTGTTATACGTTTCGGTCTCAATTAGTACAATTATTTTATTTAACAATTGTCTAATAATAAATAAATAGTGTGTATTAAGTAGAAGTAAATTCGCTCAATGTAATCATCTCAATGTAATAATTGTTCATAAATCTTGTTTGTTTTTTACGACAATATTATATGTGACAATAGATTACATATTTTGCATATGTACATACATTAGTTGAATAGAACTGACTGTTCGGACTTTTATCAGTTCGCGATACCTCTTGTTAATGATGTGATGAGTCATCTTCTTATTATAACTCCGCGGCTTATTTCTTACTTTAACACCTGCCTTTCTCCAGCTTACGCATCAAACCATGTTAATTGTTTGAACATTTTTTAATGCTTCCACTCAATCAGAACCAGGTAATCCTTAATGGTTAAAACCGGAAGAGAAACTTATATGCGCTTATTTAAAGATCACAGATAAATGTATGCATGGTTCAATCTATTTTATGTATGTACTTATCACATGCAAAATTTTTATTTTACAATTATATATATTTTGCATGCAAACGTGTACACAATTATTTCTACAAAATAATAATTATTATTGTACCTACATGCGAATTTACTTCTATAATCCACGCTTTAATTTATCATTTGACAAATATTGGTGATGGTCCAAAACGAACAATAAATAATATTTGGAAAGAAAGAATAATTTGAACACTGATTATCTCACACCTGGCTTTCAATTAGTCCGCTATCTGTGAATATTCACTTTTAGAGCTATTTTTTTAATCTTTAAAATTCTATAAAAAATAAGATTAAGAAATAATACTTTTAAATGAATATTCACTTCATTAATATCGGAGATTATTATATTAAAATTGATACATTATATTATCTCAATCATATTTTTCAAGTTGATATTTTGTAATACAAATTAAACGCAAAAGCCAATCACTGATTTATCTATCTCGCTTTTATCCCATAATTTTGTTCATAAATTATATTATTATAACGATTTATAAAGTTTTAACTATCGAATTATAAAAATAATAATTTTAGTACTTATATCACACAAATGACGCTCACAATTATACCATGAAAAATTTTTCTGCAGATATATTTTCAGAAACGCTGAGTAATCTACAATAAAGATAGATAAAATACGTTGTTATAATCGCTTTACATATATCTTAATATGTATGATTTTAAACTATTTTAATATATATATATATATATATATATTTATATATATATATATATCATTTATATTCATTTTAATCTTTGAATATTTACAATGTGTATATTTTTCTTTCCTTTTTGCTTTATAATCGATCTTCATTGCTGTTTTTCATAATCAGCCACTAATGTAATAAATTATAAATAGCTCACTGTTTTATTTAAAATATTTTGCAAATAAAAATCGATTTAGTAACAAATTTTCATTACTATTCGATTAATAATGTTATCCTGTTTTTGAACGCGATAAGACATAAAATATGAATTAGCGTTTTTCTTTAATATGAATCTGTATAATCATGAATATTATTTTGCTTATTAAATGCACATGCTATTATTTACACAAATGCACAAGAAAATTGCAGTTTAACAAGCATAAAATAATATGTAAAATAATTTATTTTGTATAAGCTAATAAAGACACAGTATTCAGCATAATCTCGATAATCTCGAATTATACAGGATAACATACATTTGCATTTACGAAAAATCTACAATATACAGCACACGCATACATACACACATTACATTGTTCTTTTATTTATTCAGACCTCATTCAAACTATAATTGTGATAAGAGCCCGACTTTCAACTGTTTTTTTTACGAATATAAAATTTCATAAGTTCTATAAAAAAAAATAGCTATTTTTTATTAACTAGAGCAAACATGATTATCTCTATAATTATTTCTTTGGAATCTGTTAAAACTCTGAGCTGAAAAATATTCATATTTTACATAAAAGATTCCCAATTATAGATAATAAATTTTTATGATTTATAGTATTTCATGTTTTTTTTACTAATCCAAGATTGATTGAAATCTTATTAAATAAAAAAAAGCATAATGTATTTATGATTTAATAGTTCGATACGAACGAAAAACTATCGGTCTTATGCTAATATTTACAATATGTCACATTTGTTTCATAGATTTATGTTAAAAAACTATTGTATCATAAAATAATAAACACAAAAATAGTATTCTTGTCTATCTATTCTTTTTAAATCACAAATGTCAGAAGACTATCGAAAAAAGTACGGCCTGAATTGTATTTCTGTTTTGATTTGTATATAATAGATTAAGCGTACTAAATGTACGAATTGTGCTGCCATTATCAAACAAAATAGATTATGTTGCTAATATATATAGAACAATTTTTCATACAATTATTTCTTTGAAATACATTCAATTTTTTATAGAAAATTTATGATTAATAAAACAATTTATGAAATTTCATAAACATTATGTTTAATTATTAATTGTTAATGTAGTCAAATGTTGGATAGTGTCAAAATAGAATCAGATTAATAAGAATGAAATGAGAGATGGAATTTAAATCATTGCAATCATGTGTTTGAGCTATATATCTACATTGAATTTTATGCACATATTTATGTACATAATTATAATATCGAAAATGCAAAATATATGCGCATAAACGCGGAAGCAGTTTATTTATATTACATAACGAAAAGTACTCCGGCAAAAAATATGATCAAATTGACACTATTAATGCTCCGGAGAGTTTAGAATTCTAGAATATTCTATAGCAACCAATTCGCTACAGCGTCAAGATTTTTTATTTTTTTATATATGTATGTACATGTGTGTGTATATATATATATATATATATATATATATATATATATATATATATATATATTGCGTAATACAATGTATATGTATTTACATACATACATACATACATACATACATACATACATACATATATATATATATATATATATAAAATTCATGTCACAGAATGAATATATATATATATATATATATTTGCGTAATACAATGTATTATGTATATATATATATATATAAATTCAACACACACACACACACACGCACGCACACGCACGCACGCACGCACGCACGCACGCACGCACGCACGCACGCACACACGCACGCACGCACACGCACGCACGCACACACACACACACACACACACACACACACACACACACACACACACACACACACACACACACACACACACACACACATATATATATATATATATATAATTCATGTCACAGAAATACCGTGTACCACGCGTTTATCAGCACTTCTTACATGTAAAGACACGTATAACTTTTATTCAAAATTATACACAATTATACACAAGACGATACCACTATCGTGTCACAACCGAAGAGAAAAGAAGCACTAGGAGTTGGCATTTGGTGGTGGTGGCCTTCTATCGTAATCTCGTCTATAATCCTTGTTCGGCCGCCAATCATTGGAATAGTTGTCTCCTGGATATCCGCGGCTTCTGAAATGACCTGGTGCAATATCCGATGGAGGATAACCACCTCCGCTGCTGCCACCATAACCTGGATTGTACCCATAACTCGGCGGTCCCGAAGAATATCGATAATAATCACTGAAAAGTCGTATGTTTCATACAAAATATTGTAGACTGCCAATTGGATTTATAAATAAGATCAGATAGCATAAAGATGCCTATTACTCACCTCCTTTTGTCGTTCATGTGCATACCACGATCTCGATCCCTGTCTCTATCTCTGTGATAACCGCTAGACATTCGACTATAAATATCGAAACGGTCACTCCGTTTGTGATCTCCGAATCTGTCAGAAAATAAAATTACCACAATTAAAGTAATTAATATAAATAGCAATTTCTATTCCAACACTGCAAACTTAATATTTCGCAAGTATCTTTGTATTAAGCACAAAAAAACCAAGTGAACGTTAAACTAAACGTAGAGATGTAAATTCATACAATGCTCTGATCTATATATTGATGTCTTTTAACATCACGAGACGTACATTTATATAAAATAAAATATGACCTTACCCGTACCTGCCGTCTCTCATATCTCTTCCATCCCTGGATAACCAATGATCATCTTCCCTGCCGCCACTATAATGTCCCATGTTGTAACCACTGTCTCTTCTAATCCTGTCATCCTTTCCTCCACTCATTCTATCCATACCCCTGTCGTTGTGTCCTCTGTCTCTATCCCTGTCACGCTCCCTATCTCTTTTCATATCTTTATGCTTTGACTCTTTTTGTTCTTTATGTCGTGATGTTTCTGCACTGTTAGTACTTGATGTGGTATTTGGCGTTGATGTTATAGGAGTAATAGTAATAGCACCAATAGTAACTGTAGATGTGCTGCTGATACTGCTGTTGACGGCAGAAATATTCTGGAGCTGTTTCTTACTTTGTGTACTGCTATTTGAGTTCTCTTCAATATCATCAATTTTACGTTTCGTTGTTCTACTGTCTTTGTTACCACTGTCTGTCTGTTGTTTATCGTGAGACGATCTTTCATTATGTTTCTAATAAACAAAACAAAAATTAATAATTTATTACCTACATTTTATATATAAGAAAAAAATGGATGCAGCATTTTACCTTTGCAGTATTAGAAGCATCCTCTTTTTTGTCAGGACTGGATGTAGTACCGCCATTATTATCGCTATCTTGCTTCACCAAATTCTTAAACATTTTATAAAGTTTTCTCGCTTTAAAATTTGTAAATTTGGAAGCAAAATACCAGAGATTACTTTTCCATTCGCTAACTTGTTCAGGATTTTTGTATTCCGTAAGACAAGTATTGATATGATTTCCAATTTGATAAAGATATCGACGCGCACGAGCGACTCGCTCGTCTTCGGGCTGTGACATATCTGGTTTATCTAAAGCCTTTAACGCCTTTTTCACTGGCCTCATCTTCTCTTTACACTGTATAATAAAATAATACGATACTGTTATTTCATATATATATATATATATATACAATTATATATGTATATATATATATATATATATATATATATATATATATATATATATAATTATATATATATATACAATTTCCTTAGTTTCAATTATTTTTTACATGCATTTTATGTGGGTATGTACAGACTAGGAAAAAAGTGTATAAATCTTTTACGAGAATGATATTAACCTCATCAAATATCGGAGGATCCAATTCACCAATTACATCAACAGCTCGCGGTTCATTATTCGCAGTAAAATGCATAGGACCTGCGGCTTGTTTATTTTTCTTCGCTTTCTTATTCTCTTTCTTTTCCTTTTTAATCTTCTTTTCCTTTTTCTTGTCGTCAGATAAATCATCAATTTCATCCTTAATGTCTTTTTTTGCAACACTATCTTCTTCTTTCTTAATCCCAGACTGTAATATACATAGATGAATATGCATACTTTATATAAACGCACATAATATAAAAAAACTGATCTATTTTTAACTCACTTTGTCATTTTTGGACTTTGATTTTTTAGTTTCATCACCAGAAGTATCATTATCTTCTACAATCTCTTTAGTGATTGCTGTTTTTATTTCTTTAGGCTTCCTTGGTTTTCTTATTCGTGTCTGGAATAACTGCTTAGTTTACATGCGAACAACAAATGGAATATATTTTTTATATGTACATTAATAAGTAAAATAAAAATATAAAAAAATTAGCTCATTTTATTAAAGAAATTTAAATGCTTAACAATTATTGCTTTAACAACTCATATTCTAGTCTGAAAATCCTCATTCAAATATATATATATATATATATATATATATATATATCACATAGTTCATACTTCATATTTTTCATATTTTATTTGGCAAAATATAGGAAGGAATAAATGGATGGAGGAGTCAGGGTTGTTACCTCGTATTCGGTTTGTAATTGTAGGAGAAAAACATAATCCTGTTGAAAAATGAAGGAACGAATAAAAATACACTCGTTAATATATTGTATGTAAAATGACCTTACCACTCCTAACTTAAGATCGATTTGCTTCTTCAAAATCTTTAGAAGATATTCTGCGCGTGCGTTCACACGTTTAAGTTGTACTTTACTGCCATTAGGAAAGATCTTATCGCTCAGTTGCAAACTAGCATCCGTTTTTATCGCTTCCCACGAACCCATACCATGTTGATATATACCTCTTAATAATTTCGAATCATCTTCGGACGTCCATTCGCAATCAAAATTTGCTGGTTTCGATCTAAAGCGATAAAAAAAGCCTTTATAAAATGTACTTGATATTTTTCATTATTTATTTATTTCGATATTTCTTCATTCAGCTTAAAGAAATTAATAATTAATAATTAAAAGATAAAATTAATAATTACTAATTAAAAAATAAAAAATAATTAATCGAAAAAGATTAATATAATTACAAATGATAATAATATACGGCTCCTATTAAATAACAAGATAGAAAGATATTCGCTGTGAGAGCCTATCGTGGATGCACGTAATTTGCTTAGCAATTTGCTAAGACAAGTTAAGGAACAATCTCGAATTTGAGATCTGAATTCTTCGGTTCCCTTTAACCCTCTAGAATAATGATCTCAAATTCGAAATTGTTTCTCAACTTGTCTTAGCAAATTGCTAAGCAAATTACGTGCAGGTACATCCACGATAGGCTCTCACAGCGAATATCTTTCTATCTTATTAATATAATTGATTGAAATTATAAACTCACTTAATGTCGAGGTGCCAATTGGCACGTTGCTCGGGATCGGATGGCAAAGCTTGTTCCAAAGGCTCAAGTTCTTTAACCGCAGCCGAAACTGATTTTGCGTTCACCATAACACCACCCATCTTGAAAGTAGGTCCCCGTCCTCTTTTACGACCGGGTCCCTTGCCTTCTTCCTCGCCAGCTTTGTTCTCCTTCGCCATATTTTCAAATTCCACTAAGCACATGTCACATCTAGATTTTAATTGTTCGCCCAAGAAACGCAATTCTGACATTGGTTTTTCTTGTAAATCAGCATCAGCCGCGATATCTTCCAATCGCTTTAAAGGTGCCGGGAACTTCTTGTAACTTTTGATGAATCTTCGTATCTGCGATAGAGAATTATTATATTAAAGAACGTAGAAACGCGAAATCGAATAATATTGCATACAATAAAACTTATTACAAACCTCAGCATCCGTAAAACTCTTGACATTTTCGCGCGGTGTAACTCTCGGTCTACCTCTTTTCTTGGGTCTTTCATCGTCACTACCTTCCGCCTCGCTACCCGTCTCCTCGTCCTCTTCGCTATCATCCTGCATTTTTTTGCGCTTTCTACCTCTTCCTAAATATAGCATTTCGTTTTTATATATTTCATATTTGTGAGGGAAAAATTGCAAGTGTTTGTAAAAGCACATACCTTCGCTCTGATTGAGTTGCTGTAGCGTTTTTCTACTTCTTGGTGGCAAATAAAGATCCTCCATTTCCTTCGATTTCTCTTCTTCTTCTACTTTTTTCCGGAAGTTTTCGGGAATAATTTCAGCCTAAAGGGTGTATAAGACAATTAGTTAAGTAATAATTCTTTTATTTTAACAAAAAATTATAATTGCAATACAGTTTATTTATTCAGATATTTAAGATAAAAGTTTAAAAAAGGTAAAAAAAATGCTTACCCAATCTTTACTTTCATCGTCGTTATCATTCGACTGATTAATAGGTTCCAAATCCTCCTCAAAAGTAGGTTTAAAACTGGCGACTTTAAAAGCGGATAACAATTCATCGCCAACTGTCGTCGGACCTTCGTCTCTTGTTTCGGCTCTTTTTAAGATCTCATCTATATCGCACTAATTTTACAGAAAATCATAAATATTTATATTCAAATTTCTTTAACATTTTCTCTTTTATGTTATCATCATTTTTATGTTAATGCAAAATAAAAATATAGCTATATATGTTATATTTTTTACTTGCTCTAATATAATTATGTAATAAACATGAATGGTGAGAAAGAAATGCAAAAAGAGAATTTTATATAGAAGATCAACTAATTTAAAATAAGAAAAACCTTAGAGACTTTTAAAAACAATCAATTGCATTACAATGAATTAAGAAAGAGTGACTGTTATGCAAAAACTCCATATATCTTATACTTATTTTATATATATATATATATATATGAACTATATATTTTTTAATTATATATTTAAATATATATTAAATAAGTATGCATAATTGCATTCAGTTACAAATATTATTATATAACATTTTAAATATATTAATAGAACGTATTATTTCCAAATTAAATAGCTCTTTACAATTGTTAGTCTAAAAAAATGTAAGAGATGATAATAAACTTACTGCTGGCTCCTCATCTCCATCTTCTTCATCTTTAAACAAATCCTCCGCGCCAAATTTCAAGATAGCAGTTAAATCTTCTTTGGTAAATGGATTGTTATTGGTCCCTGCATTCTTCTTATCCAACACTGTCCGTCCAGTTGTATCCATTCGCTGTATCACTAAATGGTCCAATACCATTTTCTGCTTTGCACGTTCGACAATTTCTTCCTCGACTGATTTTTTGGTAACCAATCGATAAATATTGACCTATACGCAATGTAAATCGGATTATAAGATTGAAGTTTCTCGGAAATTTTCATACAAATGAACATCGAATTTCGAGACAATCGCAAACGCACCTTATTCTTTTGTCCTATTCGGTGTGCTCTAGCCTGGGCCTGCAAATCGTTTTGTGGATTCCAGTCGGAATCGAAAATTATCACAGTATCCGCGGTGGCAAGATTTATGCCGAGACCACCGGCTCGCGTCGATAACAGAAAACAAAAATCCTGCGACCCCTCAGCATTAAAATGATCCAGCGCCTGCTTCCTCAGTTCTCCCTTTATACTGCCGTCTAATCTTTGGAATGGGAAATGTCTCTTTTGCAGATATTCACCAAGAATGTCCAACATTTTGACCATTTGACTAAATATTAATACTCTGTGTCCCGTATCACGCAATCTCACTAATAATTTATCTAGAAGTACTAATTTCCCAGAACCACGGATTAGTTGCTGCAAATAATCCTCATTGCTTTTCTCCCTTTCGGCCTCAATTGGTTTCGTAAGGTAAGCATGGTTACAACATTTTTTCAATTCAATTACAATGTTCAAAAATGTTGTACTGGATCCCTTCATGCCTTTTCTTAATGCTTCGTAATTTTTAGTCAATATCCATTTATAGTACTGTCTCTGTACGGACGTCATCTCTACCCGTAAAATTTGTTCAACTTTAGCAGGCAAAGATTTTTCAACGTCCTTCTTGACTCGACGTAGGATAAATGGCTCCAATTGTTTGTGTAGTTTGGAATATCCTTTTTGCGCAGCATTATCATGTTGTTTCTCGAATTCTTCCCACGAGACAAATCTATATTAAAATGATGTAATAAATATAAATATAAGAAGATAACTATACAAGAAATAAAAACGATATGTATATTATTAAAAATAATATAAGTAGTAGAAATATGTAGAGAAATTCAAATAGAAACTAACTTATTAGGCATAATGAAGTGTAATAGAGCCCACAACTCTTTTAAGCTATTTTGTAGTGGAGTACCAGTGATTAACAAACGATAATTGGTGTGAAACTCGAAAAGTGCTTTGTATAGAAGAGAATCGTCATTTTTCAATCGATGAGCTTCATCCACTAACAGCACTGCCCAATTTAAGGCACCCAACAGTGCTTTGTCTTTAAGTACTATCTCATATGTTGTAAGTATGACATTAAATTTTAGTCTTTTCGATCCTCGGTAGCACCATTCATATTCTCTGATCTGAAGAGAATTTATACGATTCATTTAGAATATATATTATATACATATACATTCATATATAGCAAAATAATGAAAAGTAATACACACAACATTACGCGAAGTGACATCACCCAAATAAATAACAAAATTTAAATCAGGTGCCCATTGAGACATCTCCCTTTGCCAGGAAGTCATTGTTGACAAAGGAACTACTAGTAAAAATGGCCCATAAAGTTGTTGCGTGTGAAAAAGATAATAAAGGAAGCATATTGTTTGGATAGTTTTGCCGAGACCCATCTCATCGGCTAATATAACACTGCAAAAAGATAATATTAATTAAAATAAATTGAATATAAATCCAATAATTTTGAATATATTGTTATTACAGAAATGCTTGCGTACCTATTTTCCTTACACCAGGAATGAATCATCCAATTAACTCCATCCATTTGATAATCTCTCAACACTAGATCTTTTTCTTTGCCCATATAAGATGGTTGTTCGTTTAATTGATAAAACTTAGGTCTAGATTTAAGAACTTTACAATGTTTGCTTGGTGTTCTTTTAGACTCTTCCCTATCGCGAAATTCTTTTATTTTCTCTGGCCATTTTTTTACTATCAACGCTCCATCTTCCCATGTGGCCTCAGCATATGGTAGATTTTCCCATTTAGCAAAATAATCAGGATGTTCTGAATCTGGTTTCTTATAATCAGCTGACAAAAATATGTAATAGTTTATATAATTTATATTTATATAAAAATTTTAATATATTATGTAAGACATTCTCTTGAAATACAAATATCAATGAAACTCAAAATTGTATTACCAATAACCCTCTCAACATTGTTGTAACTTTTCAGAAGATCTTGCTTGAGCTCCGATTGACACTCCAAATATTCCAATTCCTCTAGTTCAGCGTATTCTCTCATTTGTTGCATTCTTCGTTCTTTTTTGATAAAATTGTCTAATTTTTTCAATCCTTTTACCTAATAAATAAAATTCATAATAATGATTCTTAAATTAAGAATAATTTCTAAAGTCATAAAGACTTAATAACAATTAAAAAAATATTAATAATTAATATTAATAACTTTTTGTGCTTTCAAGGATTCCTCCGATTCCCATGTATTGTGTATATGAGACCAGCCTTTCCATTTTATCCAATATTGTATTTCAGTTTCTAGATTACTTAGATCCTCTGGATTGGGATCACCATTTTCTTCGACAGCATAGATGGTCGTCACGTTGCCAGTAACTGCAAATAATTATATAAAATATATATATATATATACATATATTATATAATTATTTATATTTATATTATATATATATATATATATATAATTATATAATATATATATATATATATATATATATATATATATATACACTTATCACTTCCTAATTAATATCTTGATTAATATCTGAACATAGTATCATATATAAAATAAACTAACTGCCTTTCTTGCCCACTCTCTGTCCCAAAATTTGTTCGATAGTTTCTGCATTATCAGGTTCTGTTGACGCAGCATTCGATTCGTCAACTTCAACCAAGTCTTCACTATCAGTACCTGCTTCACTTTCTTCTTTATAACTAACTGCTGTACCAGTCCGTCTAGTAACTTGCCTGATAATTAAGTTTATTATAATTATAATAATATTCAAATTTGTTATATTTTTATACACGCTCACATATACTTTTTTTATTTAATTTTTCTCAACATGTACCTTCTATTGTCATCACTATCAAAGGAAGAATTTTCAGAAGATTCAGAGCTCCGCTTCTTTCGCACCTTGGCTTTTTCTTTCGCTTTTTGCGCCGCACGTCTGTTTAGGGACTTGCTAGGAGGCGGCCTTCGATTTTCAATTTCGTCAGATTCAGAATCTGAACTCTCTGAATTCCAAGAATTGTGTGAACTAAAACGTTAATATATTGATTATAATTATCACATATTTACCGACACGAATTTAACTATTAGACTTTAATTGTCTCATATAATTTTTATATAAAGCAAAAAACTATGTTTTCAATAAGTTTACAAATACAAAATAAATATACATATATTGACATCATTATATACTTGTAGTGAAAAATATAATTATACAAAATTATATAAAATTAAAATCAAGTTTTATTTCTAATTTGTATTTTTGTCATCTATGTTGTTTTAATTAAAAATTATAATTTATAAGATATAAAGGTATAATAGTTTAAGAAAATGTTGTATAGATCATACAATACACGTTGCAACACATAAAATTTATGCCTGCTTTTTATATTCAAGGTAACATATAGACTGTAAAACACATTGTGAACTAAATTGTAAAGTGTAATAAGCACAGAAAGTAATAAGTTATATGCAAAACCAAAATGAAATCCAATTAGTGCAAACCAAGAGAAAAACGTTATAAACACGCTTATAAATGAACTTATATTGTATCAAAGTATGCATATGTGTAATGTATAGCAGACTTTATGAATAACGCGTCTAAAAATTTATTGATAAAATAATTTTACTGTGACTGTGTGTCATGTTAAAAATGTTATAAATGTTGCAATAAATTCATACATCCACATTTGATACGCTAACAAATAAGCATATTGAAATTATGCAACATTATATCACAATCAATATGCGTGTGATAAGAGTTGTAGATAATATTTATAAAATTATATGTGTATCATAGTATCTATATGATAAATAGTGATAATAGTGTAAACAGAAATCAGCAAATATACAAAATTCATTAATTTGTATTTATGTATTGAAAGATTTTGATGGAGCAACTAATTATAAACATATTACAAAATGTACATATAATATGAATTAAAATTGAAGATACAGATTAACTATACATAAATATATTATATTGAGTTCTAAAAGAATTACGAACTCGTTATTATCTCTGCATCTCAACATAGTTTGCAATTCAATAAATGATTGTATCTCTCTTACATTACGATTCCATCATTTTTATAATTGTAATAACCAGATCAACCAAATTATATATCTGATCAATAGATAGTTTTTTCCCATTAATTTTTTACTTACCCTTTCTTCTTAAACTTTTTGCGACTATCGCTGTCGCTCTCGCGATTCGTGGCGAGCCTGTCGGGCTCCTTCCTGGAACGCCCGGATCTCCTGATGCCGTATATGTCAGGATTTTCGTCCCACTCACGGCTAGACTCATGTTTAACTCTATGCTTTGTTTCTGTGCTGTGATTCGAGCTTTTGCTCTGGAAGCTATCACTTTGTGCAGCAGGTGCATCGGACTTCTCTGACTTTTCCGAATCAGAGCCTGATCCGGAACCGGAACCGCTCGAGGAGCTAGAGTCACTGCGTTAGCAGCCAGGCAATATTTCACTAATTATGCATGAATGTGACAAGGACACATTGCATTTCAATTTATACAATCAATATACTCCAAAATAACTAAATTAATTTAAAACTAAAATAACTATACAAATGATCGTGAATATAAAATTGTTAACAATTATTTAATATGTCGTGATCCAAATTTTTTCTCATTACATGTGAATTTAATAAAAAATTATATATACTCTAAGATTTTATTCCATTTTTAATGATCTGCACGTCTTGGTTAAATGCCAGATATAATAAAATGTTAATCTCAAATAGTTAAATCTATAAAATGTACAATTCTTTACAAGAGATACAAGAATAAAAAAAATATATATATAATCATAAAATATATATATATATATATATATATATATATTTAGAATTTATACATAATTATTTAATAATAAAATAATATTCAATAAAATAAAAGAAGATATTCTCTTTTCTACATATATTAAATCAAAATATTAGAAATTAGAGTAAAAATGAATGTATTACAATGAAATTATCTAAATGTAAAATTTAAAATATACTTAAAAATACTACTTTTAATACGAATAAAAATTTTTTTACAATTTTATACTGAGATTTGTTATCATTGACTAATTACAAGTATAGAGTAATGCTACAAAATGATAGTAGAGTTTATCTAGCATTGCATAGATGATTTTTAAGTACAAAGAAGCAAACATTACGACACAAATAAAATGTATAAAAAGTGCTCACAAAAATCCCAAATAAAATAAATACATAAAATTAGCAAAATTGTTAACATGTTGTTAGAGCAAAAAAAGCTGTAGCAATACGCAAGTAGCTATAATAATTGTGAATAGCAATAATTCTGATAAACCCCTTTATACAGAAGAGAAACCTGATATGTACTTGTATCCAAAGTTTAATTTCTTATATTTTGTAGCATATTATCATATTGTAACTATTCGTTCTTCTACATATGCAAAATAAAATAGACTCTTACATAAAATATATTAATCAATTAATCTAATAGAATGTAAAAAAAAAAAAAAAGAATTCTATTTTAAAAGTCAAATAAAATTAAAGAATTATAAGAATTAGAACACTAAAAAAGTTCTATTTTTTCAAATAAAATCTTAAACTTGTTTAAAATTAAGAGAGCAATTCTTAAACATATCAAATATGTTTTTGAGCACGAAAAGTATATAAAATCATAGCGATGCAAGTTTATGTATCAGGTCTCGCAATTTTCAGGGGAATGGTCGAGTGTTGTCTTATACCCACCTTTCTGAGCCTGATCCTGAACCGCTATTGCTTCCGGAAGAGGAGCTATCGCTTTTGCTTTCATTCTCCGAATCAGATCCGGATTCCTTTCCGGATTCAGATTCTAATGTTTTCTGGAAGTCAATCAATTTGGCTACATGTGATTTTAATTTCATTTTTACAAAAAATATCGCTCGCCGTTTGTTGTTTGGAATAGTTCATCTTCTAATTATCGCTTATCATCATAATATTTTTGTCAAACTTTTCATAAACTTTTTTTTGAAATTAATGATAATCAATAAAATAAATTATAATAGATAATAAAATAAATTTACAGCTAAAGAAAGTAGTTGAATTTTCTTGCTCATCCTCTGTATTTCCTTAATCAGTCTGAAATACTGCAGAAATATCGCTGCCAACTCATCATCATCCATTTTGTGACTGTCGTCCGCCATTTTGTCTTCACATAAGTGTAACACAAAGTCTCAAAGAAATTTTTGAATTGCCTTATACTTGTATGATATAATTTTGGCCTAAATATTAAGAGTAACAAGAGATAATAATACACACTTTTTGCAATATATTTAACATACTCTTAATATTAAATTTCACGAGAATTCTTCATGAACTCTTCATGTGTCTAGCAGAGGAATCTCTGGTTTGTCCACGTTTATTTATTCTAAGATTAAATACAAGTACAATTTTTACAAAGTCTAAATATTTTGCATCTGTTTGTCACAAATGCATAATTGCAACCACCACTTCCAATGTTATTCGCATAGAAGGAACGAGTATGAAAAGGTGTTCAATCTAGGTCTGGATACTAATAGTAAGTATTATAACAGAATTCGCCATTAAATGTTTATATGTTTATTAAATATTTCAATTACACATCTTGGTCATTAATGATCAAGATACCTAAATATGTACATAAACATATAATTAATAACACATTTATATACTATTTAATTTATAGCAAATTGTATATACTGTTACTATATTATTTAATTTATATTATATATTCCATTACTTTTAAAAAGGTTAAAAATACATTAATGTACTAACAATGACCATAATTGTATTCATTAATCTCATCAATATAAATCTTGTATAATGTTAGTTCTATGATTTTACGAAAGTATTAGTATTTTATGAAATAGATTTACATAGTAAAAACACTTATAATGTAATTTCACTTATTTGCAAATTTGTATATCATTGAATTTTGACACAAATATATTGAGGAAAAATGCTGAAGTTAGATATAATATGCAGAGAACGAAGTAAAATTCTCATTTGCAATCAATGTAGAATTTTATTCGCATACCTACATCAATTTAATTTAGAGCAAAGGTTCCTGGCTCTCTTTCTGTAACAAAGGTTAGTGATACATACTATATTTTCAACCCATATGTTATCAGACAGAATATATAATATGTTATTAAACATTAAAATAGACCAGACTATAAACTACAACATTGTGAATCATTGTTAAAAATATGAGTATAAAATTGATAGTTTCATTTATAATATACTTTTATGAAATAATCTGTGTAACATAGTATAAAAATGTACAATTTATACAAGAATTTAAGCTCAAATATTGTTAAAGAAATGATGATTAATCTTGGTTTTATTCACTCAGCATGTCCAATTTTATTATTAATGCATTATGATAATTCAAAGATGTAATATCTAATATCAAATATATACATATATATTCATTAATTGTAAGACAAAATATGAAGAGATGCAAACATGATTAAGTAATTATTAAATTTCTCTACAATTATTACAAGCTACTTTGTACAACACTGCTGTCAAAACCATGATAAATTCCATATTCTACATACATATAACAGCAGCATAACATGTAAGAACTATTATTTTAAAATTTTACTAAATTTTTACAATGTATATTAGCCAAACTTGTTACTATCTCAAAGATTACATGTTTTTTTTAAAGAAATGTGTAATTAATAAGTATAAATTTGCTTTTAATATTACTCTTTGATGACATTTTAACACAAATTTATTGTCAAATTAAATCAAACCTATCACTATACAATGCAGTTTTATTTCAAAGTATGTTTTATTATTGAAATTGTTATATATTATGATACAAATACAATCATCACTATCATGAAATACGAATGCAAAAGAAATCTGATCATAATAGAATTCTAGAATGGCACATATAGACTTCTACAGTATACATAAAGGTTATAAAACCCCTTGACAGACCCAATTATGTTTCGATGACACACTAAAATTGTAAAATTACAATGAAAATTTCTATGAGGAACTTTCAGAGGTTGAAACTACAAAGTATTTCTGACATTACCCCGATGAAAATGCATTAAAATAACAGACGAATGTTACGAGAATTACGTAGCACATTCCTGATAACCAGACAGGATTGTGCACGATGATATTCGAGCTCAATTTGCAAAAATGGGTACATTTTTGATTTTCGAATAAGTGTGACGCCAGGCCGAAGGAAAGTGTGAGGAATCGTTTGCAATGAAAATTAGGATGGTACAGCGATATTTTCTGTGAAAAATGTCACGTTAACGAGACGTAAACAAACCTTATAGGTTATTGGGAGGCTGGGAAAGTGTGTAAAGTTGCGGAAAATCGTGGCAAAGAGGGTTCAAGTTCCTGAGTCCGAACGGTCCGGAGGACCCCGCCCTATGCGTAGAAACCCTTCGCAATCGAGCAGCGAGGATTTTTTCCAATTTTTACAACATTTCTGTCGAGCATCAGTGGGTGCCGAAACGCAACCGCGAGAGCGATTACTCGCCTATTCCAAACAACAGTACGGCGGCGACGCGCAATTCGCACGCAGACAATAAATCAACGCATAAACGCATTAAATCGTCCGCGATGACGATCCGAGCGCAAAAAGGATCCGCGGACACACGCGGATAAAATCGCGCGCTCATATCTCAGGTGTCTCCCGGAGCTGCCACTCACCTGCATGGTCCCGTCTACGCGTCGCACCTACGACCTCTCGTATTCCCGTTCCGCATGCAAATCCTCCGAAATTCAATCGTAGCACTGTCGCGCAAGCACGTGTTTGCGATAATAAATCGTTATTGACGTCGACGGTCCGACATTACGGCACATTCAATCGAAGATCGCGTACTGTATGCTCATGGACTCACGGGCTTGACCGCCATTTTGTGAACCCGAGTCGCTTCTTCTCACCCTCCCCTTCCCTCTTTCCGAGGCCTACCTACCTACGTCCCGACATGCAACGCGCGCGCCATCTCGTCATCGGACTCCCTCTCGACGAATTCCGTGACAGCGACGTCAAGACGATGAGCGCGATTGGTCGCCCACGCGGGAGAAGGGTGAATCGGCGCATGCGCTGTCAGATTCTCTTCTCCATGCGTCGCGTGCGCGCGCGGACCGGAAAAGAGATTATTAAAGCGTAAAAGAAATCCTTCGTGGAGAAACTCTGCGGAATGTCGAGCAATGCGATAAGAGGCGGAATTAATTCGGTGAAAATTTTTCCGCGATTTTTTCTGCGCCGATTCAACGATCTGCTGGAAAACGACGAATATTACGGAAACTGAATATCGCACGGCGTACCTCGAAACGGAAATCACTCATCCCGACAGCCATTTTGAGAAACGACAACGATTTTACCCAGAATGCGTGCGTCACGACGCGCTTTCGATTACCTCGTCGCTCGGCCGATGTACTTTATGCGCGATCACCTGGCTACTGAAAATGGCGCGGACGACGGTCCGATATCACGAAAATATTTTCGACAAAATTTTCAGATATCTTACACGAAAATCTATACGTCAAAAGCAGTCTTTACGCTCGAAATGGGCGATTTAAACGAAAATGGAAAGTTACATAATCCCTATTTCGAGAAACATCGAACTGATCCCGTTATATAAATATATATATATTATATATATATATGTATATATATGCATACATATATATATATATAAATCTCGTGCAAGAAAATCTTACGTGTTATCGATCGTATTAATGCGAAAAAATGCCATGTTTTTGTAACAAAATCGCGTCGCAATTTAAAAAGCAAAAATCGCGTCAAATAATTTCGCTCGAATATCCTCGAAATATTCCAATCGCGACGAAACTTGTCGAATTTTTCGCGCGGAAAGAAACTCAGGAACGCGTCACATAACATTGAAATACATACCCCGTGCAAGAAAGAATGAATTTTTTCGAGGGCTCAGGAACTCGCGCTCTTAATTCTACTTCAGAATTCCTCTCATTTTGGACACACGTAGGTGGGTGTGGGATGATGACATGGATCACAGCAATTCCGTCGGCGACGTCTGAACGAATGAACGACTCTATGAATGTCAAACGACATCGCCTGTGCGAAATGCGCAAGCGAGGACGTTGGAAGAAACGGCGGGCAGGCTTTCCATTGAACGTTTCTGGGCGCAGCGAGATGTGCCAGATCGAGAAGCCCACGTCTCCTCGATGGCGGAGCGAGACCGTGTATATATATATATATATATACGTGTCGCGACGTCGAGAAAACGACATCGACTGAGCGGGAAACCGCGCCCGATTCAATGGAATGCCAACACGCCGTCTCGCAGTCGATGAAACTAACGTATTGTACAGCGATAATGTAAGACGAAAAATATTACCTATTCGCCTGCGACACGCCGCACCGGAAAAGGACGAGGCGTCCGAGCTTCCGGTATATGTACGCCGTCGCCGCGAGATCGAGAGCTCGATCTCGCGCTCCGAGCATTCGAGTTCGATGGCGGGAACTTTCAAACATCTCTTGAGCGACACAAAGCTGCAAGAAATATTAAATATGTATTAATAAATTATTATATAAAAATTATAATATATTATATAGAACAATAATAAATAAATTGTCGTTAAATATAAAACATATATAGATTGCAATAAACAAAATATAAATGAAATAATTTAATATAAAATATTAATATTATATAGAATAAATAAATAAAATGTCGTTGAATATAAAACATTTAGATTGCAATAAACAAAATATGAAATGATATCCAGAATATAATATGCAGCAGAAAAGATATAAAAACTGCAGAAATATTAAATAAATATTAATAAATTATTACATAAAAATGTGTAATATATAAAATATTAATATTATATAATAATGAATAAATAAAATGTTTAATATAAAACATATATAGATTGCAATAAACAAAATATAAATGAAAATATAATATACATAATATAATTTAGCAAAAAAGATGTATATGTAAATGATCTTATATAAGATCACATATGTAGGACATATGTAAGACCATGATGTAAAACTATGATATTTGATTCAATAGATTATTCCACACTCATTCTTTATAAATTAATCTCTTTTCAGAATGTAAAATATTTATAAAAATATACAGAATTAGAGAAAGACTAAAGACTTGTTAGAGCTATAATAATAATTTAAAACATTATTATGATTTTAATATTATAAAAACAATTTAAGTATATAATTTTTATTTACATAACAGTACTGTATCGGATTAATATACAATTAATATAGTGAAGCGTGCAAAATCGAAACAATCATCGATTGTGATTAACAATGTATATGTATGTACACATGTATATATAGAAAGGCAATTTTTGTAGTAACACAAACCGTACATAAAGAAGAAAAGTATACATAGACTTTGACATTAGTATTTGTGTGTTAATTAATAACCCTTACATATTTCATACTTATGCATGTTTTCTATTTATGAAACGATAACTCAGTCTTAGAAACTAATTCAATTTAATAGCACGTCAACGTGAAACGATATGTTAATGCGACTGTGAAAGAAAAAACTGATGGAGACAATAATCACATTATCAAATTCGCAAAGATAACTTTATTATTAATGTACCTGTTTCATATTATGTGTAAAGAGTACTCCTGTATAACTGAGATGGTTTACTGATTTTCATTGAGTATCTATATGTAGGCGCGATCAAATAAAATGCCGTTATTCCGGGTCTGGTGTTTCTTTTGCAACATTTTGTTGTTCCTCCTTTTCCTTGGCTTTTGCATCAGGAACCCATAGACCACTGTCAACGCAACGCTTCATGTGATATGTCGCCTCTTCCTCCGACATCTCAGCTATCGTTTTTTGCAACAAAGGGATGTCTTGCGACTCGAAACATTTTTGTAAAGACTGAAACAGAGAGATTGAAGGAATGAGAAAAAAAGAAATCTGTGTAATATATTGATTTTTGTTACAAAACATTTTTATTTACCTCTGGAAGACTTTCAAACACTTCGACCGGATCAAGTCCCCCAGGACCTAGACGAGCTTTCCTCTCTTCCTCTTCGGCCTCTCTAAGTGCCTCAGCCACCTTTTCTGCTGCTCTCTTGCGTATTCTATCCTTAAACGCTCGTAATTCATCGTCGAAGGAATTCTTATACTCTACTTCAGCAATTTGAATACGACTGAAAAAGGATCCAACGCATGCTCGTGGATCAACTTCCAATTGCTTCGATAGCTCCAATATGTATTGCATACATATACATTGATGAGCAACGTGTTCCATTAAATCATGTTTCTGTAAAAAATACATAATGAATATTGTAATATCAAATTAATAGTAGTTCATTAATCAGTATCAATTATTAAAAATTCCATCTATTGTAAAATCACTTACTTCTTCCATTTCTAAATTGATGCACCAAATAACTAAATAATTTGCTGTATTCTCACAAACTAAATGTGGATACTCTTGTAAAAATTTCTTACTGTCATCATATTTCCTTAGCATGCCAAATTCTTTCAATTTTTTCTCATTTTCTTTGACAAACTGCTTCATTCGTTTCTCCTTTTCTTCATCAGACAAACCAGCATCATCATCGTTCCTAGGAGGCTTCGTATTTATTACAGTTTTTGTAAAACCATCTTGACCAATGGTATCTACATTCCAAGGTGTCAATCTCTCCTTTTTCTGCATTTCTTCTTCCTCTTTCTTAATTTTTTCTTGTTCTTTTTCGAGATCTTGAATAACTTTTTTTAATGTAGTTAAATCAGCTGAATCTTTCTGTTCGCTTTCTAATTTAGCTAACTTTTCTTTTGTATCCTTTAATTTCTGCAATGTTCTAAAATAACAAGTAAAACATAAATTAACTTAATTTTATAGAGAGAAAATTTTATTCAACATATGTCTGTTCATACTCTGTTTTTTTTCTGTCGTGTTCTTCTTGCTCTTTCTTACGTTCTTCCATTCTCTCAACTCGTGCCTGATGACGCCATCTGAATAAGGATGGTGTGTCAATGTTTGGATGTGTATCATCTTCATCATCTGAAATCTAAACAATATTTATTAACACAAAATCACAGTTCAACATATCAAATCTAAATACATATACAATGTTATTGTTTTTAATAGTTTTATATAGTTATAAAATCATTTAAAAAATTACTTATGAAACTAAATAATTTGCAACATTTGGTAACATATGAAAGTCTATGATATTTTAAAATACTTTATTTTATATTTGCGATAAATAAATATATAACTCTGAATCACATAACTGTCATTTTCACAGTAATATAATTAAGTAGCATCCGGCTACAAAAAGTTACACATAGCCGGCAAGATTTAATATTACCGAGTCTAGAATATTCGACAAGAGCGCTGGACCCGGATAATGAACGGATACAATTCTTACCTCGATGTTCTTCCATTTGCTATAATCCACCATCGTAGCGTTTGGATATGTCAGTTGTTTTTCGTCGACTTGCTGTTCGTATTCCTTGCAGTTGTACGAGTTTTTCTCTTTTTTTTCTGTGAATTTCACGCACAAAAACCTCAAATTGCTGCTGTCGCTTTTGCGAGAGCACCGATCCTTCGATCGCACTTGTACAAGTTTGATTGTCAATTGCACTATCAAGACCGATTCGCATAAAAGCACGAACACTAGTGCATAACACAAATGCACAAAGGAATTAACCAATCAGAATCCTCCGTTTCTATCTCCAGAATTCGTCGATTCTTTCATGCAAATAATGCTAATAACTGCGAATGTTATAAATATATTTTAAATTTGCGCCGATTTTCACTCGAGTTATCATTTATTATTCAAGAGCTCACTTCATTAAATTTATTTTCTATAAATTTTTGATGTCCAATGGAAGAGCTTGCTTTTTAGTAATTTTAGTTAGCGATATTTTAGGATATAAAACGAAAGATTCTTTTTTTATTGAACATCGCATGCACGAATTCAACATAAAACTTACAATCAAATATCAAATCGATCAAAATTGAAACAATTAAATAAATGCGTCATCAATGCGTCACTGGCTGTGACCTTCTGCCCACCTCGCGCCGCATTCCATTCTCCCCACTCCTCCGTCTTTGCTCCGTTTTACCCCCACCACCCCACTCTTGCGTTGGGTCATAGCGGTCACGTGAGCGGGGATAAAAGATGTCGCGTTCAATCGTCTCGATCGAAAATTTACGTGCACGAGACCATCTAGAAATGTGTAAATCATGGTGAGCGCCATGATGGCGGGCTAGATCAAAGGACTGAAATGAAAATAGTAAATAGACAGATTATTAAATTGAATAATTAAATATTTATACATTTGGTAATTTTTCTATATGCTTCGGTATTTTGTTGAGTTTGTTTTTGGAGATTTTATGTAAGAATCGGCAAAATATTTTCAGATTGGGGGTGTCATTTCATATGATAGCACAGTGCTTTAAATAGTTTACGTGTAATTTATATTGTGCAAAAATATGATTGGAATGAGAATGAATGCGTTTAACGATACTGGTCTTGGAGAACCCGAACAAGATGCGAATACAGCACTTATAGAGCTTGATAAAGGTTTGTTTATATTTCTGATCTTTAGTATAAAAATGTTTCTTATCCACATTTGTGCAAAATAAAAAATAGTACAATAATAATTAACAATTAAATATGTACACACACACATTTATATATATGTAATTGGCTTATTGTGCAAATATCAATTTTTATTGAATATTGGTTGTAGGTTTACGTTCTACTAAAACTGGAGAGCAATGCGAAGCTATAGTTCGTTTTCCTAGATTATTTGAAAAGTATCCATTTCCAATTTTAATAAATTCGTCCCTGTTAAAATTGGCTGAAGTATTTCGCACAGGCAGTAATTTTTTACGAGTATGGGTTCTAAGAGTGTGTCAGCAGAGTGAAAAACATCTTGATAAAATCTTGAATGTGGATGAATTTGTAAGGCGTATCTACAGTGTTATACATTCAAATGATCCAGTTGCTAGGGCTCTTACATTGCGTACATTAGGCAGTGTCGCTGGTATTATTCCTGAAAGACAACAAGTAATACATTTAATGAAATTTTAATAATATAATTGCATGTAAATTTGGCTTTATAAAAGTGATACAATTATCTATTATTGTTGCAAGGTACATCATAGCATAAGAAGATCTTTGGACTCGCATGATTCAGTCGAAGTAGAAGCTGCAATATATGCTGCTCAAATGTTTGCAGCGCAGTCCAAGTTATTCGCTGTATCAATGTGTAGTAAAATTTCTGATATGATCAAAGGACAAGCTACACCTGCCTCGATGAAATTGCAGCTTATACCCATTTTACAATACATGCATCATGACATTTTCACAGCATCAATGGTATATAATACGTTTTTATATACATTTAATGTGTTTTATATATTTTATATGCAAATTTAATATAAATATATATATATATTATATTGAAGGTTAATGAGTTATGTATGGAGCTTCTCGCAAGTTATCCGGCAGCTGAATTTGTCAGAGTCACTCTGAGTGCACTAAGCACTCTGGCCTCTGCAACATTAATAGATGTGCCACAACAAGTTGTGTTATTATTACGCTATTTACAAGATGATCCAAGATTGTCTGTAAAACGTCATGCTTTACATCTTCTACATAGTTTGGCGAGAAGGGGAGCACATCTCTGGCCACAGGGTTCTATTAATAACCTAATTGGTACAAATATAAGTTAATTAATAATAATATTAAATATTAATAATAATATTAAAATATATACTTGATATTTTTATAGTTGATGTAATCAACATCTAACTATTTACAGAGAGTACTACAACACTTCTGCAAGATGGTGCAGGAAATACGGATCTTCTTATACGCACTTTAGATGTGATTGAGGTCAGTTTATTCAATATAAATTATATTTAACTGCAAAAATTTGCAATGTATGTATTTATATGAAAGAATATTATATATATTTATTAAAACTTTCTAATGTACAGGTACTTAGCCAAAATACTGTGACATGCGATGCAAATATGGAGGAAAATAGTCCTTTATTGCAATTGTGTCTAAATGCATGTTATTCTCCTGATCCATTTGTTGCAGTAAAAGCAATTACTATACTCTCCAGAGTTGCCTGTTACTGGTATATATACATACATATATTTCTCTTTTACATACACCCACAAGATATATAATTAATATATATTATTTTATAGTTACGAAGAAGGATTACCCGCTTATGGAATACAAGACGTCATCTCTTGTCTCGAATCTCTGATTGTATTACTGGCTTTGGACGATAAGTATTTATATCAGTTAAAAGTGTGTTTACGTTCGACGGTAAAACTGTGTCAATCGCAACCGAGTCATTGCGCTATGTTTGTTGACGCTATTGGTTCCACCCTTATTAACACCAGTGCGGAAAATGGTCAGAACGAGAAGCAAACAGTCGCTTTGTGTGAAGCTTTAGGTGCTATTGGTAGTTTAGGAAAAAATACATTGCTGCCGCTTTTAGCAGATATTTTGATGAAGCTTAAACAAACTTCGCATGTACATACAAAGGTAACATATATTCTTTCATATAGTATGTGAAGAGAATTATCTCAATGAAGGATTATTTGTTTGTAAAAATTCCATTTTATTTAATTTTTAGGTAATGCTTTGTACATTACTATTCCAAATTGTAGCTGGAGGTTACGAATGGAATTTGGAGTGTTTAGAAGCAATAGATAGTGTTGTAAAAAACGTAGATGGTTGGGCAAAATATCGCATTGCACGTAGCGCCGCAAGATATGGTCATCATACAATTGCTACGGAAATATTAAAGAGTCTAAAAGAAACTGTAGCATCGGAGCAACTGCATTTCTGGTTGTCTGGTCTAGAACTAGTTACAAAAGCAGAATGCTGTCTTATGTAAGTTAATTATTTGCTTTGCATGCATTTAAAATATTTAATACTGATTTTATTTGTATTTCTTTCTACAACAACATAATATATAATCACATAATATAAAGGAATAAAAAAGAAGGCGAAGAAAATTTGAATAAAGCCGAGATTGTGGAGAAATTGAATGGAGCGATAGCGCGTTATGCGAGTGCTTGCGCGTCTCTTAAAGCTGCTAGCACTCCACTGCGCAGCTTGCAATTTCCAAGTGAATACTCGAAATTACGTTGTGAATTTTTACAATCCATAGTCCAGTTATTGCATTCATGCATGTAAGTAACAATACAGTATATGTAATTAAAAAAATATATCAGAAAGAGTCAAAGATTACTTTTAGATCTTTGTGCACCGCACCACCACCTGCTATAGCTGTCACCGTTGTTATTGCAACAAAAGATGATCTTCAAAGGTATGGTCGCGTTACACACCAGGTATGATTTTTACAATTATAATTGCAATATGATTTAGATAAATTGGATAACATATATTGAAACACATGCTACAGTACTATAAAATATAACAAATTCTGCTTTTTTTTCAGTTAAGAAAGTCAGCGCAAGATTTGAAGAATTGTGCGGACAATTATCAAAAGTTGTATCAGTCAGCTTTTGATGCAGATCCAGAATCATTGGCGAATATTCGGGCGTATGTATGCTTTCATTAATTGATTAATTATCATTTCTTTAACTATGTACTTTTGGATGTTTATTTTAATTTATTTCATGTAGATTACAAGAAATATGTCGATTAATGGCGAACAGTGTAGAACGGGTTTGTGGTGGTCCTAGTATTTCAATCTATCAACAACAGAACGAGTCCGTGAATTTTAATTTCGGTGATTCTGTAGAAATGCGACAGTTGGCCCGTTGCTGCGTCGAATTGCGTTGTTTAGCACCACCATGGGACGCCGATGGCAAGACTGGAGCTATCAGTCACTTGCGAGTCAGTTGTTTGATATCGCAAGTCATGTTACTTGCTGGTGGAACGATGAGATTACCGATTCCAAGATATTTCTTCCAAACACTGCAGACAACTAGCATTAAGCTATCGGTATCGCCTCAACCACGTGTTCTTGGTGAACCAGTTTCTGTGCCGCAAGGAAGTCAACTGGCACTTAAAGTCGAAGGTGTATTACGACACGGTCGAAGAGCATCTCTTTTCCGCTCTGTCGCTGCCGTGTGTATTTCCATCTCGACGACACCGCCTTCGAAAATAAATTCTGACCAGAAGGTAAATAAAACAATACTGCATCTCTAATTCGCATTATTAACATAATTATATGGCTAAAACAATCATGATTTTCAAAATTAATTAAATGGTAAGAATCTTTTTTATGTTATATATGTTTTTAAATTGCATTGATATTTTTATTTAATGTAATTGTTTATCTTCTTCAGAATTCTTATGTAGAGAATTCAATGAATATTCTTTTTTATTCATTGAATAAAAATATGTTTTTGGAATGTTTATGAATATATAATCTTTATATTTCTCTTAGATCATTAAATAATTGTGATTAAAGTGTTGGTACTATTTATTCACTTTTAATTGAATATTTAATGACTCTTTTATATGATTATATTAATTATTAAAAATTAAACAGTATTATATGTATCAAATAATGACAATATATAAACATAAACTGTATCAAGTATTTTATTAATCAACTATATTAAATAATGTTTTTTATTTGCAGGATTCTAATATAAATGAATTGCAGCAAACTGTAATACCTCATCGTGATTTCTTCGCCTGTGAATTTTTACTTTCCTTGGGCATTCCTGGACCTGCAATTGTATTTCCTTGTGCAGCTGGTGGAAATACTGCTGGTGGTGTAGGTAGTGGTGGTCAATATCAAATCACAGCAAGTGCGAGTATACTCGACAAGGATGGTAATGTGTGGAAGTGTGGTCCACGCTCCACTCTTCCTGTTAGAGTGCACGAAGAGCCTACAAAGAGAAAATTGCCTTAATAAAAACATTGAGTTAATAATTTATGATACTTGTATATTTCATATTATATAATATTTGTATAAATCAATTCTAATATAAAAATAAGTTTTAAAATATTATTTTATTTTCGTGTAATATGTCTTTTGTATAATTTTACATATTGATTGTTATTTCTAAATATAAATTACCAAGGAACATATTCATGCTGTTAATTATGCTTATAATATATTGCAAATGTTCTTTTTGCAGTTAATTTATCAAATTGTTTTAACTTTTAAAAAGATTTTATTTAAACGCATGCGCATTTATACCGACGCGAAAACTTTACAATGATGAATTTAAATGCATGTTGGAGCTGTATATTATAAGAAATATATATATATATATATATATGTTTTCTTACAATATATATAATTCATGTCTCAAGCTTTATATAATAATGATTCTAATGATATTTGTATTTACAAATTATTTTTTGAAGAAAGTGCGCTCTTTAATTTGCAACAGAATAAAATTTTATTTGTCATTTTATATATATATATATATATATATATATATATATGTCAAATTTTTTATATACATGTACATTTTAATGTATGATTTTTATACATGTGTGTGTTTTATTATAATATATTATTATAATTTATTATTATTATTATTTATAATTTTTATTATAAATTAATTTTATTATAAAAGATTGCGTCCAAAAATGTTCCGAGAAACTGATTGTCTTTTTCAAATTTATAATTCGCGGTTAATTTGACAAGCAACGTGAACTTTATTCGGAGTGACGTTAGCCGTAACAAGTGGTGAATGTCGAGTGGACGCGCAACCATAAAGGAAGCTCGCAAAAGTAGCGGGAGCATAGTCGTGCATCGTTTATTCATCCGTACGGAACGTCGCAGCAATCGTACTCCATTCTACTCATAAAGCATCAGAAAAGTTATTTATTCTGTAAAACTCATTGCATTGCCGACTCGTGCAGTACTACTGTCGAATTTTGTGGTAAGTCGTCAACTCTTTGAACGATCTAACCAAGATATTTTTGCACTCTCGTGCATATCGCCATTATTCAAAGTTACACATTTCGCAAATGTTCCGTTAATGAACCTGATTTTAATTTTCATGGTCGTACTCGATAAAGTCTCGGTAACATCATTTTAAATCTATTTACACATATATATTTGTAATTTACATAAATTTCCTCGACGAAAAGTAGACGGTCGTGGAAATAATAGAGCGCGTCATTTTATGCAAAATATGTAATATTTGATATAATATTGAAATATATCTGAGAAAATTGATAATAGCATCTCTTGGGGCATAGGAGAAGCCAATTATATGGATCTCTTTTCAGTCGAAAATAACGAGTCGCGAGCGATGCGAGATTCATTCTCGCACCCGAGCGAAGTTGGCCGTCAAGTAGCGAGTGTCGACGTTTGAGTGGACGCGCGGGCGACGACCCATAAAAGGGGAACCGCGAGAGTGGCGGCTGCACAGTCGCGCACCGTCTATCCGTTGGTACGGAACGCGCGGCAACGTATTGTAATATTCTGTTCCATTCGGCGTATCGGGCTAACATTTGGCAGCGGAAGCAACAATTATGTTCTCGAGGATCGTCCCATCGCTGGCCGCCAACCCGCTGCACTATTGAAACTTCGTCGTGCGGTGAGTGTGATATATATAACTGATTTCTTTTTAATAACCTTTTAATGTTGAGAATTTTTTGGCGCTCTCATATTATGCACCGCCGTCAACTATCGGCATTCAAAAAGTTTAATCCGACAAAGTTTTACATATTCCGAGTTTTGTTAAAGAATCTAATTTCAATTTTTAATGGCTGTGCTCGGTAAAAGTTGCAGTAACATAATTTTAAACCCATCTACATATATTTATAATTTGTATAAATTTCCACGATGAAAAAATAGATGCCTATGTGAAAATAAGCGTCATTTTTTAAATTTATGCAATATTTATTTGATGTACGAATTCAGAATATAATTGTGCATCTAATAATGTTTAAAAAATTTTAAATATTATATATGTTAATTCTTTTAATTATTATTAAAAATGCACTTACATTAATTCTGTGCGTGCGCATGTGTGTGCACATATGTGTATATGTGTGTGTGTGTGAAATTTTATTAAAAAACTTGAAATATGACACAATTTAAATATTTTATTTTTACGTTCATGATTGAACGTGATTGATCATTTGACTAATTTTTATCTTCATTTGAAAGAGATTTGTCTTACTTACTTATCATCAATATTCTATTGACTGTTATATGTATTGGTATGTGAATACTCACAAATCTCAATCATGAAAATCAGTTAATGTAATATGAACTTTACATGATCCATTTTATTATGGCTACAATTGCATTTTCTGATTTTTATTGTAATAAAAAAATAATAGATAACATAATTTTTATAATGATTATAAGGCACTTGTTGTTTTCTTTAAAATTATAATATATATGTATTTTTTCTCTATTAAATATAATTATTATTAAAAATTATTTTGAAATTATGCGACATTTTTTGTTTTCAACTTCGATAAATACGATATACAGTATTTATTAATACGATAATATTTATTCGAATAAAATTTATTAAAAACAAAATGTCACATTGTTTGTAAATAATTTTTATTAATTACAATAGTCATTATTGTATAGCTTTTTTTATACAGAAAGAAACTTTCCAATCTTCTGTGTAAAAAACTGAAATTGATAAGTTATTTAAAACAGAATTTAATATATTAAAAAAGTACGCCTGACGAATTCTTTACATCAATATAGAATATCAATATTACTGTTTTCTACTATTATTTATTTAATAAGTAAACTTGCATTTCTCCGCATGTAGAAGATGAAACCGCGATCGGGGAGAAACGAAAATCGAGCAGCGCGGTCGAACTCTGCTGAACTTTGAGTCTTGAGATTAATTTGTCGGTATCCCCTAGGAGTTTCGGAAGCCTCGTCCGACGTCCGCGGCTTCTTGAACGGGAAGATCGAGTCTCAGGAATATCGTATATGAGATCAAATCAAGCGCGCGCACTTTCAAGTTTGGCAATAGAACACGTCGGATCTCAAATTTGCGCGCGAGTATGTTTAACACTATTAACCGAAACACAAGAATTGCCATTATAATTCGCGATGAAACTCGGCAATTCGCGAGAGAAGATCATTTGCACAATTATTTTTTCGCACCGTGACAGAGTAAAAATTTTTCTCTTTTTTGTATTATCGAAAATAAAATTGAATGATACCAAATTGATACGCACAACTAAATTTTTTACAATTTAAGAAATTAATTCACAAGTTATCTTTAATGTACGATTAATTAAAGGCAATCATTTGGTGGTAATATATTGTTGAATTAGATATTATTTTTATTATATTTTTGAAATAAGTAAAAATTTTAATTAGATTTTTCGAGACAGTGAGAAGATTTAGGGTTTATAATTCAAAATTGTCTTGATTAATCTGAAATTTACTTAAATTCATTATCCTATTGGAAATTCTTGAACGCAAATTCTGTTATCGCTGCACTCTAATCATCCTTTAAGAAAAGCAGATTTTTCTCTCCAAAGTATTGCGTAAAACCGCTACGTATAGTTACATGCGACTTTAACGGGATTGTGAAAAAGCGAAAGGAAACGCTTGATGTAATAAAATTTTTGCGGTATAAATTTAACACGCGACAGTTTTTAGAGAAATTTTAAAAATAAATAAAATATATTTTATATATACAATTTTTAAATGATAAAATATTAGGATTGTACACACGTACAAATTTGGATTATCCTTTTTCCCCCTGCTCTTCCTCTTTCTCCAATTCGATTTTTTTTAAATTTGTGACAAACTGAACGCAACGTAATGTTGAATGATAAAAAAAATAAATTATTTTTAATTAATTATAATATAATTGTATTTTTTTTGCACAGAGAGAATTTTCTCTTAGAATTTACCTTGAAAATCACAGTAATCGTGGGACAATATGGCATTGGAAGAATTTTATGATTTTTCTGATTAATATTTACTACAATAAAAATATTATAATCAATATCTGTTACAATAAAATATAAAAAAACATATTTGATTTTACTATTACATATTTTTTTGCTAATACCTATTAATATATTTTGGCAACTATATTATCCCACGATTACCATGATTTTTAAGATAAATTCTACAAGAAAAAAATTTCTCTCCGTGTATGTTTTATAATATTAATATACTATATATTACCAGCTTTTTATTTACTCTAATTTATTTTATTTATCAGCTCTATTTACTAAAGTAAAATTTCTTTGTTTCTAAATTCTATACGCGTTTCTGCAAAATAGAAAAAGCAAATTGAAAAATTATCCGAGGATAATCGGTAGCTCCCGAATGTACCCTGTGTTTGAGTTTAAGTCGGTCTCGCGCAAATTCCTAAAAGACGAAATTCCTTAGTAAAATTGCTTCCAGTGAAGCCATCGTATCTCTTGGAAGGTTCACCACGTGCATTGCCCAGGCTTAATGCACAATGACTATGTCGTTCCGTTGTGGTTAAATCTATACATATACACAAGGGGGTACAAGAGGGACAAGAGGGCATACGATGTATGCAGTGACTGCATGATTCCAACTACAGCCTGTACAGATAGAGAGAAAGAGGGGGAGGCGGAAGCCGTGGAGTATAGTTGTGTGTGCTAAATGGTTCGCAAACTAATGTTCAAAATTCGGCATTGCCGCGGGTTGGGAATAAACACACGTCTTTCCGAGTGGAAAGAGTACGGAGAGAGTTCTACCTACTCACGGTGAGGTCGGTGTACAATATGTAATACTAACTTTTGTTAGACTTTGTCTAAAATACTTACCACAGAGTGTTTCCACGCGATCATGAATTATTTATTAAACAGCATCCTTTGTCTATACCTTGCGTGTATCTTTAATTATTTGTCGAAAAGAAACTATGATATTAGTCGAATTTAAACATTAAATGCTTGCCAAGAATTATCTGAAATTAAAAGCAACTTGAATGATTGAAAAAAATATATATACATACATATATTATTAATTTATATATATATATATATAAATTAATAATATATGTATGTATATATATTTTAATATATATATAATCATATATGTATATTTATATTCATGATTACTGATGACTAAACTTTTCGCGATGCGGGTATTAGCCGAATTTGAACATTAAATGCTTGCCAAGAATTACCTGAAATTAAAAGCAACTTGAATGATTGAAATATATATAATTGATATTCACGATTACTGATGACTCGCCATACGCGCGATTATTTTCCGGCTGAATTTTTCGCGAAGCTCTGCGACGCGGATAAGATGCGTGCCAGAAAATGGAAATAAGATTCTGTCCATTTTTCTATGCATAGAAAGTGTCGTTTCCTTTGTATGCGAAACAGATATCTTATTTTCCGCCATGTGATCGAAACACGATTTTCTTGAATTGCCCGTGCGCATACAGGTTTATAGATCTCCCCCGTGTTCACAATAATCGGTTCGTATCAGTCATAGAGACACGTCTGTATAACTTGTATCATTTCTCAATGCAACGCATGAACGCATATTAGATGCTGAGTGTCAAGCGGGATAAAAGAGTATACAATAAATCAAAAAGTTAATGTGGTAAAGATCATTTTTCTACGCATTTTCTAAAAGTTTTATTGCAAAAAATAACTACTATAGCTAAATTTTACCTGTATTCCCTATATTATACATGAAATTTAGTTATCATACCTAAATTTTAGCTATGATAGCTAATATTTTTTAGCTATAGAATTCTCCGTTAAACTATAGCTAAAACATATTAGAGTTACCATAGATAAAATTTAAACATTTTCAGGTTGCAATATAGGGACAGTTAAAATTTCGTTATGGCAGTTAATTCTTTTTTCCGTGTGTAAATATACAACGTGTCGATTTTTTTCCGTCACTTATTATTTATATTCTTCACATGGCTATGCAACACGTTAAATTGCCTGTACCTGTAATAGACGTTCGTACGCTATAGTAGATTTGAATGAAAATACGCTACAATGCAGCAGCGCGTGTTGTACGTCTGCGGTCACTTTATTGTTGGAAGAAGTATGTCCAAGCTGCAACAGCATTTTGTTGAAAACTCGGCTCATATATATCGGTATCGGCGAGTTTCGCTCGACAAAACAAATTGCTTATACCTTCGATAGAACTTCGTCGAGAAGTGTTTGGCTACGTATATCGATACTTCATATGGACCGTTTGTTTAACTTCGAAAGTAGGAAAAAAAAGCGACTCACTTTCGAGACGGTAGAAAATGGAAAATTGCGAGAAATTCCGCTTTCCAAAGACAAGATATATATAGAGGGTTGGGGGCGCGATAGGATATGCGTCGCAAAACTCCTGGATAAATATAAGTCTCTGTTCCGGGATATAATCTCTTGCCTATTTATCTAATACGTAGACGGTATAATGTGTTTTTGTAAAACACATGACGGAAACAAGCAAAACATTTTCTCGAGATTGTATACAATATTTAAAAATGCAATACTTTTATTTATGCAATTAAAATCTATAGACAGAAGCTGATAATAAACCAGAAACGCGTGATATTTTCTCTGTTATAGATATGTGTACGTAATATAGCAGTAGCTATAC